TAAAATTAGATTTATATCTTTTTATGTGGAATATTTTTCTTTTTCTAATTCGCACTAGAAAAATTTTGTTGGTATTTGAAGGATGCAGTAAAATTGGACTCAAACATGCTCAAAATAGGAAATAATGTTTGACACCTAGTAGTTCTTTATTTGTGAATTGGGATGATCTACATAATGATGATAGCATTGTGAAACGAACTAAAAACTACCAAAATGAAGGTGTGGTAATCAAGAATTTTGGAATTAAAACTAAAAGCAAATTTAGCGAACTGCAAACACTTGCGTAGCAGAGTAAATAAATTGTTTTAAAATCGAAGATAATATTTTGGTATTAATTTCACAATACAGTTCGTATGCCATGTCGGTTGTTATGTACGACTCTTATAGGTGAACGCTCCGTTAGGTTTTTTTTTCTGTAATATCTTTTAAAAAAGATTAACTTTCTTAAAAACATTGAGTACTCACATAAAGCGACTTTCTGTTCGTTGTGTGTGATATAATTTTATTTCTTATTGGTCGTAAATTCTTTAGTGAGTTGTTTATCTGATCCTCCAAATTAAAGCCATAACTGCAAATTATTTCCTTATTGTGCTGTACATTTCTCATTTTTTATTTGAAATTTTGCGTTTTTTAAAATTTTTTTTTAATTTAAAGAAAAAAGATTAAACAAGTAGATAGTAAAGTTAATGGATGATTGTATTTGATAACTTTGCATTCCTTATAGTATATAATTAAATTGATAAGGTTGTAATTAGTTTTGTAATTTTACATTCGAATTATTTGATAAGTGTATGGTTAACTTATTAGTCATAGAACTCATTTCTAACTGAAATTTTAAGATGCTGCAAGACTATGCAAGGTATTCATCTGTGCTTAACATTCTTATGCGAAACCAGTGGAAGTATTGCTTTTTTTTAATTTTGTGATGGGCTTGTAAATTTTTTTATTCCAAATACTTGAACATTACTGTTGGAACTTGGAACTTTATTATTACTCCGTACGGTTGTTTGCATTTTTTTTTTGGTCGTCAAATTATTTTATTTACATTATAATTTGTCAAAAAAAAAAGTATTTAATGATAAAAAAAAAATCTACTAAAATAAGAAAACATATCTTTTCGTGTTGAAAATAAGACAGGAAGTTGGTATCAAACAAAGCAATACGCCCCATACTGGCTGCATCGTTGAAAATAAATACCTGTAGTATTTTATTGCTTCACTATGTCTTTGTGAACAGTTAGCATTGAAGTCCGATTAAAATAAATCTCGAAAGAGATATAAAAGAAGGAAATTATTTTTTAGGAAATTATCATATCGTCGATTTAAAATGAAAATTTAGGTAATTTAACATATAAAAGTCTTAAATTGCAGTTTAAATATTTTAGATATATACTAGCACTCCCTTTTTTTATTCATTTCTGGGTTAAGGCGAAAATTTACTTTAAAATGCATGGTCCTAGAGTCATATATAGAACAAATTAAGTGAAATAGTATATTAACAGATCTTGTAGCTTTTCTTTAAGGCTTATTGCGTATATGAACGGCTGTATCTTGCATGTATGCAGTTTTTTAACTCCAACAAATATGAAATAAGTATGACTAATCGTTAACAGTTAAAAAGAAGCAGTTCTAGTAGGGCGCATTAAAGAATATTTTCTATTACTAAATAATATGGTGAAAGTATGATGGGTCTAGCAGTCTTCAATTGAAAAAATGTACCTCGTGATACTGTAATGAGTTCTGTCGAGGGATAATTAAGTAATTGTTCATAATGTTTTAAAAGTCTGCGTTAGATAAGAGCAGTAGAATAAATATTTTAGAAAGACTTTCAAGGTCAGGAAAAATTCAACTATGAAAAAATGACTGTATTTTTCCTCAGATTGATGTAGATAATCTGAATTGAGATAATAATATGGCTTAAGCTTGAAAAAAAAATAAGTCTACGTGTCTGTCATGTATTCTTGAAAATATTTCAAATACTAGTACTTAAGGACTTAATGAACACTCTGATTTATGCGTAATAGTTAATGGAATTAATAAGTAGTAAGATCCAATTTGTTTTTCTTAATGTTTCCAAAAAGCCGACATGTTGAAGACAGGATTCAGGAAAAAAAATCCGATGCTAAGTTGATAACTTCCTTCCTAGTTGGCTTAATCTCTTTGACTGAGTCTTTGAAATCAGAAAGTGTCCTTTTCCAACATTATCGTTTTGATCAGAATGATAAGGGTATATGAAAATGTATAATTTGCCTAGTAGAAAAGGATGAAAGGTAAAGTTTCTTAAATCATTTATCTCTCTGAATAAGCTATGGTAATAGTGTTTGCTGGAAATCGATCACTTCATCAAGTAAATTATTATGTCAGTCTTGATAAATTGCATTTAAAATTTCGAATTGAAATTTGGCTTTTCCGTATCTGAAACCTGAAAGAAAAAAGATTTATGAAAATTGTCCTTCATTCTGTTAGATTTATTATTCCCACGAATATCCATATCATTAAATACTTTCAATTTTCTTTTTACATACTGAAATTATTGATTATTAAAATTCGTGTTAACTGACGAATTATTCTATTGCTTAAAATCTCTGCTAAGTTAATCATATTTTATTAGTTATTGTACCATTATTAGTAATAAAACCATGTTTTTGAGAAAAATTAAAACTTTTGTATACGTGCCTTTGTTCCATAGGTAACTGATATCCCACTGAATACGTAAAAAGAAGATTGAAAACATTTAATGATATCAATATTGCACTATCCGTTCGAGAAGAATAAATAAGTAGTCGAAAAAAAAAAAAAATGTTCTTCCAGAAGAGATCAAGGCTGATCGTATTAGGAGGTGTGCAGTTGTTTGTAGCTCTGTGTACTTGGCAGTAGAACAATTAATAATAATTCTGGATTGTGAGCTTTGCAATGATTTTTGCTATAATTTGGAAAAAAGGTGGAAAATAGGAGCAGCTGAGAGGCGAAGGAAATAACACCTTATTAGATGGCTTTCTGGTTTACGAGTTAGCATATTTTCTTTTTTAAGGAGAACCTAGACACAAGAAGTAGGGGAGGGAAGTCGGAAAAGAAGAATGATAGCTGATTAAAAACTTGCCCTGCGCGTACTTCGTTCAGTGTTTTGTTTGAGTGACGTTAAAAGACAAACATTAATTTAACTTTATATAATGTGTATTTGGAAGTTAAAAGTAAATTTAAATGACATAAGCTGGAAAAGGTAGAAAATCGTGGGAGGATATGTATTTAATAAAGTTGAGCATTTACTATCATCAGTTGTAGCAACGATAAAAAAGGGAATAAATTGAAATGACAGCAATGAAGCTGTGTATTAAATTAATTTGAAAAGGCAGTTTTCACCTGTTTGTTCAAATTTTTTTAAAAAAAAAAAAAAAAAAACATCATTAAGGAAAAAAAATGAAAATAGTAGTTAATGTTTCCTTTAGGAAATGAAAGTGCTCAGTAATATCTATCGAGCATAGCATCCAATAGATAATTGCTTTCGATATATCAAAAACGACTGGAATGATTAATATATGGAATATGATTTCTTAAAGTGCTAGGACTGTACCATCGATCCTTCTGTTGAGAAGTTTGAATAGTTATGGGAAATAATTCTTGCGTAACCTATTGTAGGATTTATTTTACAATTCTGATAAGCTAAAATGCTAAAAATGCAATGCTGTTTATGGAAGGATTCAATGAAATAAAATAAAAATTAAGTCAGTGATTTATCCTAAAAATCGTTTTGAAATTCCTCTAAAATGCCTTTGTTTTTACCATCTTTGTCTGGAAATGCTGCTTTGTTGTGCAGTTAATTGGGTCTTTCATTGAGACTAACTTGATTAAGTGTAAAACTTAAATGAAAGTTCAGGTCTGCGCATGCAGAATGATTAGATGGCTAGACAGAAATATTGTAGCTAATCAAACATATGGTCGTTTACGGATGAAAGAGAAAGTAAGGATAGATACTTCTGAGACCTGATCGAAGTTGGTTCTGCAAGATGCGTTTTTGGGAGTTATCATTAACTTTAGTGATAACTCTTTAGTAATTTATTATTGTGAGTGATGACGATGAAGAGCATTTTGACTGATTCGCAAGATATCATTTGTTCAGATATTTATTAAGACTCACATGTAAACAGGAAACGAAAAGAATCGGAAATTAGGAGAGAAAAGAAATATTTAAAGGATAAAAGGAAAAAATGAGAAAAGGTTGACGAAATATTTAAGTCGAACTGTTATTTAAATTCAAGTTCTCATGTGAAATAGCAGTTAGTTATAGGTGTCGTTCTCTGTGTTAACTCCTCCCCCCCTCCGTATTTTATTTCCGATCATAATGAATTTTCGTAATCTTTTTATCTGTAATTTTCGCCAGACAAATAGAAAAAATTTGCTTAGTTCTACATTGTAAAAAGTAATTCATAGAAATTTGGTAGAGTTTCGTTATGGCGAATAGTGAGTGATCGGCCATAATTTAATATAAATACTGCCATTCTGAAATACTTTGGATCGTTGTAAAACGTGGTACTTTATGCATAAATTTCAGATGGTATGAAAACTGCTTATAATCGAAGTGATGGACAAAAATATGTAACGGTAGATTATTCACTCATTTCAGTCTTGTTTTCATAACTTGCTGTGATCTCTATGGTAAAAATTGTGTCAAAAATAGAAATTGTTTCATCTCTTGGAATTGAGTAATTATTAAGTTAGAAACTTTTCTATTATTGCATTGAAGTTTTTTTTTTTTTTATGTTGCTTGAATACACCCACTACGTATTGCATTATATAAAACAAAAATCATTATACCAGTACATTTATATGAGCCAAATTCATTTTTTTTCTTTTTTTTTTTTGATTTTTATAACGCCAAATATATCTGTGTATGTTGAAATGCGAGCAGTGATCGACATTTGAGTGCGTGTTGTTTGGTTTCTTACCGAAATTTCCTTTAAGTTTTAATCAAATTTCAGTTATTTCATTTTGGGAAGCTTGAATATGTCTGATGCAGGTCGTAGTCCAGGACGTGCAGCAAGAGCTGGTTCTGGAGGAGCTACACTGCGGCAAAGACGTGGTGGTCCTTCTGCAGGTCATTTTTAAAATAACGTTTTTTTTATTCTCGGAATTTAAAGGTATCCGTTTTCGTTTCGTGCATTGCTATATGTTTTTTACCATATCTTGACTTGTGCTTGATTTGTTCACTTGTTGAAGTAAATATGTTTTATTTCAGGTTCAGGGCGTTCAGCACGGAGTGGCGTGAGTAGTGGTGGTTTATGGCGTTTTTATACAGAAGACGCGACAGGCCTGAAAATAGGACCAGTCCCAGTACTCGTCATGAGTCTTGTTTTCATAGCTTCTGTTTTCATACTACATATCTGGGGCAAATACACCCGCTCACATCACTAATGATTCATTTATGTAAAATTTCAAATTTAGTTATATTTTTGCTTATTAGGTTGGCTGTGGAAAATGCAAGTGAAATTTAGAGGAGAAATTTTTATTATCAGATTGGTGGTATAAATCCTTTGTACTCATTCCAGAAAATGCTCTCAGGATTCTATTCCTTTCTCAGTCCTTGCAAGAGAATTCTCATCATTTGTTTTATTATGAATAAAACTTGGAAAGTTTTATATCAAATTTGTTTGTTGTTTTGGATTTCTAATATTTTGATGGTTTGTTTTGGGATTGTTGGTTAAGTCTTTTGTTAGTTAGATGATAATTATTTGATATTATTAACTTATGGTAGTAATTTATCATTAGTATACCACATAACTTTGATAACGTGGCAAAACACTGACAGGTAATCGATGACTATCAATTTAGAAACAGTTATAAAATAGCTTCATTGCAACACTTTCGATTAGGTTTTACAGAAAAACAATCTAAACTGATTAAATGATGGTTGCACAAAGTTTTTGTGGTCACGAAAACTCTTTTAGGTGTTATTGGCGAACAAGTTCATTATTGTTGATTTCACTTTAGATGCCATATAATGTTTTCATCACTGCTAATACTGCAATTGTTGATCGTGATGATTTATTTGGTTGTGAAAAATTACATATAAATGACAATAAATGTACATGTTGTTTCCATTTAGTTGCCACTATGACTATTAATGCTGTCACGGTTATTGCTACTCCATCGCAGACATTACTGGAATGATTTCTAATTTTACATTTTCACTAATTTCTTAGAAATAAGTTCTTTCTAAGGAGTTCGTTCGTTGATTGGATACGATTGAAGATAGTCGGAAAATTCCATAACGGTTAAATGTGTGTTGTACTTTAACATTTTGTGGCTTTACAGGAAGGAGTGATAGGATGAGTTAATATTTTGAAATTTTTTAGTTCAATTAGTAGAATAATATAACGGGAGAATAACAGAATGTTTATATGGTGGTTAGTTTAGGTTTCATTTGATGGTGCATGTACGACACTGGTATATTTGATAATTTTACGAAAATTTCAATTATTTTTGGTGGTATGTTAATGCGTAGTCTTTTTGTTTAATCCGGAATAGGAATAATATCTGGTTGTGGCATAAAATATTCGGAATTTTCAGGTTTTGCAGTACTGATTAATGGTATTAATTGAAGAAGTCGTTGAAAATACTAGGAAATTAACAGATTCTGCAATATACACAAAGAAAGATAAGTGGTTGAAAAGACAAAAAGTAGCAGAGAAGGTTCCATCTGATAAGGTTTTGTTTTATTTAACGGAATAAGTTTTTTAAGTATTGTTTTTAGGTGTTAGCCTTCCTAAATTTTGTGGTATGCAGATTTTTGATTGATAATCATACACAAACATAACTTAATTCGTATCTTAATTTTTATTCAGTATCTTCTTTGTTAGCATGTTTGTCTTGTAACATAGATGTTACGACTACCTTATTAGCATGGATCAAATAATCTAAGATAAACAAATAAAGGATATTTATATATAAGGAAGATCAGGGGTAGATACTAAAACGAGCAAAGAATAAATTAAAAGATTAGGAACGAAATAAGGTAAAAGGTCATAATCTGTTTTGCTATTACTTGAATATTTCAGTGGTTTCTTGCATAAATCTATTGAGATAAGAGATTATTATAGGAAAAGTAAAGAAACAAAACAACTTCTTTAGGCTGTGAAAAACCATTAAAGAAAAAAAGGCAAATTTTATCACATTGAAGTGCAAATGATATTAGCTTTTTTGTCATTTTAGAATTTTTTTCAACTTTTTTTGCACCTTATTGCAAATTACATATCAGTAATTATCACTGTTTCAATAATAAACACATTCCAAAGTGGCATTTAAAGCAGAACCATCAAAATAAAGCATTTTAGCCATAAAAGGGGCAGATTTATCTATGATATCATGTTTCAATTTGTCTATGATGTCATAAACAAATTGATGCAGTCATTATTCATGAAAAGAAGTTTTTTTTTTTTTTTTCTGAAGTAGTATTTGAGTGAGTGCAGCATAGCTGATTTTAAATTTCAATATTTTTAGTGGAAGTTTGATTATGCTTGTAGTTCAAGTAAGTGTAGTTAATGAGCACATAAAAAACCAAATATAAATATAATTTTTTTTTTCTAGAAACAACATTTAATAGTCTTTGAAGAATTATATACCTTTTTTTTAATCACAAAATTTTTTCAGATGGTTCTAGAAGAGAATAAGTTCACTGAGAAGCAACTTAGACGGGATGGTTTTGCTAACCGAATAGGGAAAAGCAAAAGGAAAAAGCTGAGGAAGGATGAAACTCTTACAAACAAGAAAGAGCCTGTTACAGAGACCAAAAATGCTAACCAGATTATTCAGAAGGTGAAATAAAATTATTTCTTAGTTTTCTCTAATAAAACTTTCATCACTAAAATAAAGTAACAGATCAGTATATCGAATTACAATATTATGTTATTTCTGTGTTATGTCATGGATAGTACTGTTTGATGTAGTCCAAGTCACCTTCAATATGATCAAAATTTTTACTTCTGTTTCAAAATAAGGGAATTAATTAATATCATTGTATATGCGTGTTTGCACTTCTTTTTTTTTTGTATATATTCTAGCTTTAATATAATGTTTGCTGGAACCACTCATTAAGGAAAAATGTTTGTCAAATTATAGGATAGGAATTTTAAAATAAAGGAACTCTTATATTTATTAATACTTATACCTTTAGTATACATTTCCTTATCTCATTAGAAATACTTAGTGATAAATTTATTAAACATATTGGTTAGGATATGTTCAGCTGATTAAAAAATACATACAATTAAAACCTATATTTTTTTCTGAACAGTTGCAGATTCAAGGAAATGTGAGTCCTAAGGCTGTTAAAAGGAAAAGAAAGCAATCTATGGAAGAGGAAAAGGTAGGGAATGATGCAAAGTTTGAGTTGTTTTTTCATTATTTTCTCAACTTTATTTTCGATGTGTTTTGCGATGTTTCATATTCCTAGATATTCTCGTTGTAATTTGCTAAGTTAAATTGAGTTTGCTCTTTAATAAGTCTTTCCTTTATTCCGGAATCTCTTCTAATCATACTGCACCTTTTATTATTTGACTTCAATTTCAGTACGCTCTTGTGTATTCTAAGATACAGGATAAATTTTACTAATGTCCCCAATGAGGGGCATAGCATGGTGCTTTAACTTCCGTGGTGAGCATAAAAAAATTAAAGAATAAGAGCAATGTTTGAAAATTTTAAACAGAGTGAACTATTTTTAGAATGTCTCAACCACGCAAAAAATATTGCCTGAAAAGATTCGAAAAAATCGGACAAAAGAAAGGGTAGAAGAGAGCGCAGCAAATTTGAATTCAGAGAAGATGCCTTTATTTGAGGTGGATTTTTGTTATATAATGCAATTTAATTACATCAGTGACTTTTTGCTACCCTACAAATCTATACCAAACATTCAAAATTGTTATTATTATCACCTTTCTTGCTGTGATTATCGAATAATACTTTTTTTTTCCTTTTTTAATTTTGTGCATCTTTGATTTCAGAATGATGACGATGTACGTGGAGAAGGCTTTTCTGGTTTAAACAATGCTTGTTAGTTTTTTGTTTTCGCTATTTGAAATAGTTTTTTGTATTAAAGTCGAATATCACATACAGATGTGGTATTTGAAGTCAAAATTCTCATTGTGATGAGAGATTGAATTTCAAAAGCTTTCTTGAAATGCAGCCTCAGAAACCTTAAACACTTTTGAAATTAGTACGCTCTTTTGTGCATTCCAAGACATTTACAAGTTTAATTTTAGCTGAAGGTGATAATAGTGATATGGAAAATGATTGTTTCTCTTCAAGTGATTTATCGGAATCGGATACTAACGATTTGCCAATAGAGAAAAAATCTCGTAGATTAGAACAGAAGAAGAAAAGTGATGAGTAAGTTGCAATTCGTGGCTGCTAATACTTGCATTAATGCTTTTTTATAAGCATTTTTCGAGGCTTGTTCTGATTTTGTGGTTATGTAGTAAATATAACTGATACTGTTAGGATGACAAAAAAAGGGAAATTTTTTCCCAGTTCAGTTTCATTTTTATGAAGAAAAAAAAAAAAAAATCATCATAAAAATACATCACTAGGATTTATTCTGTAATGGTTGTATTTGCTTTCTCTAAATGACATCTTGAGCGGTTTATCGAAGACAAGTTATTATAATAAGTTTTATTTCTGACTTTAGGAAATTTGCTGATGATGAATTGTTACTGAATATTGAAAACGCAGAAAAGTATAAGTTACCATCGGTTGAAGAAATCGAAGATGAACTAAAACAGACACCTAATTTAAAAATAATAAAACAGCGTATATCAGATGTTTTCCAAGTGCTTGGTGATTTCAAAAATCGACGTGATCCAGATCGGTACATTTATTTGTTTCCCAAAGTAATGATGGTGAAGTTTCCTTCTATGTGCTGGTGCTGCCATTAAAAATACTTGCTTCATGTTGAATTATTTTAATCAATTCAAGTGTATGAGTTCTTTTGTAATAATTCAAACGGTATTTTAGTCTGTTCGAAGCATCCAAATGAGGTATCATTGGCCTTCTACCTACAATACTTTCTATATAGCTCAAATGCCGTTATGTGTATACTTTTAAAAATGTTTTTAGAAGTCGAGGCGATTATATTTCTATTCTAACAAAAGATCTCTGCAGCTATTATGGTTATAATGAATATCTGATTCAAAAATTTATGAGTATTTTTCCGAACGGAACAGAGGTAAGTAATTGTTTGCTTTATATAACAGTAATAAATATATGAAGTGGTAAGTAAAGTTTTTTATGCTTACTTGGTCACTGTCTTAGTATTTAATGAAGAGTAGTATACTTTGTGATGTAAGTGGTGTTACAGCTTTCAGTATATATATATATATTGTACCGTTCCTGCTGTTTTTATATATGCTGTAAGAATAGGATACTTTGATTAAAAATTTTTCCTGTTGCAGTTACTAGAATTCCTGGAAGCAAACGAACAACCACGACCTGTAATCATACGTTCAAATTCGTTGAAAACTCGACGTGCTGAACTAGCAAGAAATCTAATCAACAGGTGATCATTTAGTTCAGCCTCCTCAAATCATTTTAAACTATTCCAAATCATTTTGATCGAACATTTGGATTGTCATTTAAGTGATAATATTCATGAACAGAATAATATTTTATCAGCAAACGGATATTTTACTTTTTATTTTATTTTAAGGGTTATTTTTTTTTAATTTAATTTTGTGGTAAATAGTTTATCGTAAACACTCGTTGCCTATCACTAATTTTTATTTTATCAGAGAGAGAAATGTAGCAAAATAATAGTTATTTGCCGAACTAACATTGCTGATTGGTAGTTGAATTCAAAAAAAAAACAGTATTTTTTTTAAGAGGAATGAATGTCGATCCAGCAGCAGAATGGACTAAAATTGGCTTAATTGTGTACGACAGTCAAGTTCCTGTTGGTATGCTGCATTTGTTACGCAACATTATTTTAATAAAATCAAATGAAATTAACAAAATTTATTTACATTGTTTGCACAAATTTTTTAGGTGCAACTCCGGAATATCTTGCCGGACATTATATGCTGCAAGGATTGAGTTCCTTTCTTCCAGTAATGGCTTTAGCACCACGACCGGAAGAGACTATACTGGATGTGTGTTCTGCACCGGGTGGTAAATCATCACATATTGCAGCGTTGATGAAAAATACTGGAGTCCTTTATGCAAATGATGCCAATGTTAGTTTTTGCTTTCAGAATCCTAATATATCTTTCATGTTGATAATAATAAAATTAGACGTTATAGTTTGTGAATTTAGGAAAACTGGGCTGCTTTACAAAGTGATTTATTTTCGTTTTCCAGTAAGAAAGATGAGTGGTGTTAACCTTATTTTTTCTGTTGATTCCTGCAAAATAAATTTCGTTTCATACTTATCCTACCATATGTGTTTTTATCGATATTTCAACTTATTGTCTTCTAGATGCAACGTTGTCGTGCGGTTATTGGTAATTTGCATCGGCTGGGGGTGAATAATGCAGTTGTCAGCAATTTAGATGGACGAGAATTTGCAAAGATTATGCCTCAAGGTTTGTTGAATAATGTCCAGGTATTATTAATGCTAGCTAGAGTACGAGCATTGTGTTGCATGTTTACAGATATTTTACTTCCAATTAACCGCAACAGTGACTATGCCAAAAAATACGAGTAGAATTGGTTAATCTAGCAAAAAAAAAGTTTAGATTTGCAAGAATGTAGATCTAATTTAGATTTTAAAAGTTGTTCGACTAGAAACTTCACGTCTTATTTACCAAAAATTCAAGGTTTTGATCGTGTTTTGTTGGATGCACCATGCTCAGGAACAGGTGTAATCTGGAAAGATGGAAGTGTGAAAACACGACGTGATAGTCAAGATGTTCAACGGTGTCATACATTACAACGGGAACTGATACTCGCCGCACTGGATTCTATTAATGCAAATTCAAAAACTGGTGGTTATCTGGTTTACTCAACATGTTCTGTTCTAGTAAGTGTATTGTACTTACTTTTTACTCTTTGTCTGTATTGTCAACTTTTTGTCTTCAGCGTTCATTATCTCATCTGTCTATGGCTTTTTTAGGTTCTTTTGATTTTCTAAAGCATTTTTCTATTCTAGTACTTGTTTTTAGCTAAAAGCTTATTGCTGGTGTCTGTTGTACTTTCGTAAATGACAATATCATTTTTTATTATTGTTAACTGAACTGTTTCAGGTTGAAGAAAATGAAGCTGTTGTAGATTATGCATTGAGGAAACGAGATTGTAAGCTTGTTCCAATGGGACTGGATGTTGGTGTACAGGGATTCACGAAGTTAGTGTCGTATTTTTTTTTTTTTTTTTCTGTTTTCAGAGATTTTTCTAAAAATTTAAACAATTCAGATTTCGGGAATATCGCTTCCACCCATCACTTTGCCTTACTCGGCGATATTATCCACATGTCCATAATATTGATGGATTCTTTGTGGCAAAATTCAAGAAATTGTCAAATTCAAAGTCAGCGGTATGTTACAATGTTTTGAATAATCATTTATAGCTATATTTACCAGTTTTTTTCGTATGACAGTTTCAACTGTCATAAAACAAATTTTTTTTTATTGGAAGATTAATAAGGTTTTATTTCTGGAATTGGATTTTTTTCTTTGTCTAGTGATTCATTTATTTGGAGCTTTTAATTTTGGAGCTGTTACTTCTAATATATTTGGAGCTGTTACTTCTAATATAAAACTTTTTCAGTCATATTTTCAGCTCACTTCTTTCGATTTTTTCAGTTTCTAAAAACTGTATGATTTGAGGCAAATTTGATGTTCTGAAAGTTAACGATGCTTTCGTCTTAAAGTTTTTAATTTTCAGAAAAATGCAAACACATCTGACGAACTGAAAGATAAGATTGTTAATACTTCTCAAAGCAAAAGTCCTAATAATAATTCAAAGCGAGCACGAATGAAAAGTTAGTATTTCTCATTTTTCCATGACCTTTTTAGGAAGTTAACAATGATTTTTCACTTCATCCCGTTTTATAAGAACTTGTGTAAATGCAAAATCGAAATTGCATATTTTGAATAGTTCGAAGAGTATTACCTCCCTAGTAATGCTTTAACATGCAAAAAGTTAAAGAAGATATGACCTTACGAAGTTGAAGAAAAGAGCCGTTAAAGCCATTTTAATTTTATTTCAATTTTATTAACATTAGGTAGTTCCGTTTTCAGTGCAGTTAACGTGCAGTAAAAGTGCTCAGTTGTCATTCTTTAGCATTCTGGAAGAGGTGATTTGACGTTTGCAGTTGTACATTCATTTATTCCTTGTCGAGTTACATTGTACTTCTGCAATGCCGAAATGATCATGAAATGTTTTTGCAATATTCATGAAATGTTTATGTTTTCAATGATGCTTCATTTTTCGCTTAATTTTTAGGGAAGTCCGCAATAAAGAAAAAATCGATTCCGGATGGAATCAGTCAAAAGGTTTATTTTTCTCCATTTTCATTAAAAGTTTTGTAATGTGATATGTTAGCATTGAAGGATTTGTGGATTTTTTAGAAATATCAGCAAAAGCTTCCAACAGAGAAAATGGAAACCGATAAAAATATATCAGAGAGTGAAGTATCGAAGGTATGTTTATTTTCAATATAGCAAAATTAATAATCCAGAACAACGAGAAGTGTATTTCCTCACTTTTGATTTATGAAGAATTCTTTGATTTTAATAAGGGATGCGATTTATTATATGGTTTACTCTCCAATCCACTATAAAACTTCCATCTTTAAAGTTGTGTGATTAATGCATTTTTAGGAATTTGCAATTGGTACCATGCCGAATAGTAAACCAAACAGTATGCCAGAGAAACAAGTCTACAAGAAAAAATTTTTGTCTAATAGATCGAAATCAGGCAAAAGTGGCAAATTTATGGGAATGAAGAGCAAAAGAAATTTGAAGAAAAAAATTAAGAATAATGTAGCGCATGTCTAATCAATTCATTTATATGAAAGATTTTTCTCATAACATATTTTTCTCTCGTATTAGTAGTTATAACGATTTATTGGCATTCTGATTAAGTCAATAATCTCATAAGAAATGAATTACTTTCATGTGCAAGAAGCAGAAGACATACAAAGCTCTTCTTCTATAAAATTATTTTTTAAAAATGAAAAAGGACAGAGATTTTTTTTTAGAATATAATTAATAATTGTAAACAAAGCGTTGATTGGATAATGATATTTAATGGATAGCAAAAATGAAATCAATGCTTATGGTTAGAAGAAATTATTGTGCTAGGTGGATTATAGGCACCTTTTGTGAGTTTCTTTCAACAAGAAAATTAGACCTCCATACTTCGGTGAAAGATAGAATTCCTTATCCATTGAAATCGCTTCAACCGTGATGTTCTTTCTTACCCTATTATGCAAAAACTCACTACTATTTTGCTCATTTTAAACATTTATTTAGTTCCAATAATTCCTTATGAGCTTTCCGGTTTAGGAAGCTTAAGGTATTCTCAGCGCTATCTGATGAAAAAATAGAATTGATAATTTGTTAGTTTTATAATTTTTGATAAGCAAGCATATTTTTATCTATTATTGCTGTTATTATTATTATTATTATTGTTGTTATTGAAGAAGTATGCATGTTAAAATTCAATTTCTTATTTTCGCCTCCGGTTTTACTGATTCACTAAATTTTTTTTTTTTTTTTTTCATAGTTTTTTCATAATTTTGATTATTGTTTGCTGAGAATTTGCTTGCAATAAAAGAAATATTGTTGCAGTGTATTTGAGTATGCATATGAAAATAGAAATTGATTGCATTCATGGAGAACGCAAACCAAACGAAAATTTATGTTTTATTATATGCTTTAAAAACTTATCAGAGTCTTATCATCCTTATCAGGTCTCATTTTTTTGCTAATTGACAACTCTAATTTTGGAATATTCTGAATTGAAACATACATTATTTCAAGTAAATTTTTTCCCCAAAAATTATGTCCTATTTTTAGCAACAATCTTTATCATATATTGTTGCACATAGTTATTTTGCAACTTTTTTTTTATCATTTGTCATTTGATTTTTTTTTATTTTATTTTATGCTTAATTTTTATTTCTTGGATCTTTTTTTCCTGTATTATATATATATATATATATATATATATTTTTTTTTTTTTTTTTAATATATTTGATTTCCTGAAAATTTTCATTCTCCTCCATTTCTAGATTCAATAACTATAATTGAAAACTTATTTGAATAATTTGCAATTGAAAAATTTTGCGAGACTTTCATAAATTCATATAATTTCGATTTTTATTATATTTTATGCTTATTTTTTATTTAACATTTATAATTGAATTAACTCTTTCTAATATATTTTTATATATTTGACAATTTTTTATTCTAATATTTATTCTATCTTATTATTCACATTCCATTTTTTCTTTCCATAACTTTTTTTTTCCAATGCATATTTTCATATATTCATTATAATTTTAATTCTAATAATGAATTAAAAACGCTTACATAACAATTTGTTGTCAATAAAAATTAAAAAGAAAAAATTGAAGCGAAAGAAGAAATTATGAATATTATGATAGAATATTGAATGAATTATTCTTTAATTTATTAACTATGCCTAATATAAGCATTTGTTATAGATATATCACCGTGTGAATGAATGATACTATTATCAATATTTGATGGCGACGGTTGATTAAATGCTTGATCACCGGCTGCATCATCATTTCCGTAAAAGTCATCCAGAAATTGTGCTACAAACTCATCCGGAAAAAATGACATACCAAGTATTAGTTGCCAGATGATCAGTGGTATCATTAACTGAATGATAAGTGTAATTGGTGCATTGGTTGTAGTAAATCTAAAGTTTAAAAAATTAAAATCAAAAAAAAGCATACCAAAAAGATTGAACTTTGGATTAAATTAATATTTTTAAAATTTAAATAAATAAAATTTATATTAATGCTTAATTCTTTCATTTAAAATTACTAATTAAAATTGAGAAAAAATATGTCAAAAATAGGCAAATATAAGTGTTTTATTAATTGTCAAAATTTGTTTGAAATATTAAAATGATCAAAGATTTGAGCCAGTTCAAAAGATTCTTGTTTTTTTTGAAAAATCGACATTACTTAGTATCCCTCCTCTTTTTTCGAAGTAATTATAAAATTAAATTTTTCTCCTAGTTTTTTTTTTTTTTTTTTTTTTTTACTTTTTAAAAAATTTAACCAAAATTACTTTACATTTAAATATACAAATTACCATATCATTTTAATACTTTCAACAGCAATTACCACTTCTATTTTAACATTATGCTTATAAAAAATTTTAAAAAGGGAAGAAATACACTGAGTAGTTTAAAATTTAACAAAACCATTTGCTTTATATTTTCAATTTATGCACAAATAAAATTTTGAAAAAATTTTTGCAAGTTTTTCATTGAAATTATTTACATGATAATATAATTAATCATTTTTCCTATGTTTAATTAATTATCATATATCATCTGCCTTACGTCTTGCTTTTTATTTTTAATTTTAAAAAATTCTAAAATTTTAAAAAAGTGAAATTAAACTTTTTGTCATAACACCGTCCAAATTACAATCAGTTTTTAATAAAGTAAGTAAATTAGATGGCATACTTATAGAGTAATATAATAATTGTTAAATTTAATGCGACAAATACGAGTAATAATTTCTCGGCAAATGACACCGACATTTTCAATGTTCGATTATAACCGACCACTATTAAATGTTTGAATAGAAATAACTTATGGATTACATTTCAAAAGTTTTATAAAAATTTTATGTCTTAATATTAGTGCTATTTTGTAGCATACAAATGTACATTTGTGTAAATAATATTTTAAAGTTGTATTTACGTGAACAACAAACTTAACTCACGTAATATTATCATATTTCAAGTATTACTTGATAGCATTATTAATTTTGCTTCTTTTCCTTATATTTTTCACATGTCATATTCATAAAATCTTCCCATCAATGCATGCATTATGTTATTTAAAAAAAAAGATTAAAGTTTAAAATAAAAATTAAAATCTAATTTTTATAAATTTTATTCATTTTATTAGAAATTTTGATTTTTGATTAAATCACAATTGCATCAATTACTTGATAACATTTCTATCTTTTATCTCGAGATCTCTTCTTTATCATTCCTTATCTTATTCTCATATCATAATATTGATAAGCTGTAAAGATTTAGGTAAGCATTTTCGTATTAATTTTATTATGTTTCTTTCGTTTTTTGATTGACCTAAAATTATTAATTTCAATTTTAGTGGAAAATACGATGGTAATCAATGATATTTGTAAATAACTATATTTGTTTACTACTCTACATTAGTAGATGATTAAAGATTGTATGAAATTTTTAAGAAATTTCTTCAGTTGTACAAATAGATATGTCCATTCAAAGACAGGTTTCTTTTTTTTTTTTTTTAAAAAAAAAAAATTTCTTCTATTCCCTCTAATTACTGAACATTTCGAATAAGAAAAGTTTTATTCTTTTTTTTTTTAAAAAAAATCTCAAAAGCAATTGAGTCAAATTTAATTGAGTAATTCGATTAAAATGTGAAGTCTAACCACTCATTATTAGGAAAAATGTGACAGATGAAGAAAAAATAATTCAGTAATCTGACATAGTTAAATGATTGCTGTGACAATGATTGTTTATTATTATAATACGGAAAAGGAAAATTGTAAACAAAATAGAAGAAATATTTTAGGTGTCAACAAAGAAACAACAAACTATTTTTTCTTTGAGATATCAATTGATTTGACATAAATAATTTGACATTTTCAATAGGCTAACTTAACACTAAATTCAATTCATAGTCAAATATTGCCAAAAAAAATTAAATTAATTTCAATTCTACTTATTATCTAATCTTCAATTGAAAAATATGAGAAAATTAAAACTAAAAGAAACGAACGAATAAGAAAGATGATAGACGGATTTAACGTACGTAAATGATTTCAAATATAAATGAAACAAGAAGAAACGTTAATCAATTTAAATTTTTGAACTTATTAGAAAGATAAAATAAAATATTCAGTAAATAATTTAAGATTTATTTTTGAATAATTGATTTTTACACAATTAATAATATTGCAATTAGTTTCTTATTCTATCATTTCTGTTTAATTCTTTCGTCCGATAAATGTCGCATAATCAAAACTATGCAAAATTAATTAACCATAATGTGTTTTACTAATTAAGTAGCAGAATTATAGTGTAGGATTTATTGCTCTTATCAGTTTGGTTAATGCTACTACTTATCATTGAATTTGAATCCAGTTTACAATGAAAAACCTGATCCATTAATCAGTTTATCATCTTTTAGCTTTTCATATTCAACGATCGATGATTTAAAAAAAGAAAGGGGAAGAAGAAGAAATAGCAATTTGCTTGATTTTCAAGAATTATTAAAGTTTGACAATAAAAGTTTGTTTTTAAATTTTAAATAAAAATAAATTTTAGAAGATTGTTAAAATCTAATGATTAAAAATTTGTTCTCAAATTTCAAAAAGCATAATTTTTCACATAATAATGTAAATTAATTCATTGAATTTATTAGCATTATATCATTTAAAACGAAATATGATAATATGTGATAGTTTCCAATTAATTTCTTTTTTTTTAAATTTCTTTTTTCAAATTTCAAAAAAAAAAAAATTCATATCGGTTTTAATTTACCACATTGTATGCATCAGAAGAACTATACTATGGTTTAATTACTTCTTACATTTAAGAAATTATATTTCAAAAATCAACTCTTCCTCAGAATTTCAGAAATAAAATTGATAATTTTGATTTGATGTGAATTAAGTTAAGTGATCGAGAAAGGAATGCAAATGAAGGATAGAAAATTTTCATTTTTGAAAGTGTTTTTTTGTTTTATTTAAAAATTATGATAATATTATTAAAAGCATAAACAATTTTTCATATAAAAAATTTTGATTGTTTAAAATGAGAAAAGCAGAAATTGAAATAAATTGTACAAAACAAGAATATTATTCAATATTAAAGGAGATGAGATGATAACTGTGCTTGGGATATATATAAAATTAATTTTTGCTTTAATTAACCATCAAATTAAGATTTAATCTTTCTCTTTCTTAACATTAAATCTTTTTTCTTCATTTTAAACTCTCTTAATTAAAATTAATTTCATTACAAAATCTTCCTCATTACTTCGTTATTTTTATTTAAATTTTTTTTTTTTAAGATTTTTTCTTAACGAAGCAAAATTGCATTCAGAAACAGAATGTGTTCATGCGAAATGAAAATTAAAAATTAGTTTGCAATTAAAAAATTTTCAATTTCATAGATTTCATTTTCACACATATATATATTAAGGAAATTTTCTTTTTTTTACCTCTCTCTCTCTCTCTCTCTCTCTCTCTTTATATTTTATTAAAATATCTTATAGAAGAGAAATTAGCAATTTTGTACAAAAAGGCAAAAAAAAAAAAAAATAATAATAATAACGAAAATTACGGAACTAAAAATTTATGTCAGTGAATAGTTACAATTTAATACTGAAAAAAAAATTCGGAAATTTTTTGAATTATTCAGAAATTTGATAGATTAAATTTTTTTTTTTTATTTTTTATATTTCATCCTTTCATTTTTTGCTACTTTTTTTTGTACTTTTTTACTAGTAATTATTGTTTCATGCAATTTTAATTAAGTTTTAAGTTTAGAAATACTAATTTGATCAGTTAATGGCCAGCAAGAAATATAAAATAATTAAATGCAGTAATAAAATATAAATAATTAATTGCTTCGGGCTGTATGATTAATTATTCTGGTTTATCACCTACCTGTGGGCAACTGTTTGTAATGCTTTGTTGTTATTCCGGTAAACCGGAAATTCGAGAAAACCTCTCTGAGGAAACCATTTAATTTTTAATGCATATAGCATAGCATATTGTGGTACTATTTAATTTTTTCCAAAATTAATTCAATTTTTTTCATTTAGATGAAATATTTGCAAAAAGAAAGAAAAAAACACTTATGAGAAATATTTGGAAAGTTTTATGAATTTCGCTGATTTTTTGACTTGCTTTCATCAGTGGAATGATATAGTTAAGAGATTATTCGATTATATATATATGAGAGAGAAAAAAAGAGAGACAAAGAGGAGAGAGAGAGAGAGAGAGAGAGAGGAGATTGGATTTTATGGCAATGTTTACGATTGAAGTTAATGAACAACAACGAAAAGATGTGTGATTTTCTTTTTTATTTTCGTTTGGCTAAAATTTTTATTTTAAAATATTTTACACTTTTTTCAATGATAGAATAAATTTTTTTAATTAATAAAAATTGTGAATGAAAATGATTTTTTGGAAATAAATTTCAATAAAAAAAATAAAAATGTTCATGCAATCTAGCAGGATTAGATAATTGGAACAAAATAAAATAATACAATGACAAATACAAAATGTTTTTTCATTTTTGCTGAAAAAATCAATCATTTAAAAAAAAAAAAAAAAAAAAAAAACAAATGTAACTTCTGAATGTTCATTTTTTCTTTTGATCTAACTAATTAAGTTGAATAATTGTACTAAAATAAATTATGAGAGATTGATTGTGATGTCGTCTTAATTTCATTCCTTTTTCCTTTTAAATTATCACAAAAAAAATTAGATTTGAAATTTGAATAAATTAAGAGATCTATCAAATTTTATTAAAATGCTGTTACAATTAGCACAAGAAATAGGCATAAAACAATTAATATACGCTATTTATAGATTCAATTGTGTAACAGTAAGTAATTTATGAATGTTTGATTTCAAATAATACTAATTACATTTTCAAATAATATTAATTGCTTAAATATAATAGAACAGTACATATCTAAAATTTTCGGAATTATTTTGGGATTTATCTAAGTTTTATCTGTTGGTCAGTAAAATTTTATAGGTCGAACAGTGACATCAAAGGACATTTTTATTATTTATTTGCATTTGTATACTAATTCAAACTGTGCAAATTGCAATTGAGAATAGCATTAAGATGAATTAATGAATAGAAATGTTCTCGACATGCCGTAATCTCGAGATAACAATCCGATTATTCGCTTCAACAATTCTGATAATTTATAATACGAGTATTTCTATTTCCGTTTCCGAAATTTAAATTATGCTTATGAAATTTGAATTATGCTTCTTTATGGGATTATTCAACATACGATGCTTTTATTTTATTGTTGAATTTTTAAATAAATTAAAGTGCTACCTATCTTTTTATCAAAAAAAAAAAAAAAAATGCCTCCACTATTATACTTAATTTAAAAATTAAAATGGTTTCTTTCGTTGTCTTATAAAAAAAATTCATCAAATTTTGACGTTTTATTATAAAATTAATTTCAGTATTATGAAAAGAGCACATTTTTGGGTTTGTATTTTATCAGTTGCTAGTCTACTAGTAATCATCGCATCGCTGATAACATGTGCAATGCTATTTCATGATGTTAATGCTTTATACTATGAAATACTCGATGGTATGGATGAATTTAAGGTAATAATAATAATAAATTTTTAATCCGAAAAAAAAAAACTAATGTATTTTATTCAGTAAATAATTTTTTGTATTTTATTCAGTAAATAATTTTTTTTTTCAATAAATATTTCTAAGTAATCTTAATATTTATTAAAGTAATTACCTTAATAAATAATCAAATTTATTAAGAAAATTTGGCCTGAAATGCTAATATTTTGAAATGGTCTTCCTAACAGAGCGCATTGAATTGAAAACATAAATGCTTATTTATTTGCAATTATTCCATAATTATTTTCTGATAATTAAATTTTATAAAAAAAAAGAACGAATAAAATGTTTCGTTTCATTAGTAATATGAAATTTTAACATATTTCATTTAATTATTCACAGTACATAATTTATATTAACTTAAGTAATTTTATTTTTTAATTATTGCACTATTAGCTTAAAAATTTAAAAGTTTAACATATTTTAGACAATAGCAAATGATGCATGGTTGGAAATGATGAAATATCGTGCGGTAAAAAATAAAAGAAATGTAGATAGTACCTCAAAGTTAACATTATCGGAGCTATTTAGATCGAAACGAATCTATCGACAAGCATATGATAATCACATTAAGCGATCACAATGTGGTAAGAAAATTTCTAAGTTTTATATTTATTGTAAAATTTAATTTTAAATTATTTTAGAAAGAATAACTTTTGTTGATTGATGATAATATTCCTTATAGCATGTTCATCACAACCAAATAATTGTCCATCTGGTCCACAAGGTCCACCTGGAATACCTGGCACTCCAGGAAGTAAGTTTATTTGTTGATTAAAATGAATGCTATATTGTAAGACATTGTTTACACAATTAAAAATTTATAAAAGTTTAAAAAAAATTTTTACTTTAAAAAAAGTATTGAAAGTGTTAAATAATAAATAAATAATATAATAATAAACTATACTACAAAGTTAACAGTTTTGAAAAGTACGAATAATGATTGATGTTCACACACAGTGTTTTATAATTTCAGTTGATGGACAACCTGGTCTACCAGGTAAACCTGGAGTAAATGGTACTGCTATTCTGTTTGACTTGGAACTGGATGAATATACAACTTGCATCGAATGTCCAGCGGGACCTGAAGGACCACCTGGTGAACCAGGGCCAATGGGTGAAGAAGGTCCACCAGGAATACCTGGTCAACCGGGTCCTGATGGTAATCCTGCCATGGCTGGAGAAAGAGGACCAATTGGTGAGCAAGGTTTACCTGGTAAGTGTTAAAGATCTGATATTTTTGTAACTTCATTTGAGTAGCAAGATAATTTACAGTCAAAATATTCAGGTCCACCTGGACCAATTGGACCACCTGGAAAAATGGGTGAATCAATGCTGGTCATGTACGGCACACCAGGACCAAAGGGACCACCCGGACCTGAAGGATCAATAGGTCCTTCTGGAGAAGACGGTGAACCAGGACTAGAAGGAGATAGGGGTTTAGCAGGAGAGCAGGGACCTCCTGGTACATCAGGACCACCAGGACAAGAAGGACCACCAGGAGAGGTTGGTTTTATTTCATTCAATTTTTATTAGCTAGCTTCAATGATTGTCTTTCATTAATTTAAAAAAAAAATTAACTTGAGGAACGCTATTTGATAATAAATCTTAAAAAAATCATTTAGTAGTAATAAATAAAACGATAAAAATAATTATCATAAATTATTTATGAATTGAATAATTTTTCATGACTAGTAATAATAACTGGATAATACTTGTAGCCCGGTGAGCCAGGAACACCAGGTGTTGACGCTGCGTACTGTCCTTGTCCTCAGCGTACTTCTTACGTTTACGTTGAATCAGCTGAACCATCATCAAAGCCACATAGTTTTAAAGAGGCAGAAGTATATACACCGGATGAAGCTGAATTATTACCATCTGATGAATATTTTCATACATTATTGCAACCAGATCACACGTACGTCCGATATAAAAATTCACGACGTAATCGACATTTACTCAATAAAGTTACACGGAAGAAAACAGTTTCAAACAGGAAATCGAAGAAAACGAGTTAAACTAATAAATTTTAATCAAATGAATCATTTCTGTAATAAATCAGTGAATATTTCAGTAAAATGCAGAAATAAAGTTTATTGTTTGTTTACTTTAAATAAATCAAAAATTCAAAAATTAGCAAAATAAAATTTTAAAGTTAAAACTTTGATGAAATCTTATTATCAGTCAGTTAACTGTACATATTATTATTAATGCATATATTGTTTATAAGCAATGAAGATAAAATACTATTATTCATAAGCATAAACTCTAAACTTAATTTTAACTTAATTACTGAAATCACATAATTATGGAACATAATAATATTTTTCTTTTAAGTTATATAATTTTCGGTAAATCAAATAAGCCAAAATATTAGCTAAGTTGTCATTAACGTTCTGTTATTTCATATACTTAAATGCGTTTAAATTTTAAATTTCATATTTTTTCTCCTTATTTTTTTAACTTAATAATATTATGAAGCTTAGAGAGCTTTTTTTTAAAGTTTTTTTAAAATGATCAAAGCCGTATTTAATTTTATTCCGGATCTGGTTGAAGATAAAAGCATTGATAATGTATGTTTACATCAAATCTCAAAAAATATTATTTCCATATTATTACTCAACATTAAATTAGCCACTTTCATTTATTCTTACATTATTAAAAAATATAACATAGGATTTTTTTTATAAAATATTCATTTAAACTTTTTTATAAAATCTTCTTTTTATTTTTTATTTCATAAAATATTCATTAAAATTAGTATTTCTTTAGCAAGAATTTACATATTTAAATTTAATTTAATTTCATATAGAATGTTTTTTTTTTTTACATCAAATAAATACATAATAAAATAAAAGCAATTGACCACAAAACGGTTGTTGCTAAGTTTGAAATCAGGAAATAAATAAATAAAAAAGTGACGAATTACAATGACAAGTTCCGAATCTATGCAAGATCGATTAGGCAAAACGTACGTACACGTATGTCACGTATTTTACACTCAGTTTATTGCTACATCAAATATAAAATATAAAAAACTGAAGAAAGTTTTCCTAAAATTTACTTATCACTTTATCTTTTTTTCAATTAAATCTTATAGGAAAGTAACAGCAGCATTTTTCAAAAAATTAGGTGAAAAATTAAGAAATTATCAGCGATATCAGAAACCAATCCAACTTTCCGGGCAATCAATCACTCATTCTTCTTCGCTTGATTTGGTACTTTTTCATTTTAATTTTAAATTAAAACTTAATGATAAATTAACCATCAAATAAAGCTTAATTTTTCTGTTACTAACGTTAACAATATGATTATCTATGTAATTTATCATTGCGATATAATTTAAAAGTCAATAAAAATTTTTTCAAAATTCTGAATAATTTAAATTTACGAATGTTTTCAATTTGAACTATTCTGAACTTCTTTCAAAAAAAAAAGATGAGTTTTTCTTATTTATTTCAATCTTTATTGCTATTTAAGCATTTAATTTAATTTAGAATGAACTAAATTTTTTTCCGAAAATTACAGCGAATGAATTTTTTAATTTTTTTATTTCTGTATTTAACAAATTTGCATTGTTTAGAATAGTAATATTAGACGTTCGATGGAACCGATAGCACCGGAAGAAATACAAAGTACTGAAAAAAATTTCGCTCAGCAAATTGCTGAAGAAAAATCAAATTTGAAAGAAAAAAAGCAACAAATTCAAAAGGACAATAGAAAAGATAGGAATGGAAGAAAGAAGAAATTAGAAGATAATAAAAAAGTTTGGTTTTTGTATATTATTAATTAAATTTAAAATTAAATTAAATTTGATCATTTCATAGATAGTAAGGTAACTATTTATAGATGAAAAATCAAAGTAAACAAGAAAATAATGAATTAATTGAGAAGAAGAAAAAGACGAAAAAAAGGTATAAAATGTTATAATTTTAGTTTTATCCATTTTAAAACTTTATCTTTTTTTTTTTCTTTTTACTTATTTCACCAAATATTAAATTATATATTTTCCATTATTTCATTACTCTTTAATTTTGCAAGTAGTATGATAAAAAACTTTTAGAAAAGACTAATTAAAATTAAATTTAAACAGATGTCTAAAAAAAGAAGGTTAAAATTAAACGCTAGTATTAATTTCAATTTTCATTAATTTAGAAATATTTTTGCAGCATCTGAGCATTAGATGTGCATTTATTCTTTTTCATTGAATTGTTTTTTTCTTTTAAAATATATCTATAATAATTGGAAATGGATTACGTCAATTCGAAATTAAATTTCAATCACATTTTAAAATTTGTTTTACCAATTATTTGTGCTTGCCCAGACTTATGGGCCTAGGCTTACCACGGCTTACCACGGTATTCTATTTTGTATTTATTCAGCTTCGCTTGATTATTTTTTCTTTTAAACATAAAAAAAAAGTAAAATAAAAATAAAATTAATTGGATTAAATTTCCTTACCAATTCAATTGCAGTACTCTTAACTTTCTTTACAATTTCTACTATTATATCTAAGTAATCTTAAAAAGTAAAGGTAATTCTTAAAAAGTAAAGTTTGAATTATCTTTGAATTATCTTTACTTAAAAAATAAAGACAATTCAAACAGTCGTCCATATTCAATTACGGCATGTGTTATTGATGGCGAAATTTTAAATTAAAAAAAAAAATTAAAACATACAAAATACAAAAAAAAAGAAAACGAAATTCCTAAAAAGGATTTTCAATTACAAATTAATTTTGAATACCAAAACATTTCAATTATTTAAAATTTTTAGTTCTGTAAATGCACAATAATTTAAATATCTTAGAATTGCAAGATAAAAAAGCAATCAAATTTGATTAATTGTATTTTTGAATGATTCCGCTTTGTTTGTAATGTAATTTTCAGGAAATCAATGAGTTCCGAGAATATTTCACTTAAACGCGAAGATAATTCTAAATGTTTGGTATGATTTTTTACATAAATATAAATTTAAATATAAATATAAGTATAAATACAAAAAGATTTTATCGATAAAATGCGCCATCTGATATAACGAAGCATTTCTAAGCAAAAAAAATGAAATAAGACAATGTGATCATAGCTAAACAAACAAATTTTTATTACTGCAAGATTCAATCGATGAAATATTAATTTAAAAAAATTCACATCGACTGACTACAATGAAATATTTACTCAAATATTTTTAAAAAGAAATTTTGTGCTCAAAATTAAGAAATTACTTCCTTCCTTAACTGCTTGTATTATTAATAGTAATAAGGCTTTTTAATGGATAATTGAAAATATCAATGAACACATTTTCTTGCTTTTTTTTTCAGACTGAACAATCAAAACGGTAAGTTTACGATGGTTTGTTGTAACTAAATTAAATTAGAAATTAAAATAAAATAAGAAAAAAGAGAGAGAATAAAATTTATTAAATTTAGTTTCTTTTATTGGCATATTTTCTTTCTTATTTAAAATAAGTTAGAATGAATAATAATAGATCAAAATCAATGTTACATACTCTAAGATAGAAGCAAGAAAGAAAGCTCAAATTAATTAATGAAATGATTCATTCATAACTCTAATTAGTATCAATTTTAGTTCGAATTCAGCAACGACTATCAGCAAACAGTCACAAAGTGATGAACAGAGTTTGACTGAAAGTATTTCAAGCTCAAAATCGTTAAAATCAAGCACAAAATCAATCAGTCAATTTGATGATGGCATAAAAACTAATTTTAACCTTGGCAACAATAACATATTATCTATTTTAAAATCCAGGAGTGATCCGGTTTGTTTTTATTTTTAAATATATTATCCACTTGAAATCCAGGAATGATCCGGTTTGTTTTTATTTTTAAATATATTATCCATTTAAAATCCAGGAGTGATCCGGTTTGTTTTTATTTAAACATATCATCCATTTAAAATCCGGGAATGATCCGGTTTGTTTTTATTTTTAAATATATTATCCATTTAAAATCCAGGAATGATCTGGTTTGTTTTTATTTTTAAAATTCTATTTTGCATTTTTTTTTTTAACTTTTATTGATGATATATAATTGTTTTATAATTTTTTTATTGAAAAAAATAAATAAATAAAAGGATAGAAATAAATAAATAAAAGGTAAAGAAGTAAATTATTCTATGCTAAATGGATAAAACTTATTCAGAAATGCTTACAATAATTTTTAGCTTTTGAATAGAAAAACAAATTTAGTTAATAATTTTTTGTATCTAAAAAAAATAAAAGCAACGAATACTTTGGATGAAACTTATTCGAAAAAAGCAAGAACGAATTCAAATGAATAAAATTTGAAATTTTTAAATCTGAATTTTGCAATTATTATTATCATTTTTTTTTTTTTCTAAAACGAATTTTCTTATTCGCAATTGTAGAAAAATATTAGAGCTATAAAATTAAAGCATTTAAACTTTAAAAAAAAAAATTTGTCTGTTAAGCTATAATCAAATGCATTATATTTGGATAGTATAAAGTAGACTGTTTAAAATATGAAATTAAATTGAATTTTAGATTATATTAAACATTCTTAAATCGTTTTGAATTTTTTTTTTCGAGTTCATATATAAATTCAAATATTTTGAAACTTTTTCATTAACTCTATGTTTTACTGCCTGTTCAATTTGACATTGATTCTTGTCATCTCTTAATGTAATTTTTCATTCGACAATCCTTTTGACAAAATTTACAAATTTATTTTATTGTTTATTTGTAATATGCAATTAAATCTTTACAAACCTAAATTTTTACTTTGAAATGCGATAATTATTGACTTATAGAATCAAATTTTCACTTTAAGAGTGGTAATCTACTAAATTATGTTAAAGTTACTTATTATTAACAATTATTTATGAGTCAAAGATTAAAAATTTAACTTTTTAATAGCATTATTTGTAATTTGCAAAATTAAATTACCATTTTAGGATGCAATTATTTATGATTTGCAAAATCCAAATGGCTGTAAAATACATTTGGAAAAAATGGCTAATCGAGCGATGTTATTATCAGTGGATGATACTGGCAAACGTCTTTATATTAGCTGCAATTTCTAAAAGAAAAGAAAAAATTGAATTTTCGATTAGTTGAATATTAAATATTAAATTTAATTAAATATTGAAAGAACACTGCAAAATTATGGATAATAATTCAGAAAATTTTTCTATAATATGAATTTTGCATTGAAACTAAGTTATAAACTCAATGGCTTAGATTTAATAATTCAGGTGAATAATTAAAATTAATTTTAATAATTTTAGCTAAATATATGAAATGTTAACATTGAGGTGAAAATCCTCGTTATCAGTAAAATATTATATATCACAATGTTTATGAAAAATTATTAATTATATGAAACAATAAGATTCAAGATTGTAAAACATGAAAAATTGAAATGAAAACTAGAAAATAAATGATTAAAGTTATTTGTTCGAAAATTTTTGTGAAATTATTGTTTGCCGTATTCTTTTTTTTATTCTCAACAAAATTATTATTAAACATTTCTGCAGGCTAATTTATAATATTTATGCTTTCTTCATTAAATAATTTTTTTATCATTTATCAGTAGTCAATGTTAAGAAATTAATTTGGAAATACATTATTTATAGTATTGCTTATCTGAAATACTATTTCAATTATTGAATAAATGAATTAATCTAAGTTTTATTTTAATTTAAGGCAAAAGAAAATGTTTTGTTGTATAGTTGATTTATTGCAAAAACAAAAAAGAGACTTAATCTGTTCTCCAATTAATTTTTTTTTTTTCATCAATTGATAAATTTGGATGTAATGAAAGTTCCATATAAGACAAAGTGAAAGGTCAGAAGTCCAGCATGAATTGGGGGTTGATATTGGAATAAATTATTTAATCGGAATTGAATTAATTCATAACTTACGAGATCTTTGATGTTTGTAGCTGTAACTCAATCCAAAAAATTTTTTAATCATGTTGATAATGAATATATATAGACATATTACGCTTCATTAGCAACTAAATTTACTCAAAAAAAAATTTTTTTTTGTAGCAAGAAAATCGAATTAACTAAACTAAAACATTCGAAATGATTTATTTCACTTGCCGATCTATCCTTTTTTAACTCGAATTCCGAACTAAAATTTCTGTTAATAATTAATTAAGTAAAAATTTTAACAAATTATTCATTTATTCATCTACCCTCATTTTGCAGAAAATTATAGCGTAATCCTCCCTAATTGAAAATTTAATATTTAAAGAAAGATTTTACAAAAACAGCATTCAACAGTTACCTTCTTTTTTGCAAATTTTGTTCTTCCTCACCTGAAATTGCTGAAATTTACCTCGTTTGTGTTTCTTTTTTGGTCATATGCTGCTTTTGCTTGGTACTAAGTTTGTACATTCAGAAATTAATAAATAATTTCTTATATATTATCACTGGACTTTTGAAATTTTATTAAAAAACGTTCAGAAGATATGACTGCACTTATACTCTAATTTTTATTACCACATATTTATTTCAATTAATATATAATAAAATACAGTGAATCTAGATTACTTTATGTCAGATTATTAAAATTTACAGATGAGAATTACTTTTGCCATTGAGTTAGCACAGTAATTAATAATCATCTAAGCAATTGATAACAGATCTGAGAATGAACTATGTCATTTCTCGTCAGTTTTATTTAAATCTTCAATTACTAAGTCATCGCAAAATCTTCTAAAACATTCCATATTAAATAACTCAAGCTCACATTGATTGGGATTATATATTTCCCTCAAAAATTTTAATTCAGTTTCTCAAAACCTTTATTAGCCAGTGACTGCATCAAAAATTATTAAACTTGTCCCAAACCACCGCCTTCCAATTCAACCGATGCACTGAAGTGATAAACATTTTCAACAATGTACTACATTGCTCAACAAGAGAATATTGTTGATAATGCTTTTGAGCGATATAATAAAACCAAAAGTAATCAGCGGCTCGAAATAAATCATATCGTGTAAAAAAATTCAAAAAGACTACCCATGACCATTGATTAATCTATTTATCAATTCTTCATTTTCAATAAGATGAAAGAATTGAAAAAAAAAATTAAATATATAAAAGTATACGATTCTTTATGAGTGAATCTGTTATATTAACAGCTAACTAATAAGGCCGAGAAGATAGCTAACGTCCGAAACTTTCATAATAAAATAATTCTAGTTGCAATATGACGCGCTGAAAAAGAAAACAATGCCAATAAACATAAGCTTAGAACATTATTTACAGAAGCAGATAAATTTCAGGATGGAAAATTTCAAAAAGAAATAAACAATAGAAGGTTCATTCAAAAATAACTACCAAAATGCAATCACAAAAAAAAAAAAAAAAAAAAAAAAAAAAACATCAAATTACACCAACCCAGCTAAGCAATTAATTATAGCCAATTAATAAACAACGTTACTGAATAAATCATAAAATACTAAATAGATTTCGAAAGTTTTGCCACAACTTTTGGAGCTACAGTGGCATTAAGTTGCTTCATATTTTCTATTCCAGCATCATCTTCCTTCTTTTTAATATTTTCGCTGTTTTCGTCCAACTTCTCCATTTTGATCTGAGATACTTTTTCTTCATTTGACGCCGTTAAATTGTTCACCACAGAACTAACTTCCAAACGTGCATGTGAATGCTCAATATTTTGAACTTGTTGATGTAACAGGTGAAAATTCTCGGTCTCAAGTTTGCTTGGTAAGGATGCGTCGAAATAATACTCTTTAAAGCCAACTGCAACTAATGAATGCAACAGCAAAACGATAAGTATTGTTCCCAAAGCAATCTGGAAAAAACTGATTTCTCGCAACATTTTTGAAACTAAAATTGAAATCAAGAAACTCGACCTTTAGCTTATCAGAAACTCAATCAAACGTAACATAATTTATCCAGTAATTATACCATTAGAGTAAACAGAAAATGACCGATATTAAATTTAATACAATTTTTCGGACCAAATATTTTACTTACTGCTTTATTGTGATCATTTTTAATGGCAGGCCATATACTGTTTGCAAGCACTGAACCACTTACTGCAACTGATAAAATTATAAGCAGCCAACGAAACCACTGTGCTTGTAAAACCCAGAGAATCTGAAAGACATCGACAAGGAAAATTCAAGACACTGTTGATTTCTGTTATAATATTCTTGAAACTGGAAAAGAAATAGCAGTTGCTACCATGTTCTAATAAAACAATTCAGACAGATGGTACTAATGTCGCAGATAGCATTAGTTTATATTTGCCCATAACAACATTTAAGTAAATGATTAGTAGAAAAGCACCATCACCAAAAAATAGTGTTGGAAAATCGATGAATATGTTTGAAACTGTTGGATATAATTACAGTGAGAAATCGCAAATGATTGCAAACAAATAATGGTAAAATAATTCTAATACTTTATACTTCCATCAAAAATTAGATATCCAAGATGGTTTTTATACAAACCGATACAGGAACAAAGACTGATAGACTGTAGCCATAAGCGCAAAGTATATCCAAATATGAATATTGCAAATATGATTTGCGATACCAAAACAAGGAATAAAGAATGAATGGTACCAATACGACATAGCAAAAAATAATTGTTGAAGCACCAGTAACTAAAAATTAAAAATTATTGATGATCCCAAACAGTAAGTATGAAATATTTCGGATCTGGCTATTAAATTTCCAAGATTCTCACCTAATCTAAAGTCACTTCCATATTGATAACCTGTACTAGCGCCTGATGTTTGAATATATTTTGCAAGATTACCGCAAATAGCTGTAGAAAATACCAAAGTAACGGATATCCAGAAGGGCCCTGAAAACAGCTATAAAAATGTAGAAAAGTATTGAAACATAGCTAACTGAATAAATATAATGTACCCCATAAATCTGGAAGCGGTTGGATGTGATCAGTGATAAAATTTGACCCAAATTGTGGAAACATACTGTACAAAATTCTTGACAATACCTAAAAAAATAGCAAACAAAAGAAAAGAAAAATAGAAATAAATGCAGCGCTTTCTTTGAAGATTCTATACAAGATAACTCTACCAGATGCTACTTAAAATTAAAAGCAAGAAATCAGATCCGGAACACAAACTTGATCAGTGTCAACATCAAAGTACTGCTGATAAAATTCGAATGAAAAAAAATTCTTGTTTTCTCTTGTATTATTTCGACTACTTGTTCCACCAGAAGTGAACAGCTGTAAAAATCATTAGAAAAAATAAACCTCAAACTATATTTTCACTAAATTTTGCACTAACGACATACAAACAAAGGGGAAATTTTTAACAAAAACGCTTCCTAACAATCCAATTGATTTGTTTCTAACAATATAAACGCTGAATGCAAATAATGTCAGATCTTTTAAAAGAATCAAATTACTCGAATGATAAATCAAAAATTGAGACAGATAGATTCTCGGTGACTAATCTGCATATGGCAGAATTTTAACAATTTTTGTAACACTATACAATCTTGATAGTCTATATCACTTACATAGGACTGATCTCCAAGTTCACCCGGAGGTCGAGGATCATTATTTGGATTAACCGTGCTTGGTCCAAAATCTGCAATAGCACTCTGTTCAGTTGCATCAACATCAAAAATGGAATATTCATTTTCTTCATATCCATGAAAAGAAAGAAACCTACCTTGAAACTGTAAATTATTCATATGATCTGCTATAACTGAAACTATAATAAATTTAACAAAACTTAGAATCATTTATAAGCAACACGAAAGAAAAAGTAATTACTTAACATGAAGAATGAAATGACAACAATCAAACAAACAATAAAGAAATGCAACAGAACTTCACACAGTCCTATAATTTAATCTGCGTGGTCTATCTATCCAGCATCTCCTTGTAAGAATGTACACATTGTAATGTCGACATTACCAATTTTCTAGTCTTACTCTTCGTTAGACGAAAGAATAAACCAAAGAATTCTATCGCTAAAATCTTAATCCTACTGAGATAAAAAAAGTGAAAAAGACTGGGAGGAAATATTTTTATTCTTATCAACAGCATAAGTGTTTTAACCAATAAAAAACAAGAGAAAAAATATCGGTAATCAGACAGGTGTAGATACATTAAGCAACTGTGGCATTAATATTCCGTGGACGCATACATTATTCCTGGAATAAATTTAAGTAAATTTTTTCATGTTTTCCTTACATATCATTCCGATATTGCTCCTTGTGCACATGTTTATACTATTTTACTTACTATCTTTAAATAAATTATAGTTATAATCATTTAAATGAATCATAGTTAATCACAGTTATCATACTGATGATGATCCAATGTTATAATATTATATGCATCATTTCGCAATTTTTTTAAGTAACAACGGAGGAAAGTGAATTTTTTCTCCGTTATGACAATGTTAAGTGAGATACTTTTGCCCTTCATAAAGACATACAGCTTCATTAGACATATGTATATGAATAGCTTTCCTAAGTTTCCAAAAATTGGGCAATATATTTAAAAAAATAAGTTATTTACGAGTTCCAGAAAGGCAACATCAATAGCAAAAATAATGACAACACACTGTTAAGTATGGAAAATATATCTCAAACAATCATATGAAACTCACATAACAGAGAAAATGAAAACAAAAAAAGAAAAAAAAGAAAGGAAAAAGAAAGAACAAGTAACAGACGAGACAAAGAGCTCCCAATGTATATACGTATTATTGATTACAGAAGTTAACATTTAAGGATTCAGTGTTACGTCATAAACAAATCAAAAAAAAAAAAATCAAACAAATATAGCTCTAAGTACGGAAACACTAAATATCACTGAATTAAGAATGCGAACTTCCTTAGCAATTAAGGAAATCGTGGTTCTTGTTCAAAAATAGCTGAAATATTTCTGCAACTGCAAAAGACCAGTGAAATTTTAACCTTAAAAGAAATCCATCACATAATTAGCTCACTCTACAATAGTCCATAATTCTAAAATTCGAAATCTAAAAAGAGTGAGCACCTTTAGAAAATAAATAACAAAAGCATCAGAAATGCATCATTCAATACTGACACTGATTGTACATATCAAATATCAGTCTTTACGCTGTTCTTGAATTTTTGAATGTCTAATCCTTAATCCTGCAAAATTCCCAAATTTATTGCTACCTCTTTTTTGTCATGATGATTCACATTCTTCATCATGACAGAAAAGCAGCAGAATAAGACATGTACCTTCAAAAATAGGCTTTATCCATAGTTGTTACCGGAATATCTCAATCAAAAATTCCAAAATAAAAAAATAAAATAAAATAAAAAATTACAACTTGAAAACAAAGGGTTCATTTAGAAAATTTCAACTTAATAAAACCCTTAATACAAAACATAAACAAATTGAATACTTTAAAAAATCAATAAGGGAAAATCAATCTCCTAATTTTCAATTAGCTAATCAAATCTACTTCTTCATAATCCATAAATCTTCTCAATAATATTATCGAACCCGGTATTTCACCACAAGGCTTTCAACGTCTTTCAACGTCGATCTTTATCCCGATGCGCCGAAGAACTGTGATGTCGACGTGGTGAACTTTCCCTAAGAAAATTTTGGAAAAATCCCTCAAGTTTACAAAAAGTTGAGATTTAAAACAAAAACTGAATCATGAAAAAAAAGTTGGAATGCTGCAATCTTACCCTACTTACAAATGCTCCCTAACCAACTTTATTTTTGAAATATTTTCTAGTTATAAGTTCCTAACCTTTTTTTTGAAATTCTCAGTTTTCAAAACACTACTGTTTTCTACCTGTGAAAAACAATATAAAGAGAATTCTGATTAACACGAAAAACTAACCTGCACTGACTATTGCGTTGACTGTGTCGATTTCTGTCGCGTTCATCTTTGCTGCTACGTTCGTCTCTACGCTCACGATCTCGTTCCTTTTCTTTTTCCTTATCACGAGCTGAATCACGATCTTTAATCCGGGTATCACCTTTTTCCTTTTCACGTTCAACATCTCGACTGGAACGTTTGCGCTCCTCTTCATTTTCACTTTCTTCACAAGAACATTCACCACCACTGCATGAACATGAGCAACTGGAACTTATAACAATTAATATATTAAATGAATTTCATCATAAAGCCGCTTGTTCACAATCATATTGTTCAGTGCTTACTTTTATTTACGCTTTCCTAAGCTGTTTTGTTCATTCAAACAATTAGCGATCACAAAGAAAATTTAAAGCCTTACTCTGATGAACATCTCGACTCGCTCCTTACTTGCGTTTCTGTAACTGAAGATGCAAGGGCGGCTTTACGGGCTGCTATTTTAGCCTTCAAATTTTCTACTTCAAATTCATCTGCACTTAAATCGTACTTATCCAAATCAGCATCATTTTCATCTTCATCGTCCTCCTCCTCTTCCACCTTTGAGGAAAATAAGGACATAATTTAATCAGAAACTTGCTGCTTTATTAATATTACTATTTAACATAACATGCAGTATTATCAATACAAACAGCTAGGCATGCTGACCATACTGAGTCTAGTAGTCAACAATTTTTACTTTGTGCCGCTCTACAGCCGAGATGAAAAGGAAAGAAAAAAACTACCTTATTTACCATGATTAATATCTTAAACAACAGTTAAAACAAAAAATAAAAAGCAAACCTCAGCATGTTGCATACCTCTTCATCGTTGTCACCAGACACAGCCTGCTTGGTATCGTTTTCGACCTCTTCAATTTTTTCTTTTTCTTCTTCACTTGCTTTCTCACTGTATTTTGCACATTCCTCTGGTCCACCAACCTTCTGCTCCTAAAGTGTAGAAAAATCTTTAAACGATAGAGATAGTGATATAGATTTAGCTTTATTACATTCAATTATTTATCAGCGACGTTATCTTAATCATTCTCTGATGCTAAGATCCTTACAATACAATAAAGGATGCAAAACAGAAGACGATCAAATTTTCTAGAAAAGTTTGTAGTAGCAATGATAACAAATATTTCAGCTTAGTCTGCTCCATAGCTTGATCACGTATGATTCAAATATCTGGTTCTTGATAGCTTGTGAATGACGTATTTAAATTTTTACATAATATATTCTTTGTTTTAATATTTTGAAGCGTCAAATTCCAGAGAGGAACCAGAATAAATTTCTAGAGATAAAGTATCCAAATCAGAACATATAACACAGAAATCTGTAGTCAATGTAAAGTAATTAACACCTCCTCCGCTTTGTTATCTAATTTTCGCCGTTTCTTTTTACGACCGAATTCATCAAACTCTTCGTCATCTTCTCGTTCGATATACTCAACATTCTGTCGATCCATATATCCACCACCATAACCTGAAAAAAGACACTACGTAGAAAAACATATTTTATTTTAACTTTCTGAATCTGTCTAGTTATGTACAACTGAAAAATTAATTCTTTGGTAACTCATTCGAATTCATAAACTTATCTGCTTAAATCATTTATTTAATTGGGTTTACAATTAAGCTGCCTACCAGTTCGTACTTCCAAGTCACCCAGTTTCGGTGCATTACATATATTACACGCTGTTCTTCGTGCCCAATTTACATTGCCACATCTAGAATTTATTGATAAAAGTTTCACGAAAAACGGCAATCCTCTGGATATAGTAGAGAGTGACTGACCTCTGACTCTTATCAGTTCTGCTACTTTTGCTACTTTCTGGCGTCCTAATATACAAAACAACGTATATGTAAAAAACTTAAAATCACTAACGCACCTATAAATCGACTTCAATTTAAGTAAAATGTGATGGTTATAAAAAGAAAAATACAGTAAAACTAACTTAGTGCATGCCCAATCTTCAGCAGCAAACAATCCTTTTGACTTTTCTGCCGCATCTTTTCCAATTTCACGGCCTACACGGTTCTTGGAACGTGGTTTAGCTTTACCGCAACGTTCACATACGCTAACGCGATCTGCGTTGATGTATGCACATTTAGCATCAATACATGCCCATTCACCATCACGTAAAGCACGTCGATGAGTACTTGGTGCAGTGACTACATTTGAAGCCATTTGACGCTGCCGTTCTAAATAACGCGAAGCGTCGTCTGAATTCATTGCTCGATACACCCTAGACAAAAATTAATATATGAATGAAAATATATCGAAAAATTTGCATGAGTGAAAAAAAAAAAAATAACATACGTCGTAAACACTTAGATTGAAAATGAAAATATAAATGCTTACATGAATAAAATAATTAAGCAAAATTTTGTGACAAAAAAATCGAATGAAGAAATCAACACGAATGAAAACAAACAAAGCAACAGTGGCGAGACAAATGCACTTATGCACACACATCAGTACAGAAAATTTAATTTAATAACACAAAAGATTCGAATCTACGAAATCTCAAATTCAAAAAAAAAGTCATATTTGCAAAATAAAGAATTAAACATCAATTAATGCATATCCTAGATGGAGAACACCACAACAACCCAGCACATATTATCTTACATCTCGAGAATACTTGCAGGGTTTATTACATCCCGGGGATACTCCAGGATGACAAAGATACCGTATTTCATGTTGTCGGTATGAAAACCAACGCATCAATAATAACGGTAAACTTTATTTTTCAACGTAATGTATTGTTTCATAATTGATCCTTCAATAATGCTATGTTTACGCTTTGTATTCAGTAGGACTCACGTGAATGCGTAATTCTTACTGAATTCACGTAGGTCTTATCAAAATTAAGTTGTCACATTTAACTAATTCATTGAAATCATAAACAAGTGTGAAGTGTTGTTTTTTCAAAGAACAAACATTTTGAGTTTTATTATATTTTTAGATGTTTATTCATAATAAGATTTCTATATTAATTAATATTAATTAGCAAGGAAAATTGACATTTCTTAGAAATTATTATTGTTTTCTCTGAGCAATCTAACATTATCGTTTGATGAAAAATGATTTAATTTGAGTAATTTATAATGTATTTGAAAAATATTTATATGAATACATTTGATTTTTTTAATTTGCTGAAATTAAAATTTAAATATTTCGTTTGTTTTTTTTTTTTTTTTTTTTTGAGAAAGAAAAAAGAAACGAAAATAGAGACTTTTTAAAAACCTTAGTGTTGGGAAGAATTACACAATAATAAATATCCAAAATGGAAAAAAGCTATTTCATTAAATCATAACAAAAACAATTGGATCAGCTAATTCATTTTTTTTTTATCGTTATCACTTCAAATGATAAGTCTTACATAAGGTAGCCTAATAATTTATCAACAAAAGGAAAATATAGTGCTATGAATAGTAAAATTCAATAAATAACTATGAAAACTTTAATTTTTTGATTTAAATTCACTACAAAAGTTATTTTGAAAATTTTTTTATAAGCTTTACTTTCGAATGAAAAAAAAAAATTTATGGAATTAGAAGCAAAAGATTAGTTGAAATTTTTTTTTGAGATAATCAATGGTTTTATCTTTTCTTTCTCTCTAAAACATTGAAAAATCCAATCAAACAATTTGTTCAAATAAATCATTTTGAAACCATCGCAAACATTATCATTCGATATAACAATATGGAATATATTTAACATTTCCATTCAAAAAGATTTGGTTAAAAAACGGAATGCTTTTGTAGATATAAATGCTCATTGAATATAATGTTCAATTTAAATTTAAAATGGTTTCAAAATGGTTTGAAATGATCGGTTAACCAAACGTTTCATTCGTCATTTTCAGAATTTATCTTTTTTAATGAAAAGAAAAATTTTTTTTGAATATTTTTTATAAAAAGTAAAAACAAAGATAATCAATTCATTGTTGTTAAAATTCATATCAAAAACGGTGATATTCTAGGTGAATGGCGAAATTAGCAGATGAGAAGAGATATGTTAAAAAGGTTAACGACAATGATTTCGAAAAGAATAAAAAACGTAAAACACATTTATCAGAGGAAGAAAGTTCAGATGATGGTAAATAACTTTCAACATTTAATTTTATATTTTGCTTTTCAATTTATCTAATTATGTTCAGTAATAAAATTAAACTAATTAGTAGGATGTGATACTGTTATCAGTCCAACGATTTTGTATTGTTATGAAATGCATGGAATGAAATGGCTACTGGGAGACTTTTCGTTTTAAATTGTTATCAGAGATTAGGAGATTAGTTGAATTTATCTCTATGGCTGTATGTGAATGCTTCATCAAGAAACTATCTTCAGAAATGACAAATACTTCATAAATATCAAAAGATTAACTGATAGAGTTGAAACTTTCGATTATTATGATTGTCACTAAATTTTTAGAGTTCAAATATTTTACTATATATTTGTTGTTTTTATATTTCTATTCATTAGTTTTTCATATCTTATTATTAAAATTTGGCAATCGAAGGCTTACTTTTATAATGATCCCATGTTCAGACAATATTATCATATTATCAGTTATTGAAATATTCCATCAACGAACCAACTTTTTTCTAAGCTTTAATCTGATTAAATAAACAGCTATTCATAACAGAAATTATTGCAGCTATAAATCCTAATTATACTTCATCTATATTTCTATTCCGGAAAATTAACAATATACAACATATCATTAACAGTGTTTTTGTTCAGGTAACAGACAACGTTATTTATTAACAATCTATACGATTCACATTTTTCAAAAGTAAATTTATAAAACCATCATCATCAATACATTGGTTTTATAGATTTGAAATAATTTCCAGGATGATAATCCATTGTACGGCCGTGGAACATTGGGTGTTTTCTCTGGTGTTTACATCAGTTATATGCAAAATATTCTTCTTCTTGGTGTAATCTTTATTCGCTTGCCATGGATTGTTGGTGTTCTAAGCTTAAGTTTAACAGCATTCTCAATTTTTCTTGTCTTTACAGCGGTAACTATTCATTCATTTAATTTTTCAAATTTTAGAAATTTCACGGATTCCAATTTGAAAAATTTTCAAAATTACAGGTGATATTAAATGAATATTTTCAAAGAATATCTAATTTTCCTATTACGTACAATAAACAATTTATAAACGGAAGATATAGCTTACGATGCATAGACTTCTTAAAAGAGATTTGCTTTTCCATTTAATGAATTTATTAAACAAATTGATATGATCAATGAGAGAAGGAATAAATAAGTTTGCTTTATATTAGGTTTTATTCTCGTCATTTTCTGTCGCAGCAATTGCAACAAACGGAAGTGATCGTCTATATGGTGGTCCGTTTACTACAATTGCCTACAGTTTGGGTAATCGAGTAGCGCTTGTTGGTATGCAAATAAATACAGTTATTAAATAATTAATTAGTTGAGAGTGACAAGTGTGAACAAGTAGGTAAAATATGGGAAAATTGAAAATTATTTAAAGATATCGCTAATTACATCTAGTGTCAACACATCGTATTAATAAAAAGAGTTTTATACTATGTATAATAAGTTAAAATTTGATAATGCTTATGTATTTCATAAATAAATTTTACATCACTCGGTGAAAGCATGTGTTGAATTTAATGATAAAATTCAAGTGTAAACAAATTTGAGAAATAATTGAATACATTATATAATAAGATGTGTTCTTTTGAATAATTATTATTAATATCTAATTGCGTATTGTAATTTTGTCATTTGCTGATAATGCTTAGAATTTCACATACGAATGAAGTTTTGTCATTATAGCTGGAGTAATGCTTTGCTTAGCAAACTGTGGTTTTACTGGAACATGTTTGACAATATGTGCTCAACTAATTCAACAATATATTTTGAAGCCAACACCAATGAAGCCACATTTAGCAAAGCTAGCATTTGAAAATGTTAGTTTAATGAGAATTTCTTATTGTTTCCATCAGTATTTCAAATATTATTTAACAAAATAAGGACGTAAGGAAGTAAGCTGCCACATGCATTTTACTTTGTGCTATAGATTTTCTGTACTCATAAACTCATGCAAGGGGAAAAAAAAATGCAATTTAAGCCTAAATGTTATTGCTATATTATAGAATAGTTAACGAAGCACCTTTTTTTTTTAAATTTCAAATTCTAAATTATACCTTTGGAGGTTGTTTAACTGACTTCGTCCTTTTTGTTAATTGCTGTAAGGTAGGATTTTAAAAAGTTGCTTGGAAATGACGTAAAAAATAAAGTAATTAGATAACTGGATGGGATTTTAGAATTATTTTTAATGAAATTATAGGAAAAAGAATAAGATTTCGAACACTAAATTCTTCAGACTGATTCATGAATCATTATAATTTATTCTGACTAAATTACTTCATCATTTCAGTCATCATATGCACTTTATTATTCAATCAGCATACGAAGACTAATTTAGAGAAATTCTTGGAATTTAATTTAATTGTATAAGTGAAATTATAAAGCTAAATGATTTTCTTCTTTAATTTATTTTAGGATCATAAAGCTATACGAGAATTATATGAAAAACCATATTACATGCATCTTACCTTACTTGTTTCTTTTTTGATTCTCATAACCCTATTTAATAGTTTTGGGAAGCGAATTCTTAAATGTAAGATTTTATTAGAATGGATGAGAATTTTTTAAATCTTTAGAAATGATGGATGGATGTTGTTAAAGAATTAAATTATAACATATGATCTATCAACAATCTTCACTACTGATAAATCAAGAATAGTAATTATTCGATTTTACAATAGTATTACTGTTACTTTGTATGCAGTATATAATGATTACAGTATCATTCATTACAATTAAATAAACTATAAAAGAGATTTGATAGGAACAATGAATTTAGCAATCACATAAATGGATGCAATTTTTTAGGGATTTGTTGGATACCCTTTACAGTTTTCATCATTTTACTTGTTGGTATTTTCATCTCTGCTAGTACAAAGATCATTCAACGGGATGTCGAATTGCGATGCATTCATGAACCTATGGAATTAATTCCAAGTGAATTATATTTTTTCCTTTTCCTCCTTTCTTTTCTAATATAAAATATCATCATTTTTTAGTTTTTGTATCAGTTTATTTCAATTTTTTTTTCTTTTTTTTTAACATTTGTTTTACAAAATACATTGCATAATTTTGTGAACAATGTTATTCATTTCATTATCACAACTATATACTTGCATGAATTAATTGCATTTGAATATCAATAATGAAATTTAGCATAATTTGACATTAATTTGACATATTTAACATTAATTATATTAATTAATTGCAAATAAAAGAAGTGAATGAATAGTCGAATTATTATTATATATTATTATTATTATTATTATTATTATGCATATAAATTATTATTATTTTTATTATTATACATATTATTATATATAAAATTATTATACAAACGTAACACATTAAAAATATCAATTTTTCGATTCAAAAAAAGTGTAAAAATTAATTTGAAAGTAAATTTTCTAGAAGATCGTTATTATGATCAAGTACCAGTGCTATTATATTTGCCAACAAACTACACAACCGTACCACCAATTAGTGCAATAATTGATCCATCCATTATGAAACATTTCTGCGAGTAAAAATACGAAAAAAATTTCTTTTTTTCTTTGATCTAAAATAATTTGATCATAAGAAAATTTCTAAAATCTATTTATTAGTTAAAAAAAATTTTTTAAAAAGTAACAAATACGCGTATTTTTTATAAAATGCAATAAGTAATAAAATAGTTAAATGATAAGTGAAACAAATAGGAATTTATAGTTAATTAGTAAATAATTTAGCTGGAAAAGGCATAAAAATGATAATGAGTTAACTTATAGATTAAAAAATTCTATCGATTGATAGCATTAAAATTTTCCATGGCTTTTTTTCTTTTCTGAAAATAAAACAAAAATTCCAAGAAAAAAATTCAGTTTAAATTCATTTTTAGCAATCAATTTGCTCTTTCTCTTTCTCCTTTTTAAAAAAAAAAATTTAAAACAAAGATGATGCAATTCTATTACTTTTCATTTCATTAACTGATAAATTTTTGATTTTTGATATATGTAAAAAATTTAGATAAATAAAGTATACTAAGCCAATTTCTCATAAAAAAAAAAGAAGCTGAAAATGATTCTGATTTTTTTTTAATGCTTATTTCTTACTTTTTTCAGAATTTTAACTAAGTTTATTTACTTATAAACATTAAATCTGCTGACTAATTAATTGATCAATATGTTAATTGTAAATTCAGTCTAAAAAATTGAGAAAAACTTGTCTTTGTTAACGTTTTTCTTATTTTTTCTTACTTCAAATCTTGACTTAATCCATCCTTTTTCTTTTCCTCACCTATAATTTATTCCGATTTAGCAAATCTTTCAAAAAATATAATATTACACTTCTCTAGATATCCGTTCTATACAATGAATTGTACTTCCGACAGCGTAAACGATTGTCAATTCAGCAATTTTCGTTTGAAAGCATTTGAATGGAATCTCAAAGTGATCCAATCAAATTTACAGTATCATATCACTGATACCAATAATATAAATAATTTTGATTGGCGTGATATTATTTACGATATATATTTCTTTGAAGGCATTATCATCAGTGTTAGTTGTTTTTATGTTTGATAAATTATGCAAAATCGATCATGAAATATGTTCAAGTTTGTATGAGAAGGAAAATTAAGTGAATGATATTAGTTGTTCTTTTTTTGAAATTCATTAAATTAAGAAATCGAGGAATCCATACGTTTTGTAGAGTAGAATGTAGAAAATATTTTATCAAGTCTGACTGATCACTTATTTCTTCATTTGAACACTTTAGTTAAATTTATTAGATATCGAAAAACAAAGATAGTAACATGATGAATGCAAATATCAAAAGCATTTTTTTTTTTTTTTTATTTGTGTGATTTTTTGAAGTCTGTAAGTTTCTCTTAATAAATTGCAAAATAAAAATAAAACTTAAAGAAATATTTTATTATTGCTTTTTTTTCCTTTCTAGACTAATGTAAAATTTGCATCAGTTACCGGTTGTGCACTTATTTTATTACCATTATTTACGGGTAGTATTTGTGGTATTAATATTTCATCAATGCTAAAATCACCAACTAAAAATATTCCCACTGGAATTTTTAGCAGTTTATTAACGATGCTTTTTGTAAGTAATGACAATTCTGCTTGTTAAATCTTATTATTATTTTTATTCTTCGTCTTCTTATTGTTATTATTATTATTTTTATTATTATTATTATTATTATTATTATTATTATTATTATTATCACTAATATTGCATTGCAAAAATCACAATGTATTATAGTTGATAACAATATTAGCTTGTTCATTAGCACTTGGCATAGAGCGCCATTTATTGGTCGATAAATATGGACATGGAACATATCCGAGTTTTCCGATAATTTTTACAGTTATTTCTTATCGTTTTGTTGAAATTTTTCATTTTTTAAGAAATTCAAAGTCGCCTAATTTTTTCTTTTTCTGAAAAACAAAAGAATTTTTTATTCCTATAAAATATTAGTTAAATATATTTCAACTTTCTTATTTGTTCCAGATTTCTTCTCCAATAATGCTTATCACCGGTTTAATGCTTATGTCAATTGCTGCTGCAATTCAAAGCATGTATAGTAAGTCAAATTATTCATTTCAAACTTACTTTACTTGCAAATATTTTTAATGTTATTTCATATATTAATAATTACTGACCATTGGTCACTAAACATTAACTGTTGTTGAGGAACTAATTATGACTATCATTTGCATAATTATATAAGTGATAATTGCTTTTTCCTAATTTCTCGATCTTCCGATTTTTTTTTCTTTTCAAGCAGCTAAAAGTTTATTACTAAGTATCATCACCAGTCATACCATTCCTCTACCACGATTTTTCTATCAACGAACGAGCAAGCGTCGTAAGATAGTTGCTATCATGATAACTGCCTTCCTCATTTTGCCATATTTATTTGTTAACAGTTTGGATTACATATCGATTATTGCAAGTAGTTGCATGCTTGTCGCATTGATAACAATTAACATTGGCACAATCATTTGTTCAACACTTAATTTTCCCAGGTATTATGGCAAATTTGAACAATTTTGTAACAATTGAAAAAATTTTCCATTTAGTAAACAATTACTTTTCAAATTCAATTTTTTTTTTTTTCATTTATTATTGCTTACATAAAATTAATAATAAATAATTTAAGTTCTCTTTCTTTATTATATCAATTTATGATTCATAAAAAATCGATTCAGATGTTTTTTTCTTTTCATAAAAAATTATATGAAAACAAATAATTTTCTTAAAAAAAAAAAAAAAAAAAAAAAACAGATGCTTTTTATAAAAAATTAAAAATTGGTTGCAACACGAAAACATTTCATCCATTATGACAATTATATTGACAAGGAGCGGATGAAATTATGATACTTTGGAATTGTTGAAAACTGATAATCTGCTTTCAATGTTATTTCAAATATTCCTGTTAAACAAATACACTCTCATATATTTTATTAACAAAAATACCTGAAATAGATTTAAAGTTTTACCAATTATTTTTTTTTTAATATTTCAGTTTTTATCCAACATTTCGATTCTTTCGTTCATTGTTTGCAATGTTTGGTATTATTGCCTGTGCTATAATGCTTTATGGTTGTAAGCCACAAGTTGGTATGATAGTAAGTACCATTGCACTTCTAATTTATATAATATTTCCATTACATCGAAGACGATTCCGTCGTGGTACTCCGTATGCAATTGTCGTTGATATTGCTAATATGTTGTTATATTCATCGACTCAAAAGAGCAGTGTCGGGTATGATAACCAGCAGTTAACTCATTTTTTGTTTCTTTTAAAAAATTCAAAATATCATTTGCTATTTGATAACTGAAAAAATTTTTTTCTTACTAATAATTACATCAGAAAATCATTAATTAACATTGCTTCAATTATGCCAAGCATTAAAAGATTTAACTGATAAATTTAACTAAAATTTAACCAACTATTTTTTTCCTGAGTTTTTTTTTTTTTTTGTTGCCTTGAAGTTAACCAATTCCTGCTAAAAAAATAAGTCTATTTAGTTTTTAATTCAATTTAACAAGAATGATTATTTTTAGTATCTCTCTCTCTAATTTTATTATTTTTTTCAAGAATGGTGGAAGAATTTGGTTCAAAGCCTCGTTGCATTGTTTTTACACGATTTCCAGCACCATGCGATAATCTTCTACGAATGGCTAAAATTTTATCACAAAGTATAATTTAAATAGTTTATTTTCTTTTTTTAAAGGAAAAATAAAAAAGGTAATAAAAAAAAAAAGAAATGATTTCATTTTTGGTTTATTAGGCTAACAAGTCTAACAGACCTTAATTGGTATTTTCCTTTTTTAAAGATATTCGTAAAGTACTAACTCTTCTCCATAATAATATGCTAGAATTAGTATGTCAATGAATTTTTCAACTTTTTCGTTTAATTTTAATTGCATTAGATCTTAGAATTGAACTATCATTTGACGATCATTTCATTTAATCTAAATGTCAATTGAACTATAACTAAATGAACTAAACTATCATTTGGATACATCTATAATGAAAGTTTAATTCATTTGAAAATTATCACTTTCATATATTATCACAAGTAATGTTTACTTATTTTAGATCGTAGCGCACTTTGTCTATCACTTATTCGCGATACAGGTGATCAGGAAAATATTGGCTCAGAAGATGTGAGAACAGCACGACAATATATGGAATATATCGATTTGTCCGGTTATGCCACTCAATTTAAGTACCAAAAGGTATTCTATTCTTAATAATTATCGACAAAACAATTTAGACAATATTACTACTATAATGAATGAAACTCAAAAACTGTTTAGAATTAATTATGATAATTTCAAAAAAAAAAAAACCGATTCCCATCGAGATTACGAAGGAATTTTCATAAGGTTGCACGGCATATGAAGATAAAAATTATTGATTGTTGCTTAATTGTTATAGCTAATAATTCGATCATTCCATTCAATTTAACTGTTAGACAATCAAAAATTTTGCATTGAATTGATTTTCTAGATCAGTTCCCTACATTCGATTGCATCAGCATTAGCAAGTTGTTGTGGTTTGGGAGTTTTTCAGTCAAATACTGTTATGATCGAATATCCATCAGAGTTAATTTACACTATAATCTCATTTTAAAAAATTCATTCAAATTTTTATAAAATTTTAACTTAATATTTTTCTCCTTGATTTTTCATTTTGTCATACTAACCATTTCAGAGCAGCTTTAAGCGGTTTACCTGACTCATTACTTTATCATTATCATATGCATCGTGTTTGTGTTCAGCACTGTAATTTAGTCGTTGTTAAGGGTATTTTTCCGCTAAAAATACCGGTGAATTTAAATTTGTATTTAAATCGCCCAAATTTTCAAATTTCTTACTATTAAAGGAAAGCATTATTAAATTAATGCAACTCACATTTTTTGATTTACTATAGATCATTTCTGAAACTAAACTCAAAACAATTTTTTGTATTACTAGTTCGAAAAAATGAATAGATATTTAATTAATAGATCAGTGGTGCAAACTTATAAATTAATTAATTGATAGCCAGTGCAATCAAACAAAACGATTGATATTTGGTGGATTATTGATAATGGTGATGTATTATTAATGGTTGCAAGAATGTTAAAAAAGCATAAAATTTGGTGTAAAGCGAAATTACGTTTATTTGTGGTGGTGGATATCGAAGATGACGTTAAAAAAATTGAAAAAGCCCTTCTCTTATGGCTAATTGACAATCACTATCTGATAAACAAAATTGAATTTATACAAGCTGATGTTAATTTTTCTATTTCATAATCAAACTATTTGACTGATTTATGATTTTCTTATTTATTACCTTTTCTTTTTATTCATCTAAATTTAATTAGTTTATTTATAATAGTTAGTCAAGTTATATTTTAAGATTATTAAGAAACTTTCCATTTCCATGTTAGAATTACTATCCATAAGTTGGTTTTTTGTTTTTTGTTTTATTTTTTAAAGAAATTTAAAATGACAAATATTTAAAGGAAAAAATAATAGAAACCATAATTCATTAAATAGAATTTATTTTGCTTTTTCTCATTTTTATAAAAAAGCTCGAGAAAAATTTTACCATTCATTTGCAGTCTCGTATTATATCAGATTATGTGCAACTAAGATCATTACAAATAAAACGAAGATATTGTAAAATGAATAAAAAATCGTGGTTTACATATTTGCAACGACTAGTTGGAATGTAAGAAAACATTTTTTAAATTATTATTTTTCCAAACAATTTTAGAGTAAATAGCAGAATTAAATATAAATTTTGCTAACATTTTGTTGTAAAATGTACTGATTTATTAATCGGTGAATTTTTTTATTTTTATGAACAATAAAAAATTGTTACATAGATATATTACTTCTGTGATGTCAAACTATTTTATATACTTAACTTGACATAACACAGTTCTTTAACATAAAGAAGTTATACCCATTGCTACTTCTGTAATATTTGATTAATCTGTTAGCAGTGATAGAATTTATCGATGCAATAAGTAAGTCTGATAGAATTTGAAAGATTCGATAAACTTCGACTATTATTCCATTCATAGATGCTGCATAGGTCCGAAATTCAAATTATATTTAAAATTTTAATTTAACTAAGTTTTCAATTCTGAATATGAGTATAATGAGAGTTAATTATGAAAATATATTATAAATAAGCAAGCAAAATGAGAAGAATTATTTTGAAGACCAGATGGGATGCCAGCACAAAATGCTATAGACAGTGGTTTTCATGGACTAATGACAACCTCAATAAGAAGTAATTCATATATGAAAACGAGTGAACAACAGGTAATTTTTAATTGATACATGAGTAGTGGTAATGCTTGATCAACAAAATGATAATCATAATGATAATGTGATAGGTGTATTGCTTATATTAGCAAATAAAGCTCTTAAAAGATTTAGCAAATTAGTAATTAAAATTACTTTGCTGTATATATGTATATGCTGATAGATTAAATTAACTTGATGTCAAACATATACCTAAATTCGAAATTTGAAACTCAGATCGTAAATCTTGTCATCATTCATTTACATTGAAATTTCCGTGTACAATATTGCTATAATAAGTAAAGCATGGAAATGCTTTTTTTTTTTTTTTTTTTAATTGAGAATTAAAAATTTTCTAAACTCATGCTAATAAAGAAAGAGATGAATCATTATGAAAAGTGAAAAATACGAAATTCAAAAGCTCGAACTGGAATTCATAAATTTTAATTTAATCTAAATGAATAATTATGGTGTAAAATGTAATATGATTAGCAAAGAGCTCGACAACTGAATAAGGAGATTCTGAGACGTAGTTCGGATGCTGTCCTTGTATTGATGAATATGCCAGAACCACCCGTACATTTGGAACGATTTTGGAAATATTTGAATTTTTTAAACGATATGTCTAGTGAATTGAAAAAGGTGCTATTTGTTCGAGGCGTTGATGTACAGTCTAACATAGATCTCGAAACATCAGCTATGAAAGAGTAGAATATTTCGGGTTAATTAATGACTAATTATTTATTAATCAATTAGTTGCTTAATTACTAGCTCATCTATATGATTATAACTTAGCACATTCCCTTCACGGCATAAATTTTGGAATTACTTGCTTATTAAAACATTTTTTTATTATATTATTTTACATTTATTCTTTTGTATTTACTTTTATTCGTTATTCTTTCGTCTTTGTATTACTATTATTATCTTATTGTTATATTATTTTTTGTTATTACATTATTTTACTTTTATTATTATATAATTGTTTCGTTATATGATACAATGATAAAATTATATAATACAATTAAAATAATCCATATTTCCTTCTTCTAATTAATATTATTCATATGAAGCATAAAATATTTAAATTCCATTGGATAATCAATACTTTATTTGCTAATTTTATTTAAAAATTATAATACAATTTAATTATAAAAGGAGTTTTGTTAGATAAAATTTATTTCAACTTTTACGAATACAATCTTAATAGCATTTACAATTTTCACTTCCCATATTTTCTTCTTCTTAATTAATATCATTTATATTAAATGTAAAATATCTAAATTTTGTTACAGAGGATTATACCATCAATCACAAAAAGATTTCAAAGAGAAATTTAGAGAATAAAAAAAAATGAAATAAATACTATTCTGTAAAAAAAGATGAAAAAGCTCTCAAAAAAATTCTCCAAGTATTAAAGAAAAAAAATTTTTTCAAGAAAGTTTCAGAAAATTTTCAAAGAGTCTTTGTATTCAAAAACGAACCAATTCTATCAGATTACAATATCATTCACAGATTTAAATTTTAAGAATTTGTTATATGTTATACAAAAAAAAAATCAAATTGTGCTTAAATGAACGATGGAATTCTTGAAGCGATTCCCTTGCATTCTGTAAGTGAGATACTATGTCATCATTGAGTTACTCCGCGGAGCTGCGGTAGTTGTGAGTATTTTGCGGGGATTTTGCTTGGTAGTATCGGTGGAAAAGTGATACGAATGGTTTGATTTGTATGCATTTTGTAGGCAATTGCACGAAATTTCCATTTTTCCAATACTTTAGACAGTTCAAAATGGCGCTGTGAAATATTGTATAAATGAATTTTCTTATTGAAAAGGGATGAAAATAAAAGCGCGGAAAAGTTCCGGTGAGCAAACATTAGATAGTGCTGAGAGATCGGAAAATATATGGAAACAAAAGCAACTTTTATTGCTCTCATTTTTATGTCGTATTATTTTGGTGTATTATGGGTGTATCCATGATTACTTATTTGAGGTTAGATTTTGTATTCTGATATTTAATATTGAAGTATTTTGTGTTAATAGTGTATTAACACCGAAAAGACTGATATAACTTGAAATGACAAACTTTGAAATGAAATTGAGTAGATATTTAACATATGTTAAAGTGAAATGAGCTTTCAGTATCAAAATGAAGTGTCATGAAATGAATTTTTATTGTATACAGATCTAAATATTGTTTTACATGAATTGAATTTCACGAAATGACTTACTGAGTGTAAACAAAGAAGGGAGAAGAGAGTGTGGTCAAGATAACAAGAAATTATCTTTTCGCTGCTAGTTTTTTGTACTGTAAAAGTTTTTTTTTTTTTTTTGTTCACAGTGAATGGGGGGAGATGGTTAACTTGTAGGGGAATTTTTCTTGTTCATAAGTTATATTTTATTTTCTTTTTGTCTAAATTGTGAAAGGTCTCTACTGCGAGCTACGGTTAAGACATTTTACTTTAAGGATTTTTTTTTTTTTTTAAAAAATGCTTCAACAAAAAAAGAGAAAGAAACGCCAAAAAAAGAAAAAGATTTTGCAGACGAGTCAAGAAAAGAATGGAATGAAATTACTTGTTCAGCAATAACCTAAAGATGGTTCCTGAGGACGATAAATATTGTACAGTAGTTTCATTGATTTCTGTTAGAAAATAGTTAAAAACAGAATTTCAAATTTCTAAAATTTCAAGGTGCAATTTACCGACATTGATTATAAAGTTTATTCGGATGCAGCAGAATACATTTATCGTGGACAATCGCCATATAAGCGAGCAGCCTATCGTTATACACCATTATTGGCTTGGCTATTAACCCCAGTAGTAAAATGGCCTGATTTTGGTAAATATTCAAATAATTTAGAGAAAAAATATACCAAAAAGAGAATAGGATGTAGTGAAGATGAAATCGTTACATTGGAAGGCTTAGGGGTTGTAAAAATTTGAGCTGTAAAAAAGTTGTGAAAAAGAGTTGCAGAAATGGGAATTAGACGCTATAAAATTGTTCTGCACATACGGTAAGTGATCACTTCTGAAATGAGTAGTTTCTTACCACAATGATAGTAATAATATCATTGTTTTATTCCCATATCTCGCAGGAATTCTAAGAAGTTCAATGTCTTTCATGCTTTATTGTTTAATAAGGACATCGATTCCTTTATGCAATATGAATGAAATGCTGCCTAGTTTTGCATTTCAGTTCTACTCTGGTACATACCAGACACACTAAAAGAATTTTGTATAAGCAGCTTCACTTTCATAAAGCGTGCTAAGTAATTAATGCGGGCAAGTAGTCATTGCTGAATATTCTGTAAAAATCAAGCATGTCAAATTTGCAGGAAAATTTTTATTTTGTGCCGCAGATGTAGCAAATGGTTTTTTGTATTTCGAGTTAGCAGCATGTAGTCAAACGATGCGCAAGGTTAATAAATTGAGAAAAGTTTTATTTTTTGAATTTTTCTGCATCAAACTTTTTTTCCTAGTTTTTCTCTTTTTAAAAGGAATTCATTTTTTAATTTCTTTAAGTATTTTTTTAAGCAAAACGACCAAAAGTTTTTTAGCGTGGGATTTGGATTATTTGCTTTTTTTATTTGTTTATTTTTTCTTATAGTTCGTTAAGTTCTAGGCATGCTGTTCAAGTAATAGTATTGCGGAATTTCTGAGAACATTTCGATTTTTTTTTTCTTTTTTTATTATTTTTCTTTATTTTGTTTTTGAAGGACGAAAATAAGTCCAGGATGAAAAAAAGTGTGGTAGTATTTTGGCTTGCAAATCCATTAACAGCTATAATATCAGCAAGAGGTAATGCTGACGTGCTTGTATGTGCTGTCGTTCTGTGGACTTTATATTTGCTTATGCGGAATCAGGTGATATCTTAACAAAATTTAAAATACTTTCCAGCTTTTTTCTTGATGTGTAACTTTTTACACTTTTTAGTCTTGTTTCTCGTTGTGTAATTATGACAGTATTATTAGATCAGTCAGGAAGAAGTAAGGAATGAAAGTGATTATGGATTGCGAAGTCTTGGCAGAAAGCGTTCTTCCGATACTATGTTACCGTTGTTGTAATTTGTCCATACTTAATCGCTGTTTTTCAACTTATCCAGTTTTTAACGCAATATCGTTGAATATGAATATTATTGATCAACGTTTGGTGAATATTGGAAAATACAAATGCCTTATTCGCAATGGCAGATAAAGCACCTGCAGAAAAGTTCTCGTTAAGAAAGTGAAAATAACATAAAAAGTGAAATCGCATAGTATTATTTTTATTAGAAAACGATATTTGGACGAAATATTTTAGTGGTGGTTGGCAGCCTTGGTTTATGGACTGCTAGCAGTACACTTGAAATTATATCCAATTATTTATTTACCTTCCATTTACCTTTCTCTGTCCAATGTTTCTTTATCATCTGGATGGATCGATTATGGCAAGCGACTGATTTCAAATATGAAAGGATATATTTTTGTATTGGTATGTAGGTATCATATATCATCAGCTAGTTCTGTTTACCCATCCATTTCAACATTCGGTTGATTATATTGATGTCCAAAATCTTTTACTTTCTCGTTATTTATGAAATGCTATATGATAGCATACCCTCTTACAGATCATTTCAGATTCATAGATTGTGGGACAAGAATCAGTAGATCTGAAATTTTGTGATTTTCCATTGTTAATATATCCCACTTTTACTAGGTTATTGTTTAAAATATAACTGCCACGTAAGCTTTGATTTTACTTGTTTCAGATATTTTGTTGTAGTTTATTGACATTAGTGATCATATTTTATATGTTATATGGTATGCCTTACATTAACGAAGCATTATTTTATCATTTTTACCGCACTGATACACGACATAATTTTTCGCCCTACTTTTACTTATTGTATTTGACAGCCAATAATGCACAAATATCTCGGCTTATAAGTTTTTGCGCTTTCATACCCCAAGTTTCACTCATCATTTATCTTGCTTTCAGGTGTGTTTTTCCATTTAGAACTTTTGTTGTAATTTTGGGAATTTTAATATTTGATCTTTCCATTTATCTAATGTCCCCACTAACAATATTGAGATTAAAGGTGTTTGTTTTCAATTAATCTCAGTATGTTATGATAAAATTGTTATAATATTGGAAAGCGCTGTTTTTCGTAACTGTAGTGGAGGTTAAGATAGTAGAGAAGTAACAGTTTAGAAATTGGTCTTTGCTTATGCTCAAGTTAATGGGTGAGCGAACCCTTTTCTTTGAATTAATCAGAATTCAGCTGAGTGTAAGATTATTCATTATTTTTTACATTTGATTCTCAATCCAGCAGTGATAAAAAAATTAAGTATGGAATTTTGCAGATTTCATGATGATCTCCCATTTTGTTGGCTAATTACAACGGCCGTATTTGTTTCGTTTAATAAAGTATGCACTAGCCAGTATTTCATTTGGTATATTTGTTTGTTACCGATTGCTCAACGAAGTATCGAAGTTGGTTTTTAGATTTATTGCTATGCTGTAATATGAATTTGGATGTTTGAATGAAATGAATTTTAGTCAAATTATTTCATTCTAAAGCGAAATTTATTCCATTTTTAAATCACTATTAAATTTTACAGATTTCAACAGTGGAAGCAGTATACTTGATAATTTTATGGTTCTTGGGACAAGCGTTTTGGCTTTATCCTGCTTATTTGTTCGAATTTCAAGGGTTGAATACATTCTATTTAATTTGGCTTTCTTCATTGTTCTTCCTTACGATCAATACAGGAATTATTGTTCAGCTAATTCGACGACATAATTGTAAAAGAAGTTGTGGAATAGTTGGATAAAATCTAATCATTCGGTCATTGTTTTGGAAGATTTAAACAAAATAATGTTTTAGAAAATCAGACTTACACTTTTTTGTGTCACGATTTTCTCTTTGTAGGTAAAAAGTAAGAGGGGCTTTAGTTCATTTTGTAATTTTCTTATAGTGAAACGAAATTAAAAAGTGTTTTTGCTTTTTGGAAATTTTCTCATGCCGATCTCACCGGTGATCATTAGTGTTCAAGTGTAGCTGAGTAAATTGAGTTCCGAATGATATTGAGCTAGTGAATTTAATATGTACCAGGACAAATAGTTTCAAGTTATCCTAAATTAAGGCTCCCTTGGGTTATATGTTGCTCTTACACCGGTAATTACATCGTTATTCCAAACCAATATTGATTATAAAAATGATTTCATGCTTCTTTATGTCTTCAAAAAAAAAAAATTATTTTACGCATATTGCTGCGAAATATTGTTGAACAATTGTAATTCATAATTGGAATGTAATGGAATGTTGTCATAAGAATGTTCAAACGTTGAAATCTTAGAGTTATGTTAACTTAAAATTTCGTTAAAAATTTATGTGACTTACTGCTTAACTACACAATACATAGAAGCGAGAGAAATAGATTGAAATAAATGCATAAATTTAAATGAAAAAACTTGCGTAAGGACGGGAATAAACGTTTTGTTCATACTATCATTATAATTCTTATTCCTTCTTCATGATTAATAAATTGTTATGTAAGTGTTGCGTGCTGTTTGTTATTGTTACATTTTGCAGTCGATGGCTAGATTTCATCTACATCTCATTAGTCATGTGTCGTAAAACTAATGAAAATTACTGTACTGTTCTGCAGGTCGTAAAGAATGGAATTAATTGTCTTTGTTAGTTTGAAGTTTGAGTATGGATAGCTTGCACGTGGAGATTGTTAGATTGAAGTTTGGGTGGGCTGAACTTTTTTTTGTATGGTTGATGTTTTTGGTTTGTAATAAATCCAATTTGGATCATTCACATCTAAATTGTGCTGATGATGGTGTAGCAATGATAAGAGAACGAGAGATTAATTTAACATATATTATGACGCTTACACATTGATTTCAGTTTGGTAATACTTGGCATTATTAGTTAGCAAATGAATACTGTATGAATATTATTTATATCTTGGGAAGTAAATTTGAATCAATCATCTTTTGTTTATTTTGGGATGTTGTGTATTGTCATTTGGTAGCATACGAATATGCTTTTTTCAGATTTATTGAAGTATACTGAAATCTATTTTATCTCAATGTTATATCTAGTCGGTTTGGGTTTGGGCAATGTCGATGATATAACGGTTAAGGGAATGGTTACTGTGCAGAAATGTTCTCGTGTGTATTTGGAAAGTTACACAAGTATTATGTCCTTCGGCTTAGATAAAAAGAAGTTGGAGGAATTTTTTAACAAAGAAATTGAAGAAGCGGATCGTATGACGATTGAACTAGATTCTGGTAGTTTTATTAACTTATTTTATTTGAATTTTCAAATGTCGAGAAACATATTCTCTTCAGTTTTTTCAGTGTTATCACCATCACTCAGTGTTGAATTATTTGATTACAAGCCACTTGGCATTTTATTATTTGATTACAAGCCACTTGGCATTTATATATGGGTTGTAATTTATATTTTCGAACATAACAAATGCTGCCGGTTCATTTACGATGACTGTAGGATAATGAATAGTGAAAAATTAATTTTTTTTTTTACCATTTAGTAATAGATGGGATGTTCTATACCGAAATTATCATCAGGAAAATGAATGCCGTAGTAGGCATTCCACAATTCTGATTTCATGAGAGACAAACAGTGTGCATTTGAAATTGGTTTTTCTTTCAAACTCTACTTTCATAAATTTTGCAGATGATATAATAGACGAAGCATTCGATTCAGATGTATGTCTTTTGGTAGTTGGAGATCCTCTTGGTGCTACAACACATGCAAGTTTAGTTTTTAATGCACGAAAAGCAGGTGTCGATGTGGAAATTGTGCATAATGCTTCTATCATCAGCGCTGTGGGATGTTGTGGCTTGCAGGTAGGATTCAGAAAGTATCTTTATTTCTACTGTTGTAAAATGGTGCGAAATTTTACAAGTCTTCAAAACTTTTACTTTTGGAAAATCATTTTTCTGCTTGATTTCCGTGTCTGTTTTAGTTGTATAGATTTGGGGAGATCGTTTCAATTGTTTTCTGGGAAGAAAATTGGCATCCAGATTCTTATTATTTCAAAATCGCAGAAAATAAAAAGCGAGGACTACATACATTATGCTTGTTAGGTCAGTAGCCATCATCTTACATTGTTTACATTTTCATATATTTCCCAAAACTACAATATCTGTTTTTCTTTTCTAGTAATTACTTAAAAGGTTACAATGAAACCATAATTTGTCTACCTGAAATTTTGAGCAGGGACGAGGAAGAAGTTTGTTGCAATCCTAAGTGCATAGTGTATTTGTTTCGGCTGATCAGAATCATGATGTTGAGAAAGTTTAGTTATTAAAATAACAATTAAGTTTATAGTAGTTAATGAAATTACAACTCAAAAATCATCTTTAATTTCAGATATTAAAACGAAAGAGCAGTCAATAAAAAATATGATGAAGTTTGTATTATTTTAACTTAATTTACTTTGAAGTTTTGATTCTGCACAAAAATTGTGGATTTTTGAGATCACTTTTTCCACAGAAAAATTTTTTCTCTTGGCTCATTTTTTCGCTGGTTGAGATGATTTTAAAAAAATAAGTTCTCATTGATGGAAATGGTCGTTTTAAATATATTAGTTAATCAAATAAGACAGCAGTGCAGTGTAATTTCTTTACAAAAACTAAGGCAAAAATAGTGATATTTTATTCCTATGTTTTCATATAACTTGTATTTATCTTGATTATATGTATGTCATTGCTTCAAAGTTGTCATCTGTGAATTAAAAATTCCAGAGGTCGGAAGGAATTTCTCCCTCCAAGGTATATGACTTGTTCCGATGCAGCAAAACAGCTGTTGGAGATTGTAGACCAGATGAGTGATGAAAATATGGAACCCGGTAAGCTCACAAAAAGAAATTTTCAAACAGTATGAAAGCAAGGACTAAATGAATTTTGAAGCGCATGGTACTAATACCAGTTTAAAAATTTTAAATTTTGTATTAATATGATAGACAGCGGTGTCAAGTACCATTATAGATGGGATGTAAAACATGCAGTAGTTGACATGATGAGTTATAATGTATCGATGAATCTAGCTGACACAGTTAAGGCTGTTTTTCTTAATTTCCCAAAAAAAAAAAAAATGCTTTAATTAAAATATGCATAGGTCAGAAGAAACGTTGAAAATTTACTGCATAGGTCAGAAGAAACGTTGAAAATGATATATGATTGCATTTTTTGCGATTTTATCTTTTCCAGCTCAGTTCCAAATATAATTTTTGAATGGAATTCGCATCGCTTTTTTTAGTCACATTGTCATAAAATATCATTATTTTATCATTCATTTATCCTTGTAGTTATTGTTTAATTTTCGATTTTTTTTCTTTTTCAGTATACACGAAAAGTACAGAAGTTGTGGCCCTGGCGAGGGTAGGATGGGATGATCAGAAGGTTTTGTTCTTTTCTTTGTTCCTTTCTATAAGAAAAATTGATCTTATTGCTGAATGATTGATATCTGGTTATATAACTAGACTAGTTATCCTTTCACAAAAATGCATATACAGCTTTGTTATTTCTGCTGTTACCTGTGAAGTATGGTTGATATCTGGTTGTGACTAGATGATTCTCTTAATTCGGCTGAAAAAAATCAATTGCTTAATAAAACTTCTTGCATATCGGTATTAGGGAGGTTTATTAATTAATTTCAGATTGTTTTCTGCTCTTTGGAAGCATTATGCGATCTAGACATGGGACCACCGTTACATTCATTGATCATTCCCGGTGAATTGCACCCAATGGAATTGGATTTTTTGAAAAGTTTCTACCACAACGTCTTTTAATTTATGGAATGCTTTGTTTTTTTTTTTTTTTTTGTTGTTGAATCTTTTTATAATTTTTACATTTTACTCAGTGCCCATGAATTATACTGTTGGATTATTCCATAAGATTTGAGACTGGAATTTAACTTTGTTCCACTTTTGTTAGAATTTCTACATTTTGATTTTACCATTAAATTTTTGTAACAAAACGAATGAAGGACAGAGAGGAGAAATTCGAAGCTCAGGAATGATTCCATCATCTCTGATCTCTTGTTTAACATGTTATCAGTTTGGATTATGAATTATTAAACTTTTGAAATTTAACGTTTTGAGCTTGTGATAATTTTTGTTCTTTGAGTTTATCAATTATTACTAAATTGTTGTTCATTGTAATAAATAATTGCAGTTATTCATTTCTGTTGGATTTGAACTGTTTCCCGCAGCTAGAGGAATATTTTTCATTTTAATTTTTTGTCTAAAAAACGTTACTTGTCATATTCATTAACAAAGCAGGCTTACAGATTTGCGGATCAGAATATGTATTTCTATTAGCATGTGAAACCGTTGCAAGCAAACTCATATATGGGAATATGCATTCAGTTTGGAGGTGAGAGAACTGAGGTGATTACAATTTGTTGTTACAATGGTTGATTCGGATTTGTTACTCTATGAATGACGGGTTGATCTACAAGGTATTCTCTCTGTTATGTCCAAATGGTTACACTTGTTTCTCAGACTGATTTAAGTTAATAGTCTTTTTTCAGGTAATTATCAATGTATTGTCCGCTAGCTGTACATTTAGATTATGATCCACCAATTCCAAATACAACAGCACCAGTTGCAACTACTTCAGATTGTGTTTTGTCTCATAATGGTAGAAATTTCGTATCCTGAAAATAATGTCTGCATGCTTATTTTCTCTTGATTTCTAATACTTTATGATACCTGGTTTAAATTTTTGTAGGGAATAGATCGAAATATGGACAGATAATCTAAACTGAAAATCAGTTTCCAATGTTTTGTTCTGTTTTTAAATTTAATTCTTCTCACTGTTATAATAAAATTTCAGGATTTCTGGGCCGATCCGATCTGATTCAGACAGTTTGTCAGCTTTATGATGTGGTGCAGGGTGAACGTGTTCACTCACGGAAAACAGCCCTTATTCAACATGGTTCTCCTCTTCATCCCTATAGTGTTTGTAATCCAAATTACGGTGGTCATGAGTTGTGTTTGCCATTAGCTGTGGATTATGTTTCGTCTGATTTCGCACCTCCGACAATGGCACATCACTTTTACTATCTTCATATACGAGATGCTAAAATTCCTACTTCTCTGAAAAATGATATTTACCGCCAATTGTATCATACGTCACCTTTTGACCTTCTCTCCAAATATACTGAGTTACGGAATCGTTTTGACTTAGTACCATTGAAAAAATGTCGACCATTAATGCTAGCTATTCTAAATTTTTGGATTCAGCGATGTAAACTGCTGAAAATGTGTCTAGATGCTACGGAATTTTTTCCGATTCGATTACAATGGACTGATTCAGTGTTTGAAGGTACGAGACTTGAGCGTGATCAGCTGTCGCAGAAGTGGGAAATTGGACGTAAGATTTGTGAATATGGTTGGGCTATTGAAATGGTGCGTGCTGAACGTGTACCGGCATTTGCTGAAAATTGTCCGTTGATCTTTGTGGGTGATAATACGTCTACACGATTGGCACGTTATATCGAGTGGGGTAAGCGAATGAATGAAATAGATGGACGATTTCTACAACAGTTTGGAATCGATAGCTGGAAACTAGAAGAATTTGAACGAATGTCCACTTTGTTTCTGTTTTTGCAGAAAATTCATTTTGGTAATGGATGCGTTGCAATAGTACTGTCATCAGGAGCACATGAACTAGCTGAAGGAGTGGCACCGTCGAAATACGGCAAACTTCTGGAAGATATACTTCTGTATTTATTACAGTTCCAGTTGCGAATTCTTGTGATTCCACCGACGCCTCGTGCGGAAAATCAGTTTCTTTGGTTCCAGTATGTGCAACAACAAATTGAACTTAGCGCCAAATTATCGAGCGTTGAATTTTTGATTCGGCCGGCTCATCAAGCGAATGATCGCTGTTTTCTGGATGCTCTTATTATAGGAAGTCGTACATTGGATTCATTTATGTGTGACAATGCTGGTTTTACTGATTTCGGAATCAAGAAACTTGGTTTTTTCCTGATTGAGGTAATGCAAATTCCAAGGACGGGTTATAATGGACAAATTTCAAAGCATGAAGTGACAACTGCAACAACTTCAAGACAAGATGATACAATCTTTACACACGGTTATCACAGAGAAAGTACTGCTGATGTAAACCAACGATCACTAAGGTTGGTTGAAGCACAAGCTAAGGTCTGGTATCAGCCAAATATTATGAACCCGCTAAAAATTTTTCGACTTTACCCTCAGTGGCATGTACTGACTTACTATCAACCAGTTTTATATGCTTAAGTGTTAAAAGTTATTCGGGTTCAAATATTGTTGGAAATTTGTTGATGCCATTCGCTACTAGCATTCAGAATTCTAGATATCGGAAGAAGAAAATCTCAAAGGTATCACATCACCAAACAACAAATAACAATCTTTTGTTGGAAAAGGAACAACATGCAGTGACTCACTCTGCTAAAAAACTGAAGCGATCTTCCAAATTATTACACGGGAACTGTTTTATGTTATCACAAGAACGACGTAATCGGCGTAAACAGGCGCGCACAGGGCGTGCCATCGAACAACTAAATAACTAAAATGAACCCAGGTCTTAACATGCTTCGGTGGATTTAATTTTTATTACCTTTTTCACTACTTCAAAAATTGGAACAAAATTTTTAATATATCGTTCTGAGTTTGTAGGTTCGAAGATTCATATATTATTTTTGTAGAGCTCAAAAATTTGTTTTTATATATATATATATATGTTTAAAAGATCATGATTATATGCTGTAGACATTTCTTAAGGTTGCGATATAATTGGACGTTATATATGGTTATGTTGGACTCTCGAAAACTGTTTTCGATGCTATAATGTCTCTTAATAAGTTGATCCAGTTTTGTTTTTTTTTTAAAAAAAAAGAAAAAAAAAACATTAGTTTACTGAAAAGTTATGACTAACACTAGATACAAAATAAAGGGTTATAACTAACAATTAGTACGCATGCTTATTTATCTCGATATATTTTCCTATACATTTATAATTTTTTTTCAGGTTTGGTAATATTCATATATCAAGTTTTTCTCTGGTTGGTAACTGAACTACGGGGAATTATTGCCGGTCTGTTCGGTTTCATTTTCTCGATGATTTTTTTTTTTGACACGCTTCAAATATATAATTTTTTGCAGAGTGCGTGTTTAATTAATATATTTATGTGTTGTGCATTTAAATGATTTAATATATTTTCTTTTACACTCTTTGTATTGGGATCGTACTCTTCACTACACCAGTATGATTAGTCGTAATCATTCATCTTGTCAGAGTTAGGGAAGCAAAAGAGATTTGTTAAAAATTTACTGTAGATATTATATAATGTAATGCTCCGTGTTTATTTAAGGAATTTTAAAAACCTCGAAAACTTGAGATTTTAGATTATACTTTTCTTCAAATACTTTTTTTTTTTTTTATGCTTGAGTTTTTTAATAAATCAAAAAAATTAATGAAGATCGAGCTGTTCCAATATTCCTGTTGTACTTCTTTTTAGTTTGGCAGTTCAATCTTGATAAATATATGTGTTTTTAATTTGTATCACTTTTAATTTGTATCAAAGAAGAACTTTTTTTTTGTTCAGGCGTTTTTGTAAAATTTATACTGTCGAGGAATAATTTCAAATTTTTTGGTTGACGTGCCTAGAAATTTCAGTTGTGTTTTCCTAACATTTTTTTCGTATTTCTCATAAAAGGCAATTGAATGACACGTTATAGATTTGAATATTAGTATAATATTTTGTTATTTTACTAGTTACTACACTTGTGTTTACTTGTTTTCTTTTCTCGTTTCTTTTCTTTTTCTCTTTCATCATTTATAGCACCATTTATATTGGTTTCTAACTTATGATTATAAGCTAGCAACGAAGTTTTTTTGTTCTGTGTTTTTCTTTTTCTTTTTTTTTTTGCTGCGGGATATATTTTGCTGCAGCAGAAAATGGAAGAGAAATGTTTCTAACGGTAGAAGAAATGATATGAAAAAAGGATGCAGAATTAGAAGTAAAAAATATATATGTCCTAATTATTAATAGCTGATTAAGACAGTAAACTTTAATATTGGAACAATAGGAAGTAAACTTAACTGAAGTTGTAGTGAATATCGCGTAAAAGAATCCTGGTCGTCTAAGGAAGTTACATTTTACAATTTTAGAAATTTGAAAATATTAAAAATTTATTGCTACATAAATTTTGAAAGAAGAGACGGTTAGATATATATATTTTAATGTAGAGTTGATCAGAAATTTATATATGATGTTTTTTTTAGTGATTGCTTTATTACTATTATTATTATCTTTATCATTACTATTATTATATCATTAATTACAGAAACATAAAAGTTTCCACGATAATATGCTTCATTGTTGCCACTTATTGTCCTCATTTTTCATAATTTGTTTCCAGAGTTTCAATTTGTGGATGCTTTCGGCTTGCAGTTAGATTTCTATCAGATCAAAATTTATTGTTGTATGGAGATACGTTCATAATTTTGGTAGGAATTTTTCGTAAAATGGCTATTTTTTTTTTCAGTGGTTTTATGATCGCTTTTTCAACTAGTATGAGATATTTGAAGTAGTGTTAGCCGAAGTATTCCATCTTTAACATTTATAAGTGTTCTTCGTTTTTACTTTTCATTATGATTTTATCTGAGTCAGTTGTTTGGCTTTGGTCTCACATTTATTTATTTAAATCAATCTGTTCTCCGGTTACAGTTCTCTCGATTACATTTACTTAGCGAGACAAATGGCCACTTAAAGTAAGTGTCTGTAATAGTGATCTATATATAAGATATTTCAAATTCCTGCTGAACTGCTTTTTTCTTTCAATTTAATCTTAAAATCAGTTATTAATGGCGATTTAGTGTCGGAGTCGATCTAAATCGACATTTCATAGGATCGTGTGTGGATTTTGTGTTTCTATATAGTTTGGCTTGCTAATGATTGATACTGTGATTGAAATTCAAATGAGTTCGTTTTGGTATATTGCATTAAGATGAAATTTGTAAACTTATTAAATCTGTGGAAGTTACTATCAAATTTTTGTCAATCTGTTAGCACTTTGCAAATTTTCAAAATTGTTAGATGGGATGAAGCGTACATTATGTGTCTTACCACATTACAAAGAACGCGTTTAGTTCGAGAATGAATGTTATAACTATGAGTTCTTACTAATTGTACTGCTCTTTCATGAGCTCAACAGATCAGTAACCATTCGTGTTGTTACTGTTACAAAATGACCAGTTCTTGTTTTGAAATCAATAAAATGTTGGAAATATTCCGGGAAAGTAACCAATGTCTAGGGAAAAGTGACGTAATATCATTGAAATTATCTTAGAAGCCAGAAAATATATAACTGAAATGGATTCAGTTTCTAGAAAAAGAAATATATATATTGTTAGTGGACAATTGATGCTTAACCTAAATTCCAGCTGATCAGATTGCTTTACTGAAAAATCTATAATCCCATTAGTGCTTGAGAAGATTGAGAAAGTAGCTGAAAAGGAAGCTAATAATAAGAAAACATATTTCCACTCAAACAAACTTCATAAAAAATCGTATAATTGACTTTGATATAAATTATTTGGCTTTGTTTGAAATCGACTTTCTCAAATTTAAAACTTTTTTGTATACGTTTTATTTAAATATATGTATTGTAATATCCTACATACAAGTGCACTCATTTTCCTTCAAACTATCAATATTTCGATGAAACAAAAAGAATTATCTTTGGTCTTTCTGGTTTTCTAATCTGTTTATAATTTGATATCTTCCAACAGCCATTTTCTTTTTTGATTTTTATTGTAAGTAGCATTTAATTACCAATTTCTTTTTGAAATTATTCTACAATTACTACTGGTTTTTAATTGCTTGCAAATTCATCAATATCGCAACCGTATATATGTCATTGATCATATCCTTGCAATTTTCCATAGAATTTATTTGTGATATAGTACAAAAATGAATGTCTTAGATGGATATTGCGAGCTGTTTTTCATGAGACTTTTGAGATAGACTGCAAATTTACCATTGCTATAAGATAAGTAATTGGATAACTCCGTAGTAATCCGATTTGTTATTTGCAAAATCATTTGTTGCTATAAATTTCAATAAAGACGAGAGAATTGAAAGAACTGATTGAAATTTTTGTAGAAATAGCGCTTTTCTTGCAAGAATCAACAAGAAAATTATAATCCCTAATCTATATTTACTAGTGAAAAAAAGAATATATCATGACTAATTTGCAAAAAGCCTATCTTGGGATGCAATGTTTCTGGGGTGCTGAATCGACATTTGCAAAATTGGATGGCGTATTGGCAACACGAGTTGGTTATGCTGGTGGTACCACAGATGCACCGAATTATCGGAATATCGGTGATCATACAGGTCTGTTTATTTTAGTTTTTAAAAATTTTCATTTGTTTATCTTTTTGTATAAAATTTAAAACTATCTTATATGAAATGAATCTGTTCTCACTTCTCTTACTGGATTTCGATTGTTAAAATATTTTCCTAAATCATATGTAAATTAATTAATCTTAAGGAAGGCTTATTTCGAAGTCAGTTCCAACTTGTCTATTTCTGTGCTACATATTCTTTTTCTTTTGTATTAAACTTTCTCGAATTTGGTCAACACTTTAACATACCAAGTAAAATATTATCGTCTGTGTAGTTTAATAAAATTTAACATTAAGATGAGATAAATTACCTTATTATTTGCAAGCTTAGGTTTTAAGAACTCAGGGGATTAAGCCGCAAATCCGACTTCAAATTTTATATTTCTACTGCTTTTTTATATAAGTTGTGAAATTTTTTTTTTTTTTTTTTACGAATATCTCAAATATTGCAGAAGTAACGGAAGTTCAGTTTGACGGAAACATTATAAGTTACAGTGAAGTTCTGGATTGCTTCTGGCGAAATCATAACCCAACTAAAGAATATAAAAAGCAGTATAAATCCGCAATTCTCTATCTGAATGATCAACAAAATGAGATTGCCAAGCAGAGTTTAAAAAAGATACAGGTGATTCACATTTTTCGGTAAACGTTTCTTTTGAAAATATTTTATTCATTTGTATAACTGTCATACTTGGATATTTTCCTGGATTTTGTTGTTTTATTTTTTCTTCTATAATAGAATTACTTGTGAATTGAAATGAAATTTCTAATCCTATTACAAAACTGATTATGATATATTTCTAGATTAATTGTGATGAGTGAATTATCTGTATGGTCTGTTGACCTAAACTTCATGTCGCTTTGAGTTGTTAAAAAGTTTTGTACGTGTGTAAAGATAGAAAAAGTTACAGTACTTTTATAGTGCCACCGAAAAATCATTAAAAAAGATGTAAAACTTTTTGAAATTCCATCTAAAAATTTTTAACAGTTTTCCAGGAGAAATACAACAACCGGAAATTGGATACATATATTCAAAAACTGGTTCAATTTTATCAGGCGGAAGATTACCATCAAAAATATTGGTTGCGTTGTCAAACGGCAATTTTTAAAAAGGTCAACGAGAAAAATTCTTTTTTTTCAGTGAAATTCTAACTTTACATAAATTTGGATCCATAAATTTGAAAGAAATATTTTGGTCTCACTGGTGAAATGATCAATCAAATATGTTGATAAGTTTCAACGATAGAATAAAATTCTTTACCTTTTCATTCCTTCAAAATTGCTTCGTTTTTTTCATAACGATCAAAAGAAATTTTTTGTTGGTCTCGTAAGCGAATAAAAAAATCATATTGCTTTCTTATCAGATTCATTCTAGAAATCAAATTAAAATACAATAATGGTGAGGACTGAGTGATCGTATATTTCCAGAAGCTCACTTGTACTAAAATTGATATTTACTATGATACAACTCTCTCACTATTTTACTGTTTTAGTCCATTTCATTTTGGCTGACTAATTAATTAACATATAGCAATGTTTCAAAAATTGATATTCAAGAATTGAAAATAGTTTTTGCTTTTCCCTTTAAATTTTGTTGTCATAAATAGTTTATGCATTTTATGTTAACAATTTATGCTTTTTTTCTCACCATTTCCCAGATTTTTTTTTTTTGAATTAAAAAATAAAATTACTATTGAAACAATAGCAGAATGATTACATTAATTTCTGGGTAATTCAAGAAACATAATTCTGCCGTTCAGTCTGTCACTGATTCAACTAAATATATTTTTGATTTGATTTTCACAACATTTGATCATATTTTAATGCTATAATAAAAATTTTCTATTGCAGTTGAATCTGAGTAATGAAGAAGTGGTAAGTTCACTATTGGCTACAAAAGTGAATGCATTTTTGGCAGGATATACAAATTTCGATCTCCTCAAACAGCTAGCTAATCAGTATCAATTAGACGATGATGTTACCAAACTAATTGAAAGTATTGCTTTAACAGGTGGAGATACAAAGGCATGTCACGTATAATCGCAGTTGTTAATTTTAAATTCACCGTGTGAGAAAAACGAAAGATAGAGTAGATATGAATCAGATCATTTGATTCACTGTTCATTTCACTCTTTTAAGTATATAGATAAACAAGATGAGGAGGATATTTCTTACTGTATAAGAAATAAATTACTGGTAATTGCTTATTGGTTTGTGTTTGCTTGCCAATAAATATTTATTATCAATGAATTTCAAAATAAATTGTTCATTTGAATCAAACCTAGAAATTTGTGTGTCCCACATGTGTAACAATAGTATGAAATTAGAAATTGAACGAATTCGGCACTGAAGAAGAGATGACATTAACGCGAGACAGATTTCATTCAATCTTGTCATCTAAAATATTGTTAGTGCAATCATCATGCATGTCGTCCATTCCTATCGTAAAATATCGGAAATTTTTCAATTACATAATTTTCTTTCTAATTTTTCTATTTTTTATTTTTTTGATTCCCCAATATAAGCTGGGAAATATGAGAAAAAAGGGAAAAATTCAAGACAAAAATATGAGAACAACTATGATTTACAATCTTATTTGATAATATTTCTACATTTTCATCTCTCATCTAATTCTACGGATTAATCAGAATGTTGCAAATCATTTTAATTTGTAATCATCTAAAAGATTTAAGTCTAATACTATTTCATGTCATTTTTAATTCAATTTATGACATTAACTTTTTACTATTTATTCATTTATTTCCAACAAACATTCTCTCTTTTTCTTTCCTTCCTTCTCGCTCTCTCTTTCTTACTGAATTTTGTGCTGCAATACAGAATGTGATTTGTGGCACGATGGTCATTTACCGTTTAGCCTGGTTGGAATTTCATTAATTACACGTGAGCTTGTCGATGGTTCCACTTATAGCTGTGATTAGTGTTAATTAACATTTAAATTATTGTAATTTGTTCCGATAAATAATAGCTATAGAGTTAATTGTGATAGATATCTGAAAGGTTAATGTGATAAGATGAGATGAAATGAGCGATTGTTGTGTTAAAATTTGGAAATATAATAGTAGTTATGTGAATTGAGGGATAGTGCATATAAATTTGAATTGAATTGGTACATTATGTTATTAAACTAATGGTATGTTTTATTGTTATTGTTTATGCATTTATTGGTTTTTGTTGGTGATTGCAAATTTCTGAGAGCAGTGTTATGTGTTAAAGTGTTAAAATTTTAAATAAAGGGAGTAGTAATATATGATAATTAAATAGCTCTTTTTGTAGAATATAATTAACGAACAACTGATTAAAATTTACTGACAAGAATAATCAGTGATCGAAGTTTGTGGTGTAAAATCAAATAAACAATATTTTAGAGGTTAAAATATTGAAACAAAATGTTTGGTAAGGAAATCTGCTAATAAAATAATTGGTGCCGTGATTAACTATTGAAATAATTTGGTTTGAAATAGTAGATTGATATTTGGTTGAAGTTCAATCAGTGAAAAAATGTTTTAAGGTTCCCTTGCAAGGTTTGAAAGATGTCGGAGCAACAAACCCAGCCACAACAAGCATCATCATTGAAGCGAGGCTTGGTGAAACAAGTCCTATGTGGTGATGCTATCGTTTTGCAGGTATTTTTTTATTTCATCCCATGATTTTACATTTCTTTCATATTAGATATACGTAACATAGCATGTCTATTGTTTAAACATTATCGCGTTTTAAAGATGTTAACAAAGCTAAATATGCTTATATTTTTATTTCTCTATCCAACTTTTAAATGACCTTTATAACTAATTTGATTAATCAGGAGTGTGGTGACTAGAAAGAACAGTTATTTATCTGAAATTCTTGAAGAATATCATGTAGTTTTATTTCAGTACTAAGTGAGCGCGGAAGTTGCTTAGGGATTCTGATGTGTCACGGGCGTAATTTAAGCAATTAGGATTCATAATTTTACTATCACTTAATTTAACAGTGGTTTGTTCACGTGTATTGTAGAGACATATAACACGCTTACAGCACAGAATGATCATGTGTAAATGAAAAAACTGATTTAGAAATAAAACATTTAGAAAAGAACCACATCACCGCTACTGGTAGCAGTGATATTTTCAGGGTCCACCAATGAATGGACCTCCGAAGGAGGTAACAGTTTATTTGAGCAATGTGATTGCACCACGGCTGGCTAAAAGACCGACGGATACTGAATCCGGCAAGGAAGACGAGGTAAACGCAAAGTTTCCAAAATGATGTAGAAGGAAATATAAAACAACTGTTAAATGTGGTTATGATGGCATAAAAGATTAGAATATAAGCCTCAAAAGTTGAAAACTTTATAGTAGACGAGATGTGTAGAAATTTCAACTGGAATATGAATGGAAATGTAATGAGTTTTGCAGCCGTTTGCTTGGGAATCAAGAGAATTTCTGCGCAAAAAACTTATTGGCCAGAATGTTGTTTTTCGATGCGATTATACGGCTACATCAGGAAGAGATCATGGCCGGATATATCTCGGTGGTACAAGTAAATTTTTTTTAGCATTGAGTGGTGTTTAAAATTTCTTAATTTAATATATATTATAATCACCTCTTTATTTAGGACAACTTTATTTTGCTTATAGCAACAAATTTTAAATTCATGTATTTGTATGAATTTTAAACTGACATAAAGATTTCATATTGCAAAGTTCTAATGTTTCTTTCTTCAGATCTTGAAAATTCGGAAAATGTAACGGAGACATGCGTATCTGAAGGTTGGGTTGAAGTGAGACTAGGGCGTGTTACTGAGTAAGTTGTATATTTCTGAAATTATCAATCATAAATGCTTTTCTAATTTTAAAGTGGGTGAATCTTGTACTGTAATTTATGGATTAACACATTAAGTTTTAAACATAGTTCGCATTGCGTGTTTTAGCGAATATAGCACAAAGCTATTGGAGTTGCAAGAAGTTGCAAAAGCTGCGAAGAAAGGAAAATGGGCATTAGAGGAAGGAAACGCACAACAACATGTACGATTAAAAGTTTTTCTGGCATTTCGACACTTATAAAGCTCAGAACTTGTCGGTCTTGTTAGTCCATTAGGTTTCAGCTGTTAGTGCTAATATCAGTGGCTTAGTGATGACTTATTTTTTTGGCCTGCTGTTCACCGTTGCTGTTTGCTTTTTATTTAACACTACTTCTTTTATCCAAAATAAGAAGTCATTGGTAAAAAGTGAAAAAAAAAAAAAAAAAAAGCGTAAACTAGCAAACTGAGCTAAAATGATGCCAATCTAATATCAAATTCTAACAGTACAAAAAATAGTTGGTCTTGTTCCGAACACTCGATCATGTATTACATACGGTAATGATTACGAGGGATGGTTATCTAGACTTTCCTAAGATTTTCAATAAGTCAAAAAAAGGTGGAAAATCATTCACTTTTTTCTGGTTGCTCTCTTTCTCTCTCCCCTTCCTCCCCCCTCTTCCCACTCCTCCTGTACAGCTATATTTTTGTTTTTATTTGGTGTTTTTTTTTTTTTTTTTCAACATTTTATTTATCATTGTGAAACAATTTTGTCCCATTAACAGGTGCGACAGGTGAAATGGATTATAGAAAATCCACGAGCTCTTGTTGATACACTCAAGCAACAAAAGATCAAAGCTATTGTTGAGCAGGTACGAGATGGTTCAACCATCCGTGCCTTCTTATTGCCTGATTTCTATTATATAACACTTATGTTATCAGGCATTAAAGTAAGTTTTTTTATTTGGTTTGCTTATGAATATTAGAATTTCTCATGAGGAATAAAATTTTTGAAAATTCAATTTTCAGGCACCAGCCATACGTGCTGGAGCGGATGGTCGAGCGGAAGACTATGCTGAAGAAGCACGTTATTTTGTAGAATGTCGTTTGTTACAAAGAGATGTAGAAATTATTCTGGAAGGTACTTCCAATCAGAATTTTGTTGGTTCCGTCATACATCCCAAAGGAAATATCGCTGAGCTGTTGCTTAAAGAAGGTTTTGCAAAATGTGTCGATTGGTCGATTGCTTTGGCCACATCAGGACCAGAAGTACTACGTGCAGCAGAAAAGTTCGTTATACATTACCTCTTTCTCAGATTACTTGATTAATTAATGAAGATCAATTTACGAGTTTGGCAGAAATAAGTAACAGCCTTGTTCATCTACCGCTCCAATGATAATATGAATAATGCTTGCTTCGCATTGAAATCATATCCTTTTTTGATCGTATTCTAACTTATTTGCTTTTTCCCAAATATCTTAAGCCTCCCCGTTAAATTTGGATTTTGCTATTCGTCTTTATCGGTAGAAGTTAGCATTCATATTGTTTTTGAAAAAATGATAATCTTTTGTTTACCAAATTGTTTTAGGATAGCGAAAGAGAAAAGACTTCGTTTTTGGCGTGCTTATCAACCTCCTAATCAGTTGGATATCGACAAGAAATCATTTACCGCAAAAGTGATTGAAATTGTGATGGGTGATGCACTTGTTGTGCAAAAAGAAAATGGTGATGAAATGAAGATCTGGCTGTCTTCCGTAAGACCACCAAGGTTATTAGTTCATTTAATAGTGTCTTAAGTTTTGAAGATGTTATGATCTATCATCAAAATTTCTAATTCTTTGAGATCTCTTGTGGTTATTACATTGCGAAGAGTTCTATTACGACATTACTTTTTTTTTTTTTTTGCAGGGAGGACAATCGAGACACAGAAAACAAGATTGGTCGACAGTTTCGACCATTGTACGACATTCCTTATCTATTTGAAGCTCGTGAATTTTTACGTAAACGATTGGTGGGCAAGAAAGTTCAGGTATGCTCTAATGCAAAATGTGGCGCACTTTTTCGATCCAAAGGAAAGAATACCATTCCAAATCCTCATGATTAAATGTGAGATAATTCTCCATATACATCATTAGGCGTCTGCTGGTGTCCAGTAACGATTTACTCAGGGAAAGTTAGAATAACTTTGAATAACAGCGTACACGGAATCCTCTTAATTTCAAAAACTTTACTTTGTGGAATGGTTGTTTATGCTATTTAATTATTTTGATTTATTTAATTTTAGGTTACTATTGATTACGTACAAGGCAAAACAGAACAGTTCCCGGAGAAAATTTGTTGCACCGTTATGTCAGGAGGACTGAATGTTGCCGAAGCGCTTGTTTCGAAGGGCCTGGCGAAGGTAATACGATACAGAAGTGATGATGACAATAGGTACAATTAGTTCTTTTTTTTTAAAGCGAAGTACTACTTGGTTTCTCTTTGAAATTTTGAATTATAAATTCAGGAGAAATGGCTGTTTTTAGATCTTCCCAATACGATGCTTTATTAGCTGCTGAAGCAAAAGCAGAAAAGAGCAAAAAGGGTCTATTTGCCGACAAGGAACTGGGTGATAAAGGCCCAGTTTTGAGGATTCAAGAATTGCAAGGAGTTAGTGTGTTGTTGTTTTCCGTATTTTCCTTCTGTTTTTAAATTATTTGCATATTCTCTAAATAAATGTCAGTAATCTGGGTTGCTCAGTGAGTTTATATGGAAATCTGATAGTTGTCAATTTATATGCAAAACAGCGCAGAGAAACTTGTTAATAGTAGCCAAGGCGATTAATATCGGAAAGGAAGGATTCGGCGCTATTTCTAGATTGTTGATTTATGGTTTGGTGATCATGTTACCTCAATTTATAGTTTAAAAAATTAAGCTTTTTTATACTTACCTCATACACTACATAAAAGTGAATGTTTTATTTTGCAGGACGCGCAGCGGTCGAAACAGTTCTTGCCTTATTTACAAAGATCGGGTCGATCAGAGGGTATTGTAGAATTTATCGCATCTGGTAGTCGAGTACGCCTATATGTGCCTAAAGAAACGTGCCTTATAACCTTTCTGTTTTCTGGTATTGATTGTCCCCGTGGTGCTCGTATTGGTCCAGGTGGTAAATTGATTGGTGAAAATGAACCGTTTGCCGAGGAAGCTGCTAAATTTACACGTTCAAAAATTATGCAGCGTGAGGTTAGTTTCCATTTTTTGCTGAGTTTTGTGGAATTTTTTGATGCTACTGATCTTCAGCATTATGACTATATTAGGGTTTCTTTGTGCTTTACAATTCTTGGTAATAAAAAAAATTCTTTCCAGGTAGAAGTAGAAGTGGAAGGTATGGACAAGTCAGGAAGTTTCATTGGCTATATGTTTGTACAAACTGAACAGGGTCTTTGTAACATGAGTATAGCGTTAGTAGAAAATGGTCTAGCAAGTGTGCATTTTACAGCTGAAAAAGGTGCATATTACTCTCAGCTTTGTGTTGCGGAAGAAAAAGCTAAGAAGGTCTCAGTTTTTTATTGTTATTGGATGCATATTTTCTTTAAATTTTACAGTCCATATTTTTGTTTGTTGTTCAGTTTGAATCAGTTTACATTAATTTTTTATGCTATTAATATGTTGATATTTGTATTTCCAAACTTTCTTTTTTGTTGGCTTGTTTTTATTGTATAGTAATATACCAACTGCTATCAAATCATCGGTTTGATATTCATAAATCTTTTTTTGGTGCAATGATAAGTACAGATATGGAAATCAGGAAGAAGTTAGTGACTATTTCATCTTACTGTATATCATTTGAATTTGGTGAGAATCTGATATTGACTAAGGAGTTATTTGGAGTTGTTATAATGAACATTTTTTCTTTCTTAATTTTAGGCAAAATTAGGAATATGGGTGAAATGGGTTGATGAAGAAGCCATTGTGCAAGCTGAAATTGCTTCAGCAGATGAGAAGATGGAGCGTACAATAAATTATCGGAAAGTAGTTGTTACCGATGTGCAGAGAGGGAATTTCAAATTTGCTGCTCAATCAGTGGATGATGGTAGGTCGATTGAAGCTTTTGGTAGGGAGGATTAAAAGTTAAAGCTATAACTATAGGTCTCCATTTAAAAAATACGATTTTGGAAGGATAAATAGTTAATACTTGTTCATTTTAAATTCTTTTTCAATTTTTGATTATAATTTTATGGTTAAAAAGTCCCCATTGCAGTGCTTCTCTCATCGAAGTATTTTCTTCATCTTTGGAATTGATTTAGACATAAGTTATTAATTGTTATGGATCTTATAGGTCCAAAACTTGAAAAAATGATGAAAGAGTTACGTGAAGAGTTGAGGAAGAAACCACCAGTAGTTGGCGCATATGTACCACGACGTGGAGATTTGTGCGTTGCACGGTTTTCTGCTGATAAATTATGGTATCGAGCGCGTGTTGAAGGAATAAAAGGAAAAAGCATCGATATTTTATATATCGACTTTGGAAATGTTATTTATTTTTAATTTATAATAAATAGTTGGAAAAAAAAAAAAAAACTGGGATTAGTTAATCAGGTTATCTGTATAAATAACTTTATGGAAATTTTACAATGTTATATGGCATCATTATGTTAGATATGAAAGAATTTTGGCCCTTATGATTGAGTAGTGTGAAGAATTAAAATATTTCAAAAATTTTTTTAGTTTTAATATTTATGTATTTTACTTCGTAATTTAAAAGTAATCGTGTAAAGTGTAGTACAGGAATCAGTGATTACAGAGAGAAGTTGTTGACGTTACATCAATGGCTGCTTTACCAGCTGGTTATGCAACACAACCAGCAGGTGCACGTGAATACCAAATGGCTTTCTTGCAAATGCCTAACGATGTTGACCATGCGAATAACTCGAATATAGCATTTGAGCAAATTCTATTCTCAGTACCATTCATGTTTATAAACATTGAATATCGGAATGGGGGAATAGAAAACGTCACAGCAATCATTGAAACATCTGATGGTACGCGTACTGACGTTGCGAAAACACTTATTGCAGAAGGACATGCTCTGACAGAACAGAAACGAGAAAAAAGATTCGCTTCATTGGTAACTGTTTTTTCTCTCCTTATGCTTTACTAAATTATATTAATATGGAACTAATAAGACGAATAGAGTGTGAAATTAAATTGTGAGGTTATTATAATATGTTGACTAAGTGAAGTTTTTACCAAAAAATATGTCATCAGTGACAAAAATTTCATATACTTAATAAGAGTGAATTGCAGGTAAAAAGATGAGTAAAACTCTATGTGAAAGTATTTTTACTTTCCCGATATAATTATTGGGTTTTTACTGCCAGGTTTTGATTTTTAGTGCACGTCGATTGTTGCTAGTGTTTTAGTGTATCTCTTGCATTTTGTTTAAACATCCTCATTGATATTGAATTAAATACCATTTATAAGGACTAAAAAATCTGATGAATGAAACACTTTTTATACATGATGAGAAAATGGGGAGATATCATTAGAATTTATGAAGCATGCACAAATATGCTTTTTTTGCAGATTGCAGAATATCAAGAAACCGAGAAGATTGCACGCCGTGAGCATCGTAACATTTGGGAATATGGTGATTTTACCGGCAATGAATTATAGAAAAATGCTAAGAGTCTGGAAATGAGCTGTAATGCTAAAAGTCTGAAAATGAGGAAGAAAGAAAAACTATTGCTGCGTTTTTGTTCAGTTTCATTGTTAGAATTGGTAGGTACAATTTTAATTGTTTTGTTGTCGTTATCACTTTCGGCTTTCTTTTTATTATCCAATTTGCCTTTTTATCTTTTCATACCTAACATATCTTCTTGTTAAAAAAATAAACGTAAGCGCTTCCGCTTTTGTTATTGTATCAACATGTGCTATGTGATCGTAGTAATATGTGATTTGTTTTATTTGATTCTGGTCCGGTGAAGGGATAACAATTAAATTCCTTCTACACATAACTTTTTTAATCATAACTGGGTGTTGAAAACGATCAGATGTCTCTTAATTTTGTTAGGCGTATTGACCAAGTTTTTTCGTCTCTTGTTGTATTACCTTTCATTCAAGATAGAATTCTTTCTAGCTTGACCTAACGGTTATAATAGGACGAGGTAGTTATTTAAACAAATATTGTTAATGATATTATTTCATCGGTTATTCATTGTCATTTCATTAGTTTCAGCACTGTTTCAAAAAAAAAAAACGATCGTTTTTCGTTTTTTTCTTGCAGTTCATTGCTCTAATAGGGTGATTGTGATATACTTTTATTTTTCTGTACTTTTTTTGTTTCATATCCATAAATTTCCTAAAATCTCCTTTGAAATATACCTTCATTATTCTCCGGAATGTTCTAGTAATTGCTAATACAAGTTTGTTTTCTCCTTTCTTATTCTTCTCGCTTACTTTATTTTTCAATTTCTGCGCAGGTATTTTTTTAGGTCTGTTCCAGTTTCAAGTTTTCCTGTGATTCTTTTTCTATGTTAAGAAAGTTTGTTTTTTATGGTTGTTTCTTTCTCTAGTAATTGTTGTGAAAAAGTTTTTGAAAATAAATGCATCTTTTTCTTCTGAGATTTACTGTATGGGATTTTTGAAATGATGAAAGATCGACGTTCATCGGCTATGTATTTTATATTATGCAATGATTAATATGTTGGGCGATATTTATGGGAAACTGAAACTATTTCTGAATTTTCGAGATCATCAAACATTCATAAATTGATTCGGCAGTCATGAATTACATTATCATTCTAAGTGTTAGGCAGGAAATCTTTGTAAGTGTCGATCAGAGATGAGATTGAAATGATATTAGCGCTGCTATCTTTAATCTATTTTGAAGTGTACGCAACTTTTGCGATTTCCAAGTATTGTTTTTGTTATATGAAGGAGACATGAAAATAGAGTCTCTTGAAAATGAAATCTCTGAATGTTTTTCTATTTATTAGGAACGTTCTGCTGCAGTTCTTATTTCTCAGAAATATTGTGGGAATATGGGCGCTGGACATCGTGCAGGACCACTGAAACAATCAAATAAGAGACATAAAAATGGTCGGCATCGTACTAAAGGTGCATTGGATGCGGCTGTTGGAGGTTTTTGTTTTTTATTTAATTTCTACTCAGGATTGGATGAACTAAAATTTTATATGATTTAGTGAGTTTCTACTTTCAGGAATAATATTCGATTGAATTGAAATCACTTCAGATTAAAGTGGACAAATCAGATTAATTAATCGTTAATTAGAAGATTTGAGGAAACGATAGAGGAATAAAAATATTAGAGTGCTACTCGGATGTTCTATAATGTTTTTTTTCAGGTAAAATAAGTTGTAAAGCTGTAACAGGAAAACAGCGGTTTTTAGTTGGCAAAAAAGCTCGACGTCTCCAAGCTCAACAATTACGTGAAAATAAACGTGCTGCTTTATTATGTGGTGGTTATGCCATTTCTAATAGCTATCTTCAACAACCTCCGATATTTGTCGTACTTTTTTTTTTTTGATTGTATTAATTAATTTCATTCCTCAAAATTTTCTTTTATATGCTTAGTTTGGAAATTAAAATAGTTTTTTATTTGGTCGCTCAAGAAAATTTTAATAGGTTTTTCCAGAAGATTTCTGGACGCTAGCAATAAAGGATAATAGATTTTAAATCTATTAAAGTCTTTGAAGTTAATTTTATCATCGTTTGTTTCATTTACTTATTTCGTTAAATTCAATTTATGTTTCAGACTGTCTTATCGTTTGATCAAAATTATACAGCGGATGAACTTGTAGCGCTATTATGTTCCTGTGACGAAACTTCTTATCGGAAAACGAGTTATAATGGTTGTTTAAATCATCTTTGGTAAGTTTTTTTAACTAAATTTTTTTAAAAATTCATTAAGAAGTTGACAGTCGATATATAGTACTTCTAGATGTTTGCATCATTTTATGTTTTATACAATTGATGTAATCGCTTCTGTTGTACTTTTAATTTGATTTTATGCCATTTGTGAATATTTTGGGAGTTATACGATTTCGATTGTCAAATCCTTCCCTTTAATTCATTCTTTACTTATGTTGTTAGTATCTTTCATAGTTTTATTTGCGTTTTCTTTTTTTTTTTTTTGAGAGCAACATTCAAAGGGGCATAAAATTTTCCTTTCTTTTTAGCATAAAACGACTTAAAGGTCGCTTTGTGTTTACCGCACCAGATTGTTCAAACATTAATGATGTACTTGATTATGTGAAAATATCCGATGTCATTACCTTCATTTGGCCATCTAATGGTGAAATTACCCCAGAACATGATATTTTAATGAGTACATTATTGGCACATGGCTTATCAGTTGCAGTGCACTTTGTACCAGGACTGCGTGCAACTGCAACTCCGAAACAAAAAGAAATTATACGCAAAAATGTTACGAAATTGATCGCAAATTGGTAATTCTTCGTCGATATTTCAGAGCTGTTAATTCTATAGTCGAAGCTAGGAATTAAAGAAAAAAAATTTCTGCTTTATAACTTCAATTTATATATCTTTATATTTAGCAAAGGTGTATTAAGGGTCGATGTTGGTTTAGTTTTATTTATCATTTATATTTGCTTATTATGTTAATCATATTTTTTTCATTTGAGTCAGTATAAGGATTTATGTTTATGTTAAGGTATGTGTAAGATTAAAAATATTCCGACAATATTTTTTAATTCCCTGATTTAAGGAGCTTTGGTGATAGTAAACTGATGCCTTGCGATAGCGAAAATGATGCTTTAGTCGCCCTACGTTTGCTTAGTACTATGAAGAAGAAGCTATCCTACATGCAACGGATTCGACCACATGTAATTGCTGAAAATGTTGAAAAGAGTGAAATTGAGGTATAACTTTCTTTACCGAGTTAAATTTCATTGCATCTAAGATTGAAAGGAAAGTGAATATAATTCATTAAAATGAATTTTAATATGACGAATAAATTTAAAGGACGATGATTGACAGTATAATGTTAAGAATGGATCGGCTGGATATTGACGTTAGGAACCTGCATTACCCGAAAGTAGTCACCGTAATCTTAGACTCTGACTGAAAGACATATAAATTTAAACAAATTTATAATTGAAGTTTATATAACGAAACTAACAATTATACTATTAGGGAGATTTATGCACGCTGAAGGTTTCCGGACATCTGAGGGGACCGCCGTTAAATGTTAACGGTCTTGTTCACGTGCCATGGTTGGGTGATTTCCAGATAAAACAAGTTGTCATCGAAGATGATCCGTTTGCACCAGATAAGAAGGTTTTTGAAAGTTTAGCTTTTTTGGGAAATCTGAATGATGAAGCGTTTTTATGACCCAGAGAACCTCAGGAAATCGTTTTGTGATAAATTAGACTGGACGAAGTGTGAAAATTATAACATATAAGTAATCAAAACAAAAATTGTTTTAGGATTTCTTTATTAAACTGAATTATTTGAGAAAGCTCCTTATCCGTGAAAACAGTACTGCACGAGCATAAATTGCATGAAATTTAATTTAGGAATTTATATAGAACCAAATAGGACATTTGTGATGCTTTAATAATTTGCAGGTTTGGTTTGGTATCAAAGCTTCAGGATCTGTATTTAAACCGGACGTGAATCTGCAGGCATCACTGGAATCCGAAATGATTCCAGATCCTATGGATGGAGAGCAGACATGGCCGACTGAAGACGAAATTGTGAAGGAAGCATGTGGGTTCACTTTTCTTTCGCCGTTGAATTTTTGAGCTATTGAACTTTTGCATAAATTCCTGTTGGAATTTTTCGAGAAACTTGAAATCTTTAAAAATGGTAGGGTTTTAGTGTTATTCTATCGATTGCTGTATGACTTAAGTTTTGGAAGTTGATGGAAAGGAAACTTTTCAGTTAAAACAAGGAAAATAGTTAAAAATGTACCTGTTGGCACATCGGCATATCAAGCTGAGTGGATTATTAATGATGAAGATGAGATATCAGACGAAGAGATTGAGGTTTTTTTGATATTTGATTTTTGGTTTTTGAAATGCAGCGACACATTTAAATTTAGTAAAACTTTCAAGGCACAAACTTTTTCGAGTCATTTACTTCTTTAATTCTCGAAATCGAATCAGTTGTAGATTCAAGTACTGGAAACACCAATTGCTACTATTGACTGAAATAAACAAGAGTACTGGATTAAAAATAAACCAATAAAATTTTTAAAATTACAAAAATAGCATTAGGAGATTTTCAATGATGCGATTCTCTCTCTCTCTCTCTCATTCTCAAGCAGTTATTTACAATTATCGCGATTTTTCTAGGAAGAACTGGAAGAAAATAATGACATGAAAGAAGTAATGGATAGCGGGGAGTCGGATATTGAGAATGAAATGGAAATGGAAAAAGTACGTTTTTCCTTTCTCTTTATTATGGGTCCTTCATTATTTCAAATTGATTTTAATTCGAAGAGGCAAACTAAGCTGTATTTCAATAAATTTCATCTCCAAATTTAGATGAGTATCATAAGTGATGCTGAAAGTTCGATGGATATTAAAGACGAAGAAATCAATATGGCAGAAGTGGAGAAATACAGGGAAGCTCGTGAAAATGAACAGTTCCCTGACGAAATTGATACACCAATAGATGTAGCAGCTAGAATTCGTTTCCAAAGATATCGCTCTTTAAAAAGTTTCAGGTTTTCTCATTATTTGAATATGTTTCCCCAAATGAATTAAAAATTAGGTCTTTGTAAATTTTGGATAAAATTTCAGAACATCTCCTTGGGATCCGCTTGAAAATCTTCCAAAAACATATTCTCGAATTTTTAAATTTTTGGATTATCGGCACTCCAAAAAAGTCGCGTTGTTGAATAGTGCAACTGAAACTGAATATAGTCCACCGCGAGGCGCATTCATTTCTATTTATATCTCCAAAGTACCCACTAATTTAATAGGTATTTATTTTTCGTCATCTTACTACTATTCAAGATTTTTCAAGCTAACTATTATTCTTGTAGACTTGTTGGGCTCGGTGAAACTGTAGCGTCTTTTCTCTTTGCAGAACGAATAAATGAATTAGTAGAAGGGACATTTGTATCGACTTTGGGAATGTTACTCCCCATTTTATTTATAATAAATAATAAATAAATCTCATATTACTCAAGAAACTAGGACGATGAACTGTAAAACAAAATTGGATGATACTCATAGTTATACTTTTAGTTTTTCAGCTCTACATTACTCGATAAAAGAAATTGGAATTTTATAATATTAAGAACTTATTTTCTGAAGGCGTTCATTTTGTAGTTTTGTTGTTCGATAATGATTCTTTAATTGTAAAGGAAATCATAATGATTCTTGTTAACTTTTTTCTAGATATTTGGCCACGTAGTAAGCCATTAATAATTTACGGATTGCTAGCGCACGAACAGAAGATGTCAGTTCTTAATATGGTGCTTAAAAGACATCCATCTTGTACTGTACCAATATCAAACAAACAAAAATTGATATTTCATGTGGGTTATCGACATTTTGAAGCAGAACCAATCTTTTCACAACATACAAATGGTGATAAATTCAAGGTAATTTTTGAATTTCAGTGAATGTTGCTTTTAATCTTCTTCCGTTGCTGCTGGCGTATATGATTTTTTGTGACTATATTTTGCGAATGGGCAAAAATAGGTCTTAATTTTGGCTTTTCTAGAAAATAAAGAGTATGATTAAGTAAGCAAATGAATACGCAGAAGAAAAATTTTGAATACAAACTAAGTCGTAAACATTATGGTTTATTAATGGCACGTAATAGTCGGTTTAATTCAAAATAGTCTTCAATCGATTTTTTAATTTATTTCTAAAACAGGATGTTTCACATGCTTACAGATGGAGCGGTTCATGCCGAACGATGGCGCATTTGTTGCTTCTGTATTTGCACCAATAATATTCGCGCCCGTTCCTGTACTAGTCTATCGATTAGATAGACGAGGAAATCAGCAACTTATAGCAACGGGTGGTGTGCTAAATGTTAATCCGGATCGAATCATTCTCAAACGCATCATTTTATCTGGACATCCGTTTAAAATTAATCGAAGAAGTGTCGTTGTACGGTATATGTTTTTCAATCGCGGTATGTTTTCTTGGTTGAGAATTAGAAAAACTATCAGAGAATGCATGATTAGCAGGCAAAAGATTATTCACTATCCCCTCATAAACATTAGTCAATATTAGGCACTTAATTATTTGCAAAGTAGCTTTTATTTCACAGGATAAAACCGAAATATTTTTGTTTTTTTATATATGTACCTCAGTCAATATGAGCAAAATTGTAATGATATATCAGTAAAATTTAAACTGAATGTTACAGCGTTTTTTAAGCTATTTAAAAAGAATAGTACATTGTTAAAATCAATATTTTTTTTCTTTTCAGAGGACATTGAATGGTTTAAACCTGTAGAATTGCGCACTCCACGTGGTCGAAGAGGACACATTAAGGAAGCGTTAGGTGATTTCTTTTTCAAGTCATTCATGAGTAAGAGTCGCGTTAAAACTCTTTCGAAAACTTTGAAGGAAAGAAGGAAACCAGTGCATCAGATATGACAATTTAAGTCGTTTGGAAAAAAACAGAACTTTTGGTGTCCTACCCGTACTTCTAAATTTTCGAAAATTTTTTCGAAACTAATCAATAATATTTGACCTGAAAACTGACGAATAATACTTACTTGATAGTGCCGTGAATAGTTGCGTAGTAATTCGAGGAACTTGTAAAGGGAGTTCTTTGTGAACGAGAGAATGTTCGATTTACCTAGCGGATGTTTAGGTTATTGAAATGGAATTAGCTCAATATGCTTATTAAATTATTGATTTATTTCTTATTTCATTTCAGGTACGCATGGACATATGAAATGTGTATTTGATCAGCAGCTTAATGCGATGGATACGGTGATGATGAGTCTTTACAAGCGAGTTTTCCCGAAATGGACGTACAAACCTATCATGCTTCATTCTTTGTGTGTGTCACCTAAGGAATCTGAGATGATGGAAATATGATTTGCAACGGTTGTATTTTCATATTCATGTTATTTATGATTATGGATAATGACTGAAAATTAGTTGGAATTCATTTACTTTAAAATTGAACGATAATCGTGTCAGGACTTGCTTTTTTGGAAACGTTAAGTTGCTATTGTGCTCGAAGTCTGAATTTTTGTCAAACTTGTATTTTTTCATTTTGTTTCTAAATTTTATTATCTGTCGAAATTATTGTTAATTTTAATTCTTTATACTGGCAATAAAAAAAATCGTGCTGTCCCACAGTTTTTCTTTTTTTTTTAAAATGATTCTATGAGACAAGAATGAATCTCAAACATTTGGATATAATTCTGATAATTCTTGCTGCATTTATTGTCTTCTATTGACAATTTTGGTCTTTCACCGCAATTATGCAATATTTCAAACCCTTGTTTTATTCATTTCTTTTGAAGCAGCGTAAGGCTTATAGTTTGTTACACAATTTAGTAGCATAAAATCATATCACAGTAATTATTTTTAGGAACAAAATAAGAGCAAATATATGTTTATGGATTTGTGCAGTTTTTCACTCGGTAATCTTCCAAAATACTATTAACATGATATTACTCTCAATATATCCATCGTAATTCGTGAAAATTATAGGGGGATTCCTTTTTAATGAAAATATATGCTTTAGAGAACTTGGTAGGAATTGGACTAATGAAGCTATAAATTATTAAAACCTGGTTTTTGTTTTGAATGACGTTCTATGTATTACTATAATTGCATGTGGTACCGTATAAGATGGTAAAGTGAATTTAATAAAGGTGGGAATCCAAAAAGGATTTTAACTTTAGTTCCGAATATATATGTAGTTCCTAAACAATGATGTCGAAGTAATTCGAGTGTTCAGCGTTATTAGCGTTGTTAGTTTTCAGACAATGGATCAGTCGAATGAGGGTAAATTTTTTACTTCATTGATAAATACTCATTCCAACATTGATCATTTTTATGTTTCAAGATTTCGTTAATCATGCACATTCAATATTATCGATTAACTTTATGATATTCTACATTGTAGTACAATATTTTTATTACGTTTTTTAATTAAGACTAATAATTCATATGAAATGATAATCAAATGATTACAATAATTCGGACTGGTATTATTACTAAAAGATTTCTCTGAGAAATTTCGACCACATTATTATTTGATTTTTCTTTTTTAATACTGTTAGTCTGGTTATCTAAATACAAAAGTTTTAATACATAATAATTAATAAATGTACAACTCTGACTATAAATCGTAATAGTTAATGGTTTTAAAATCGTTAACGTTTTTTATTATAGAATGTGCTGCAACGGAATTACGTCGTTTTGCATCATTACTGCGTGAACTTCGTGTCACTGATAGTTGGCATACGAAATCACGAAGAAAATTTATTCAGATTCAGGTTTGTGAATATTTGAAATTTTACAATGTTTAACAACATATTTATTCGTATATCTGTATGATTCAAGCTTAGGACTTGAAATATTCATTTTTAGAGAAGTATTCAGTAATAGTAGCAAGATACGTAGAATGGGAATATTTAAGAAAAGTGAGTGATATATAAAAGTGATATGATGCTGTAGCAAAAGAGAGAAAAGGAATTTGGAAAGAATCTTTTTTTTACTGTTGGTTGAGACTGGGGAACGGAAAAATGATTTTAATGTGAAATAAAATTATACAGATATATGGAAACTAAAAGTCTTCTAGTATTATACTGTGGTACAACTGGCTCCACTTTCTTTGCGTTCCACTGGTGCTATTGGTAGATGAAACCAGGGCAGATTCATAGCCTGTAATCATTCAATTATTAGTATTTATTTACTCTACCATTGGTATAATTATTATATAAGATAAAATTAATTAGCCAAAATTATAGACAAAAAATTATGGATCTATTATAAGTAGATAAGATGACAAATTATCTGATATAGGAAGCTCAAATTATCAAAGAAATTGTTGCATTAGAATGAATTTATTCCCAATGTGTAGAAAAATTAACTCTTTTCCGAGTTATCGAAAAAATTGCGTTTGCAAATGTGGACTAAATTTAATTGAGCAAAGAAATTTTGGTTAGAAAATTAAATAAATTATTGCATCTTGAAAATACACCTACGGTTAACATTTACACAATACATGAAAATGATGTAAAGGGAATATCGTTGTAGGTTATGATTGTATTTTGAAAGTAATAAAATTTGAGTCTTTAAAATACTTAAAATTGTGAAAGTTTTGTTGTGAAAAAAAAAAAAAAAAAAAAAACTATTGATATATACAAGTTGTTAATATCAAACGCTTTTTTCTCTTTCAACAAATATTTCAATTTATTAAAATTTAGATAGAATAATGCTTCTTTCCTGGAAGCATTTTATCTAACTTGCTGAATATCAGGTCGTGTATGATAGTCAAATGTCATCATGGTATCGATGGTACTTTGGCACATTTGACTAAGCTGTAGCTTTTTTGAATAATGATAAGTTCTGTTTCGTTGTGCTTCCACAATAATAGTATTACTGGCAACACGTTCATTATATGGCATTCGATTGGTAACTAACACAAATGCTACAACACCTAATGACCTGAAATAAGGGAATTATCGAAGCCATGATAGTCTATGTCATGCATCTGTTACACTTCTTTTTTTTTGTAGATTACAATAAAAATTACTGTATAAGTTCTACTTGATTAACTTTTAAAGCTGTAAGTTAAATTATTAGTTAATTTGATAATTGAGCATTAGTTCATCTCTTTTGCTTGTTTGCAAGTTTTTAAATTGGTATTTGTTTTGGAATAATTTAATGATGTTTATTGATCTGTTGAAGCTCTTAATTAACTTAATCTTACCAGACATCTGCCTTAAATGGTATATATTCTTGACCAAGAAGGATTTCTGGAGCTGAGTATGATTTCGATCCACAGAATGTTTTTGATAAATCTCCATTTTGTGCCTTAAACTGTTTCTTGCATAAAATTTTGAATTCTATTTCTCAATATTCATTATATATTACTAGCTTTATTGTTGTAGGCAATATAATGTATATTGATTGTTAGTTATCAGTATCTAATTTTTATCTGTAGCTATTGCCTTTTTTTCGTTCTACAACTTAAAAAATAACGTAGCGTTTCCATAAACATATCAAAATCAAAAATAAGTTTGAAAGCAATTAAAGGATTGATTTGAATTATTACTAATTAAAATTAATTAGCAACTGAAACCATTTACATCTGATGAAGTTCTAATGGATCCTATAATAATAAGAAATTTATATATCCTTCGGAGTTATGTTAAAACTTATGACTGATGAAGTTCTAATGGATCCTTCTAGTATTAAAAACATAAAAGGATTAAGTTGGTTAATTAAAGAATAGCATTTGGATGGCATTCACGTTACTGATTCGATCATTACTTAGTTTAAGCCTTACTTATCCATTAGAGCATAAAGCTATTTAAATGTTTAACTTCTGTTTTTTTTTTTTTTTTTTCCTAATTATTCTAATTGTTTTGATGTTTTTCGCAGTTATTATTTACTGGTTTAATTGACTTAAAATTTTTAGTAACTTTATCACCAATGATGCATACTCTAGTTTGAAATTTAATTTAATTTAAATGAAAATATTTCTATATCGTAATACTTTTTTAAATTTACCTCTCGACAGAAACCAAAATCAGCAATTTTAATAGAATTATCAGCAAAAAGAAGAATATTTTCTAGTTTTAAATCACGATGTGCTATTGAACGCATATGCATATAATAAACTGCTGAAATGAGTTGTTTCATCCAACTTTGAGCGATTGATTCCGCTTGTGCACCATTTTGTTGCACAAATGTTAACTGGAAAATGAAGAAAAGAATAGGAAAGATTTTTATATATTCAGAAATTTATTAGATTATACAAATTCATTCACTTCTTTTTTTTTTTTTTTCAAGTAATCTAATGTAATATTATCGTAGCATTGTCTCTCCAAATAGTTCTTTTGAAACTATCATTTAAGAATGATTGTTTTTTAAAATAAAATGATTTTATTTCTTAAAAGCAATATTATAAATTATTCTTTTGATCAGGTAAGCATTTTTATATTATTCAGATTTTGTCTATATATAACCTTCCGGTTATCTTCAATACGGATTTATTATTTAGAATTATTAAATTATTCCTTTCATAATCTTATTATATTCATAAGTAAGACAATAATATCTAATCATTTCATTGCTAGATTCATTATTAATACATTCATTATTAATGATTACTTTATGATATTTAATGAAGAATATTTTACTATTGCAATCGTTTCTGTGAAATTATATCGAATGTAAATAGTAGAATATAAACATTTAACTTACAAGATCACCTTTTTCGGCAAGTTCCATTGGCAAATATATTTTGCCAGCTTCTTCGAAAACACCAAAAAGAGCTACCAAATTTGGATGCCTCAAACGTTTCCATGTTTGGATTTCACGTGGTAGAAATTTGCACTTATATTCTTGGGTAACTTTTCGTGTATCAATTATTTTGATTGCAATCTTGAAATTTTACAAAATTTTTTTTATCTTACAACGAAATGAAGTTTTAATTTCTCTGCGATCTGATATTTTATAATGAATCATTATAGATAGGTAGAATTAATAAAAAGAAGATAGAATAATAGTAAAAATTTGATATTATAATGTATGGATGAGATATAGTAAGTAAATTTTGAATTGAGCAAAATGATAATAATTTTAAGTATGTTTAGACTATTCATGTTTATAGAGTTAATTATTAAGAAAATTTATAGTATCTATTTTCATTCATTGGTTATTATTAGTGTGTTATATATGAAATAATTTTAACATTAATTGAAAAGACTTATAAATTGGTCTTTTTTTATGAAATCAGTTATTACTTCATTTTTACTCTACAATATTAATCCAAAACTTTAGCATATATATTTGATTGTCAGAACAATTTATGGCATGAGTTTTATTAAACGACAAACAATACTTTGTCTTATTTCAAATAGAGTTGCATTGAAAAATTGGATGAATCTTATTATCAAAAACTTAATTAATTCAAATTTTCGATATTACTTTTTGTAAATTTTTACCGTAAAATTATTAATTGTTTTAAGATTTTGTTTCCTTTTTATTTTTTTGAAGAATACTAGATTTTTCAAAATTTTTTTTTCCTTCTTTTACAGTCGATTAATCCAAAAAATTAGCATAATTACATCTTTTTTTTTTGTTGATATCATACTGTACCTTTTTGCTAGTTCTAAGATGTGTACCCTGGCATACTTTGCTATAACGTCCATAACCAAGTTTTGGACAATTTGTTAATGCATATCCATAATTTGCTAACACCTGTCGTGTGCTTAAGGGATAACAGTGATAGTTCCTTGTCATTTGAAGTTGCTACAAAATATTAAAATAATTAAAAGTTGCAATGAAATAATAATTCATTATCATTTGTAAGTTTTTTGCAAATATGCATCTAATTTTGACTTATTTCATTTCATAATTTGAAGCACATTACTGTTTATATTTCAGAATATTATTTCTTTAAAATCTAAGAAGAAAAAAAAAAAAAAGAACGAAATCAGTATGCATTTTTCAAGTATTAGAATCCTACTTTTCTAAAAAAAAAAGATTGAACTGAACATACACGTTGTGTATAACAATGATCATGTGAATGTTGATACTGATTTTGATTGCATGGTGATTTAAGTGATCCATATTGACGTTTTGGTGTCGAAATTTCTTCTTCAAATGATAGTTGTCGTTCATTATCATATCTGTAACTAGTCTATGTTGATTTTAAATTTCGGTATGAAAATTATGCATACTACAAGAGTTGACTATAACTGCTTTTAAAGTTAGAAATTCTCCATATTTCTTATCTACAATTCTTATAGTAGTAGTAGTAAAAGTAGTAATAGTTGTTGTAATAGTGGTTGTAAAATTAGTAGTTGAAATAATACTACAAAGTTAACTTTAACTTTTTTATTAAAGAAGTTTAACTTTTCAAAATAGATTATTTATACAAAAAGAAAAAACACGAAAAAAAGTGATCGCGAACAAATTTAAAAAGAATTTACTTTTTCGTCCTTGTAGACATTTTGTCAAGAAAAAGAAATAACTGTTATATTTCGATATTGAATTAACCGAAAAAGAAGTGATGTATGTCGGATGTGAAATATGAACAATAATTAAGAAATCAGTGAATGCTTCTTCTGAAATGAATTTTTCGAGAAGTGGATATTACTTTATCAGTAATATTAATAATTGAATTAAATTAAATTAGAAGGCGGATGAATGGATGAATAAAATTTCTATAAGATGAGATAAAGAAATTTTAAAAGTTACTTCTCTTTTTCCTATTTTACTCCAATAACAATTTTATTGTTTTATTAAGCATCACTTTCAGGTAGTCAAAAGATTTTCTACTTTAGCCGTATCATTGAATTTATTGTGGTGAAAATTATCTACTTGTTACTCTAAAATGATTTATCAAAACTAATTGTTTTGAAATTTTGTTTTACATATTTTTTTAAGATGATTTCATTAGAAATTATATTTCCATAATTATCAAACTATCTCTCTTACTTTTCTATCTGTAAATAACGGGCATAGAAAATATTAATTAATATTAATATCCGTACGTCTTTTTTAAATTATTTTGTGTGTAAAAATTAATTTTTACAATTTTACTCTGATTATGAATAATTGTTCCAAGATAAGAGTTGCATTCAGCGTAACTGATCAGAAGTCAGTATGAAAATGACTATTTGTTAAAAAAAAAATATTCGAAATTGCTCATACCGCCTCGAGAAAAAACGAGCCCTTTGATGAGTTGGCTCGTATGAAACCGCTTCCTGAATCTGATGAATACAATAATAACATTACTCTTTTACTATGATTTATTTAAATTATTTTTTAATCTTATCAAAGAAAAAAATCATCAAAATTTAGATAATTATGCAAATTTTTTTAACAGTCTTATTTTAGATGCATCATTAAAGGATACTTTATCTCTCGATACGTTTCACTGAATTTTGTTATATATGTTTGATTATTTCATAATTGAAATTATTTACTTCACTAATTTATTTAATTTATTTTTGTCTCAATAACAGAATGTAGCATTATTAAAATTTTTGCATTCTAATTAACTTTTATTTTCTTTTTCAAGCTTATCTTTTTATGGCGATACATGGAATATACAAAAAAAAGAAGAAAAAAAGTTAAAGGATAACCAATATTTTTCTTTTTTTCTTGCTTTTTACTAATTAATGTTTATTTCTCTTCCTAATTGAACCATAAATTGTATTATTATTAGTTTTTCTGGGGGAGAAAAAAGACAAGGAAAAAGGTATGTTTTATTTAACAAATATGCGGAATTTCAAGCAATATTTTTTATTTTTAAATAATTTTGGTAAATTTTAGTTGATAATTGCAGAACGATTGTTTCTATCATGTAAGACCGAAGGTGGCAGAATTGACGTACAGTGGAAATGCTGTTGTTGACAAATGTATCATTACATTTTCCACTCTTATCATGGAAGTTGATATTCTGATGGAAAAAGCACGAAGCACATTTTACAATGCATTAATTGTTTATGGAGAAGATGGTAATTTGTGATAATTTTGTAGGAAAAAAGATAGGAAATATTATTAATGAAATGATAAAATTGAACAAAAACTTAAGATTATCTTTCTACTTATCTCTTATCAGTTATAGTAATTATTACCAAATAATCCATGAATTGAGAAATAAAAAGTTCCTTTTTTTTTTATAGTTGATGGATGCTTATCATTAGAAGGTGGTACTGTAAAAATGATCGCACAATTTTTGCCACAACTTCAGCAACTTCATGTTTTTGTCAATCGTTGTTATGAAGTATTTCATAATATCATTTCTCAGCTTCATGCTTTTCTTTCCTTAAAGTAAGTTTCATTTACTTTTTTCAGGATTTTCCTCTTTTATCTTGAAGAAAATGGATTTTTTTTTTTTTGATAAGCAAAAAAAGAAAATGAAATTTCCTAAATATTATAAAATCGGAAAGCTTATCAGTCTTATTATTATTATCTTCTCTATCCTATACTATAAGAATATATAATTTTGGAAGAAAAAAACTTCTTATCTTGATAATGATAAAATTAGCTATTGAATAATCGTTGATGCATCATATTTTTAGAAGCGATGTTTTGGAGCAAGCTCAAGAAAGAAAGATGATGAGAATGTGGCACTCACTTGGATTGCTATTATCCATTTTGATTTCACTTGACGAAATTATACATCAACAGTCAACTTTACAACAACACTGGCAATCTTATTATAAGTATCAACAAATATTTTATAACTTTAAATTTCTAAATGAAATATGATTTTGCAAAGTATTCAAATTTTTCAAGTATAATGAATAAATTTATCTTCAAAGGACTATGCAACTTCATTCTACATCAAGAATAGCTAATTAATTTGATTGAAATGGTGAGCTGAAAAAAAAAAATAAAGTTTGATCGTAGTAAGGAAAAATAAAATTAAAATTGAGAAAATTTAGAGTCAATTAAAATAAAAATAAATACCATATTGCTATTATAGGTTTCTCATTAAACCAATTGAAATAAAAAGAATAGGATTAATAACACAAACAAAGTCTTTAAAATTCAATTTATAAGACTGACTGGAGTTGATTTGTAATGAAATAGAAAACAAGTATTGGGAAAGGTATGGCTATTAGGATCTAATTTGATTGTTTAATTTCTGATGATAGAGCTGAAAATGATGGACAAAACGTCTGGTGATTTTTATTTAGTATCTGACCTGCTTTATCATTTTATAATAGTAGTATTCTCGTCTTTTTTATTTTTATAAGCAAACAATAAAATGTGATTAGGATATGTTTAAGAAAGTACGTGACTGGATTAGTTTTTTCAATTATTAAAGCGATAATAGAAAAGCAATATTTAATTGTTTTCTATGTTTTCACATTTTCTAACTTTCGTTAAGGTACTTATCAAAAAAAAAAAAAAACAAGAAATTTTCTTTATATTTCTTTTGTATTTAGGAAAATTAACTGCAATAAGTTCGAATCAGTTCAGTTGATATTTTTTAAAAAAAAAAGTCTTCAGAGCAATGCAACTGGTAGCTCATAATCCATCTCAGTTTGGTGCAGAATCAGATTTGTTACAACCTCTTCAGCGGTTAATTACAAGCATCGATCAATCAATTATGAAAGCTAATCTTTACAAAGTAACAATTTAACTTTATTGTTTAGTAATGTTATTAGGGAATTAGAAAGATGTAGTCAAATAGTGATCTATGCTTGGATGATTATTTGACTACATAATGGTAATGTTGAAGCACACAGTATTTCAGGACATTTCAGGAATCTTAGCTGATTATTTGGCAAATTAAAGATTAGACACTTAGGCATATCGATATCTATTGGGTAGCTTAAACTTAGTTTTTATATCCCTTTGTGATAAATATAATTATTGAGGTGATATGCTACAGAATGATTAAATATATTAATAATTTTAACTCACATTTTTCAATTTATTCTCTATTTCATAGGGAATTAACAAAATTTAATGCAACTTTGCTAAAAAATTCTGAAATTAGTTTGCTCATTCGCATATATTTCCGGAATTTAGAATTATTTTACATTTGAAAATTTCATCTCATTGTTTTTTCCTTTTTCTTTGTTCGTTTGTTCTACAATTATTTTAGATATATATATATATGACATATTTATATATATATATATATATATATATATATATATATATATATATATATATATATGACATGTTTGCAGAATTGTTGTAAACAAATGTTCGAGAGAAATTTGCAGGAGGATCATCAATTTAATGAACGAATGAAAGGAATAACAATTGAAATGTTCGAAAAATGGGATCGGGTAGCTAGTATGTATTTCTTATTTCATTTTAATATTTTTAAACAAATTTTATAACTAAGTAAAATTTTTATGAATTTCATTCAATTTTTGACTGGAATTTTCATTTCATCTCAGAGATTTTAAATAATTTCAAATCTTTACGAATAATTTTACAGATTACTGATTTTCAATTAAAATTATAAACTAACTGTGGTAGTTCTCTATAACACGCATGTTTCAGCGGATGATATGCCGGATAAGCGTAAATTAATGGCAATCGTTGCCCTTGCCTTATGTCATATGTTCATGTTCCGAAAAGTTGATAAGAAAATGATGCGAACCATTTGGAATAGTTATAAAAAGGTATGTAAGGAATGATATGATAAGATGTAGTCTTAAGATTAATCCAGTTAACCTTCATAGGTAGTAAGTCAAATGTACTCTCTACAACATTTGGTATCGATAATTTTGGGATTAGATTAAATGAAATACCAGAGTTTTTATAGAAATCAACATGTGGATATCAAAAACTGAATAAATTTTGTTGATATTTCTATTCCAAATATAATTCCGGTGTTAAATTTTTTTCTTTTTCCTTAACTTTATAAAAGATTATGATAAATATTTTCTTATTTAATAAATATTTTTCCTATTATAATGAATGAATATTTCCGTTATTTTGGCATGTATACTAAATTGGAAATGAACAAAGTTATTAAAGAGAAGTATTTCGAGCCAGGTACTTTATATCGGTTATTTTTCATTTTCAAATTTATTTTAGCTCCCAACATTTCATTTGTATGGATATGTTATTTGGTCGCCATGTGAATTTATGTTGGAAAATTTGACTGAAGTAGATCGTGTGATTGATAAGAAAATGATAGCTGCAATGACAGCTGCAAAATCTGCTCAATTTATTCAAAATATGGAAGCACTACCACGAGAAGCAGCGAATACAATAAATGTTGTAAGTGAAATAAGTTTTATAGACAAAATTTCAATATTTTAATTCTTTCTTTTTCAAAAATGTTCTAATATTGACTGATTCAATCATTTAGATTAAACTGAAGTACGATTCTTAATGCGTCCCTATATTTTTTTTTTTTTTTTTTTTCAACGAACTGTCTTTTTTTACATGTGTATGTGTTTTTAAAAATATATTTATTTTATGTTTGTTGATGATAAGAAAATTAATCTAGTAGTTTTGGTTAATTTTACACTGCATTTCTTTGTTAAAAGGAACATTTGTCAAGTCTTTTGTGATATGTCTTTGAAATATCTTGCCAGTTTAGTATTATAAAAAATTTTTGCATCATGAAGGCATTTTCTTTTATTTGATAAGCTTCTGTCAAATAACTAATCTTTGGATAATCTATGTAATTTTTCCTTTTTTTTTTGAAAAGCAAAATAAAATTTACGTAAATATACTAAATGTCAGAAATATTTAACTGAAAGAAGAAAAAAAAAACATTATCATTATTGTCTTTAATAAAATCCAAAAAAGAAACATGAGTAGTTTTATATTCGATGCAAAATAATTCATATTTTTATATTGCAGTTAGATGAATGGAAATATGATATGAATGAAAAATTAAATGAAACATCAAAGCAAGTATCGAGGGATCATTTGGCATTGCGAATTTCATTGTTTTTGCGAGTAATTTTTTTTTTCTTTGTTTTCTTTGTTTAAAATAAAAGAATGACAGTTACATAATGATATTTGTCTCATATTTTTCTCGAAATTACCTATTAAATTAACGTATCATTTATCATATTTAAGTCGTAACTTTAAGTTAGGCAGATTATTTTCGAAAACAATAATTATGGCAGTACAAAAAATCTGTGAGTATGTTGATCAGCACACTTATTTCATATTAAAATATTTAGGTATTGCAAAAAATTTATACTATTAAAGATTGAGGAAGATGAGAAATTTTTAAATCTTTCAATTTTTATTTTTCAGGGTATTCGCTATGCAGATTTGTTGTGTCGTCTTTTAAAAACTTTAATGAGTAGATTGGTGATAGAACAGAAGGCTATATCACGTAGTTCAGCTTCAGCTGCATTTCGTTTAATTGAAACCATTAAGGTACGTTTTTAGTTTTTAACACTTTTCACATATTAATATTTCAAATTTTGACATACTATAAGAAATGTTTTGGATCTTTAATAGACTTTTCTATGTATTAATAGCGAGATGTATTAACAAAATGAACATTCTTGAAAATTCAGGTGTTTGAAAATGGCATCGTTGATATTTTTAATTATTATTCTTTCTTCGCATTTTTCGTGTTCAATTGTTTTCCTTCTTATGTTTCAGTTCGGAACAAAAAGAAAAAAGATATTGTTTACCTAAATTAGCTAAAATTTATAAATTTATTTAATTGCATGATGCATGATAATAATTTCATAATAATTTCTGCACATAGCTACAAAATAATTTGTATTATCTTCCAAATTAATTTATAGGAAATTGAGAAGATATTTTGGAAATGGCGATATGATATTTTAGAAAGTTGTCAAGAAGCATCTCAATATTGCAATGCCAAACTAATCCATTTGATCAGTGCAGTGCATCAGACAATTCGTAGCGAAACAGATTTTTCCTATCGCACTGTTGATACACTTTCTGCTTTAACTGTTGCTGAGAATGCTCTTTCGAGTTCGAGTAAGTATTCACTTCATTAAACAGGCATTTTTTGTATAATTTTCCTATATTTTATTGCTTAAAACACAAGTATATTAGCGAAAAAAAAAGAAAATTTTCTTTTGGTTTCTTTTAAATACTTTTTGAAAAATTTCGTACTTTTTCAAAGTTACTATTCTGTTATTTGAAACTAATTTTTGATATTTCAGTTTCACGAACCAATTTGATCGTTGCTAGCACAGCATTAGAAATGGCTTGTTATACGGTAATTGTCTTTTTTTTTCCTCTTTTTGATTCTTGTCTTATTTTTACCTTGCATATAAGTTACCTTTTTTTTTTTTTTTTTTATGTTTGTAATTAAAACTTATAAAAGTATTATATTTGCTCACTTATCATAAATTCATATGAAATCAACTTATGGAAAATGTGCTAAATTGTTGGTTATTTTCAAGAAAATATTTCGTGGTAGTGATGCTGAAAAAATGGATGAATTATTTATACGTCTAGAAACTCTCTCATCACTAGGAAATATTGTTTATCGCACCTGTAATTGTTCTTTTTTATTCTGGCATCGATCGTTTATTGCTGCATATTTTAGTGCAATTATCGAAGATAACAACTCACGACCTGAAGTTTGCTTCTTTTTTTTTGTTCAAGTGTTTATTTTTTATAGTATGAGATTATGATATTATTTGGAGGTATCACTGGATCGACTTTCAATGCTATTGCTATATAAAATATATGTGAAGTCCAACCAATTTAAATGTAATTTCATGATTATATACTTCAAAATTTTAAATTTCATTTTGAAATTTAATATCTCTTACAGCTTTTCTTTGATGCAATTAATGACATAGAAACAATATTGGGTTCAGATGACAGTGAGCAGAATATAAAAGTCAAAGAATCGGTACGGGAAGAATTGTACGAGTTATACGAGAAGGTTAGAATTTGATTGTAAAAGTAGCGAATAATATACATTTAAATACATGAAATAATATGTTTGTTTCTAACTGGTTCATTATTTTAAAACATATATTAGCTCTAACTTTTTAATAGTTTTGTCATAGTATTTTTTTTTTTCTTATTACCAAAACACTTTCCATAATTGAAATTTTGATTTTGCATAAACACAATAACTATTTCAATAAATCTGTTTAGTTTTTTTTTGTCGATTTTTCTCTTTTTCTTCATCCGCTTTTGTTGCTAAAAATGCTGTAATGTTTGAATATCTAGATTTTGATAAGATGAAACAATTACCAAAGCTTTTTAAATGTCATTACATTTAGCTAAAATTTCACATCAAAATTTGTTACCTTATTTACTGTCGAAACTATTTTCAGCTTTATTTGAAAAAATTATGCGAAACAGTAGAAACTGATTTACGATTAACCGTTCATTCTCATCTCCAACTGGACGATCGTACGCCGAAAGATCCAATGCATGATGCAAACATGCGTTTAGTTAATTTATTGGAACTACCTGCGGTGCAACTGTTTGATCGATTGATTGATATTAAAAGTAATTGCCATTTTTTTAGATAGTAAAATGAAAATATAATTAGGATATTACTTATTTTAGAATAAAAATTACTACCACAACTATTACTACTTCTATTATTACTATTGTTATCATTATTTATTAATGTTATTACTTTTATTATTATTATTACTATCAGAATTTGTGAAACATTTTTGGTTGAAAATGGGAGAAATTAATGAATTTAATGAAAAGAAAGAAGGCTATAGTGGCATAAAGTGGGCAAATTGTTTGCTAACTGAAAAGATAGAATACAAAATTGTTTTTAGGATATTGAATGAAACACATTTTTCTTCTCTCTCTCTTTCGCAAGTTATCAAGATTTCAGGGTATGTTGAAAAATATTTGGAAAGTACATTCTACAATTTGACAGCTGTCGCTTTGCATGATTCGAACACTTACATGGCAATGAGCTTATTGGCTAAACAAAAATATAATTTAATCTTATGTCAGAGTCGTCTACCATTCCAAAAACTTGACCAAGGTCCAGATGTGTTATTTATTGCTCGAAATATCGATTCATTTGTGGAAAATTATGATTATAATTTAAATGAACAGGTACCTAATCTCAGATTTCTTTGGAAATTTTTAGGTGAATTTCGAGAATTTTAGAAATTTTAAGCTACATATCATTTGTAAGGTTATTCTATCCAAACTCTTCAGAGCGGATGAAACTAATTATTGGTTATGAATTGCGTTATACTAGTTATAGTCCAACTAATTTCACTGTTGAATATGGTTTCAGAACTGACTTTATTTAAACTTGAAATGTTGAAATTATAATAATCCTATATGTCAATATTAAAATTCTTTTATAATGCTAAGCCTAACAATGCAGTTTTTTTTTTTTTTTTTTTTTTTTCATGCTTTCCTAACTTTGGTTAACCTAGTTTATTTGTTATTAACTTACAACAAATTTTATATTCGAAGTGTTTTTTCTCTTTATTTATTCTATTTCACTATATCTTTGTTTTTTATTTTTTATTTATTTATTTTTTGTGAAATTTGAAAATTACTTTTATTTCAGTTCTTCATCGAAAAAGACAGTAAAAGCAAGCAATTAACAATATTAACAGTAGAACATGTTGCTAATTCAATACGAACTCATGGTATGGGTATTATGCATACGACGGTATGATTAAATCCAATCATTTTTTACATTTTCTTCCATAAGAAAATTATTCAATTTTTGTTTCTAATTTTTTTCTATAATAGCTTGACATTTTTCCACAAATGCATTCATAGATTGCTTTGTTTTTTTCTATTTATAAACACAAATTAATCATTTTCGAAAATGATCAATTTATTCTAAGTAATGATTTTTGAACATTTAAAGATAACTTTAAATGTTTAAAAATCAAAAAAAAAAGAAGAAAAAAAAATGAAAAGAAAAGAAAAAATTCTATTATTTCAGTTTTGCCGATTAGAGTATATTACAGATCAATCATGCTTATCAGTTTCTCAAAAAGAAATTTTATATTTTCTCACAGCTCTTATACGATGATCGTATTAGGAATCAGTTGATTAAGGATGAGCGATATTTTCATGAGAATGCTGAGAAACTCGAAAAAATGGTTAGTTCCTGGGAATATATGAATAGATTCCGTTCTTTCATTTCTTTTCTTCTTTCTGAATAGATTATTTTTGAGAGCTGAAACCTACTTTGAAGTATGCAAAAACCCCATTGGAATCATTTATTCTAAGTAATTGATTCAGTGTTTTTCAAATGTTTAATTTTTAACTTTTTTTCCATATCTTTTTTCATATAAAAGAATTTTTTATTACTTGAATAAATTTTCTTTTGGGGGGAAAAAGTATTTCTGCTTAATTAATTTCAACAGTTGGAGAATTTTTTTTTTCTTTTTTGATTTCTTTCATGGTTCCATTTAATTATTCCATATTTGGCATGAGATTGATAGAATTTAATTCCTGTTACATTTCAGTATCCAGTAAGTCGAGCGCAACGTTTCAGCGCTTCAATTCGACTTCTTGGTGTTGCGGATGATGATTTGTATTTGGATAAACTGCGTATTTTGATCACTGAGATTGGAAATGTTATGGGTTATGTAAGGCTTGTTAGGTCAGTGGTCATTTTTTATTTCATTCTTTATTATTTGGTATAATTAATAATTTAACTAATAGAAGATCAAAGCAAATTGTGAGTAGCGGTTTTAGTAAGTTAAATTATTGGCTGTAAAAAAGTCCTTTACATGTCACAGAGTGCTGATGCTTCTTTCAGTGCCTTTTTAATTGTGTCTTTCGAATTGAGGGAAACTTTATCACTGATTTTGAAGTGTTAAATAATGGCATTGATATTTCTCATGGAGAAATTTAGAATAGAGACACCAAATAAGATTTGTGTTTAAATAATCTTTGTAGTTTGAAGTTCAATTTCTTGTCGAATGAGAACAGGGAAAAGTATTGACTGATTTAAAAGAATTCTTAAATTGACGAAATTATTTCGCTACTCTTTTTTGTATTTCTCAGTAAATTTTCAGGTGACCACATTTAAACGAATATTTCTTGTTTGGACATTCATTTCTGGGCAAAAATTCTTGATTTGATTACATTTCGCATTTCTAAATATTTCTTACTAGGATCATTTGGGAAGAAACCATCGAAATATTGAACATATTCCAATTTTCAAATGAATTCGATTGTTATTTCAAATTATCTAATAATGGACAATTGCAGATCAGGTGGCGTTGAAGCGAGTATGCAGTCTTTGGGATTTCTTCCTAATCTCGATGATGTCCCATCCTTCGAACCGCTTGCAGTCAATGCAAAACTATCATCAGAGACTATCAGTGCCGCTAAGTTGCTAGATAATGTTTTCGATGTAGCAAAAAAGAATGTTAATCAGTCGGACAACTATTTACAGGTTTGCAACCAACATTTATCATAACAAATTCCTTCAAACTTTTTAAAATTCTAAATATACAGACATAGGCAGATAGATCAGGTTAGGTATACAGATATATAGATACATAAATAAATAGATTGCAGATTCTTGTGGAAGTATTTGCACCAGAATTGTGCGGGAATACGAAATATGAACATTTGAACTTCTTTTACATGATTGTGCCACCACTGACGATTAATTATGTCGATCGAATGCTTTCTTGCAAAGGAAAATTAGGACGAAGAGCGAAACAAAACAATACCTTTACTGACGATGGATTTATTCTTGGTATAATAGAGAAAAAAATTCATACAAACTAAGTAGTAAAATTACTGGATTAACAAAAATTCAAAAAGTCCTTTTCGATTTATAGTGCTCAGAAAAATGTTGAGTAAAAAATAGATAAGAAATTTTCCAATTTCGAGAAATTTCATGGTTTATACAAAACAATCTTTTGAATATCGATAATTTCAGAAGTACTGGTTTTAAAATAAATGAAATTCGAAATTCTAAAATTTTTAGGTGTAGCATTTATCCTGGTACTGCTGGATCAACACACCTATTTTTCATCTTTGAACTGGTTCCAGTCTGTGGCTTGTGAATGTGAAGAACAAATTGCCAATGCTTCATTTGGCTCTAAAAGTTCATCAACCAAAAATGCTTTAGATCCATCAGCAGCAATCCGTCTGGCTAAGCTAGACCAATACCAAAAAGTTAGATTTTGATTTCTTTTGTGAACCATGTCGTATATATCTCATATTTTTAATTGATGGAATTCAAATTTTGCTTGATAAATCATACATGAGCTTTATAAAAAAAAAAACTGAAAAAAGAGCTTTTTCAATTTTTCATCGCTCCATTATCCAACTTTTGAGTTTTTCCTCCAATTCTATATCACAGAATTTCAGGAATTCCAATTGCTTTCGTACACATTTAGCTCGGCTAAAATATTTTTTAACTCAAATCAAGGTGAAATTTTTTTCTAATAAATTTATTGTTTTGATTAAAAATTGTTAACCTGAAATATCGGTAGTGTCCAGTGATATATCATTTGATAGTAAAAAATTTTAAGGAATGATTTACCAGTGTATGTAAATAAGCTGGGAGAAGAAATTTAGTAGAATTATAAATGTTGAACACTTTAGCAAAATGATCTTACAGATGTAGCAGCTCAGTCGTTGCACACTACAGAATCGCAATAACTTGAGTCGGATATATGGCTTAAATTATGATGGATGTAGTTTGTGGAATTATTTCGAGAAAATTACTTTATTTGAAATGCTTTCCAGAAATGATTTTGTTTTCATTTCGAATATCATTCTAAAAAAATTTGCTGTTTCAAATTACATTTCGCGCTTCTGTCATTTTACATTTTGATGACTTCATCCATTGACGTAATGAATTATATTTGACTTGTTATTACTCTTTTGCATAACAAAATCATTACTTCTCATTCATTTAAAGAACTTGAAAGAAAGAAAAAATCTGAATTATTGTAATTAGTTGCTTATTCAATGTTTATTTGTTGAACTGTGATTGTTAAAAGGTTATATGCATTTCTCAGCACTAACAAAAAAGCAGATTACACCCAAACTAGCAACCCAAATTATGTGCACATTACAGTATGGTACTACTTTTCTAACTATTTTACACTGAAGGATTATCTTTGAGACATTTCTACCTAATTTCCTGTAATATTTCAAGATACTGCAAACCTGTATTAAAAGAAAATAAACGGGTAAAAATAGTGTGCTGCATTTTTCAAAGTGATAGGTCTCGACTCCTAAATTTTAATTTCCTTTTAAGACTGGAAGAATATTTCGGATGAACTTTTGTCAAACATAAAATCGAAATAGTTGGTCGTCACAAACGTCTTCATCAGGTGGGATGTTAAGTTTGCACAGTGCATGTGCCAGCGTTACGCTTTCGGATTTGTCTACGTGGAACTAAAAGCCTGCGTGACGTGTCGTTTCATTTTTGCGACTTGCCGTGTACTGGGCGTGTAACGTTAGGTGTTGGCGATTTAGTCCTAAGTGTTTCAACAGCTTATCATTTGTGAGTTATCAAATGTTTCCTGGTTCTAAATTATCTGACTCATCAGAAATCTCATTTAAACACTACGTTGAACTGATTCTATAGTGATTACTATTTTGATCTGCTTTGTAAAATCGTATTCGATATTATAAATTGATGTATTTTATGCTAAATAATCATATTTGTAAGTTTTAAGTTCTAATTTAATCTTTGCTACAGTTTTCAGTGACGCAACTGTCAAGTTGTGTTAGAAGGGGAGTAAAGCAAAATGGGCGCTACAGAAGAAGCTCCATTAAAAGCAGATATTCAAACCGTTTTCCGGAAACTTCGCGCTTTACCATGCAATAAAGTATGTTATTTTCGGAGAAAATCTTTAGTTTTCTTTTCAGTTGCAATAAAGAACCCTGTTGCATTTTTTCTTTATTCTTACTATTTTTTGTTGCTAGCGCTTAATGATAACAAGAAAAGATGATCGGAAGAATGCATATATAGAACATTGGAGTGGTTATGGATTAGTGATCAGTAACATTAAACAGGAATGAACATTGATAACGATGAGGAGGAAATAATTTTTTATTCTTGCAATAAAGGATGAAGGCATTCGATGGGAGGGTTATCAAAAAAGGAAAACAATTAGATTTGTGTAGGTTATTCAGTTCAATCAGCTGCAGATTTAAAGATTTTGAATAAATAAAACTCGAAGTAATATTTCAAAACTACAAAATACACGCGACAGTAATCTAGGAATGTTTCGATTGTGGTGCTCGTAATCCTTCGTGGGCATCAGTAACTTACGGCATTTACATATGTATCGATTGCTCGGCGGTGCATCGCAATTTAGGCGTTCACATCAGTTTTGTACGATCAACTACTTTGGACACTAAATGGACATGGTTACAACTGCGTGCTATGCAAGTTGGTGGAAATGCTAAAGCGGTTTGTTTATGCTTCCTTTTTTTTGGAAAATGAAAGGAGAGGGTATGGAACAGGGAAGGAATATTTAGTTAATGGAGAAAACTAATATCGAATGTATTAGTGTTTTGTGTGTAATCCAGTTTTCTTTTCCTCTACTTCCGTTCTTTTTTTTGATGGAAGATTTTTTTTTTTTTTTTTTCTTTTGTGTATGTTAATAACATCTGCATGAATGTGATTCTGAATTGGTGGTAGAGAAGAAACAAAAGGGAAAGTCAGAAAGAATCTTTTTTCCCTTTTTTTTTTTTTTTTTTTTTTGTGTCTTAAAGCGTTTGTTGATAATTTTGCCCTAGATTTTAGCTAGCAATTACTATATTACATTTGACTAAATAAACGTTTAAAGTAAAAATTCAATTTTCCCACACGAATCTAATGGTCAATGTACTTTATTGTCTTTCATACTCTGATATGCCAGGCATTTGCATAGTAAAATAATTCCTTTCGTTATTTAATAAATATTTGAATATTGTCACTTAATTCATATTTATATATATTTATTCATATCTGTTACACTACGTTTTTGCTTATATGTGTATTTCTTAACTTGAAAATTTTGATCAAATTTGGTATGTCATATTTTTAGAACAATTTTTTCAAGCATCATGGATGTAATACAAATGACGCTCAACAGAAATATAACAGCAAGGCTTCAAATTTATATAGAGTACGTAATTTTGTGTTTTCTTTATTTGAACAACATCAGCCATAGTTTTTTCCTTTATCTTAATTTGGGTAGTTTTTCCTAGCACCTTGTTTTAATAATGTGCAAAACCAACCGTTTTTCTTACAAAGAAAGATCACTGTACCAAAATTTAGCAGAAGCATTACATTATGAAATCGTTTTTCAAATTACTAAAAAAAGCTTACAACGCAACTAAATTTTTCTTTATCTGCCCTCATGGTTAGACTTTATGAACGTTTTTAAGCACTGGTAAGTTTATCAACTGGTGTAAAATGCATTTACCGGACGTGTATAATTCTTTTATTTTCAGGAAAAATTAGCTTCGTTAGCAATGGAAGCACACCGACAATATGGTACTTCTTTGATGATGGACAGTAGTGATTTGATAGCAGATGAAGGATTTGAAGAGAAAAACACAAAGGATGAAGTTGATTTTTTTTCTCAAGACTTTCTTGTTCATCAGAGCAATTCTTCATGTTCTATAAGTCAGGACGCGTTCATTAGTGATGACAATGAAGCATTATTAGGTACCTTTTGTTGTTTTACTTAATCTTACCTTGCTTTTATTAAAGATACCGCCATTCGAACTGCTTAAGCAGCAGTTATGGATTTCATCGTGTGTGATTAAGTATGATTTTCTAGTCTTAAGTATTATCTTCGTACATTGCACATATGCGCACAGGCTGTTTTAATTATCGCAGTCTTATATTCGGTATTAATGTTTTAAAGTTTAAATATGTTCCATAGTGTATTATCACTTCTGTAGTTACATGATCTCGTTAATTTTTTTTATGGGGCTTGTTAGCTAGTAATAATTTTGTTTGTAAAATTTGTCTGATTTTACCACTAAATAACACTGGTTGAAGGAAATTAGAATCTATTATTTTCAGAACCGAATATTGAAGCATTATTATTGAGTGATACACCTCGTGAACAAAATGTTCCATTGAAATCAAAAATTGCGAGCAAAAAAATTACAGTGAAGAAATCAGGAGTATGTTGCATTTAAGCTTATCAAATTTTATTTTTTGATGGTAGATTTCAAATTTTATATTGATCCTGTTTGTATGGATGGGTAAATACTCAAGATGAATCTTTATTTTCTTGTTTTTTTGGTGGAGCAGATGAAAATATATCGTTTTCATAGCTTGGTGCTAGGAAAGGAATGGGTGCACATCGCATAACTGCAAATTTTGGTGAAATTGAACAGAAAGCATCTGATAACTTGAAAGAGAAGGAAACATTGGAAAGTTCCATTATGAAAGATGACGGAAATGATGATATTGATTCCGATGGGTCAAAAACGATTTCTAGTCGGTTTCTGATGCAAGAATTAGAAAAAAAGGTCTCTCATGGTTTTGTTTTTATATTTTGCGATATTAATCTTTTTATTAATCAATCTACGAGACCGCTGATATTTTGTACCCAAAACTGCTCGATTTCTGTTTTTCGTCTAACGGTTTTGATTTTTTAATTGGTTTAATTTGAAACTGCTTTATGGAACACTTGACTTTATTGGATAATTTATCATTCTAGGCTAAACAGAAAGCAAGTAATGTAGATCAGAATAAAGCAGACGTAGTAGATCGTCTTGGTATGGGCAGTTGTGGCGTCATTTTTGGAAAGGGAAGAATAAGTCATTCGGTGGCAAGCGGTATCAAAACCATTCCTCAAGAAGGCATTTCAAGGAGTATCAATGAAACTACAGTGCCAAGTCGACGAGAAGGCGAATGGGAAATTATTGATGATGATTTAAGGTTTAATTTCAAATTTTCGCGAATATGCAAGTTTAAATGTCGAAAGCAGAGTAAGAGAGGCGTGAGATTGCTACGCTTATGTTACAGGCCATTTTTTGTTCAGTTTTTTAGTTCGTTAAAAGATTGTCGTTGAAGCTATTAAATATTATTTTGTAGTATTTATCATAGATCAGAATTTAGAGGAAATGAGAAGAGATCAAGCATCACCGATGATCGCTACATAAAAAGAACTACAGGAGGAAACGACTTCTTCGATAGTTGGGAAACTCCTGCTTCGACAGTCACAATTAAAAAACCGTATTTATTTTCGTACATCTTTTCTAAAATTTGTATCAATTTGAGAAAAAAATATTTTTATAATGAAGATGACAGAAGGTTTTATTTGGTATAAAATGAGGTTGAATTAATTGTATTAGTGTATATCATGTGCTAGACTAAGCTGAATAATGTGTGCTTTAACATCATATGTTTGGCGAATAACTTCTTATTGGTCAGTTTGAAAAATTTTTTTTTTTTTTTGAAATTCATTTCAGGTCGAGGCCGATTATAACCGCTGCTATGAATGAGCCGTCCGATGACAGTGCATTGAAAAAGTTTGCGAATGCAAGAGCAATATCATCCGATCAATATTTTGGTAGTCCACAAGTAGATGTGAGGATTTTACTAGAACTGTTAATTACAGGGAAGGAAAGAATATGTGGATATATGTTTTCTAGGAATAGGTGGATGCAAGCTAAAATTTTTTGAAAGTTGAAAATTCAGAGTGTAAGAATGTTTTGTTTTAGTATGAGGCGCAGTCCAGGTTGAATCGTTTCGAAGGTTCAAGTGGAATAGGCAGCGCTGATTTGTTTGGTGATGGCCAAAATAGTTCATACGGTAGTGGTTACGTAAGTCAAATGCCGGAAATGGCGACAATCAGAGATAGTATGAGGATGGGTGCTAGCAAAGTAGCTGGAAAGTTATCGTCTTTGAGTAATTCCGTTGCGTATTATCTTGCGGTAAGTGCATTTATAAATTTTAGCTTCTAATTTTAGCTCTACCCTTATTGTCATAGTAGTCTTCCATAAAACTAGAAGGAAAGCGGGAATATTTTTGACAAAAATCGTTTGTTAAGGTTGACAATAAGGGTAAGTTACATCTTTCTAAAAAACTTAGTTATAGAAAAGTAAGTTATAGAAAGTTTATGTAAATACGGAAATAATTTCCATTTTGTGTTATTTTTCCATCGTAAGTATTTTTTCGAACGTTTCGAATTTGCCATAATAACACTTAATATACTTGTAGACTGTTAGCAGTTCTTTCCACTTAATTCCCCATTCGCTGTTACAGAGTTTATTCATTCCTACTTCAATTGAAACTTTTAAGTGAAAAATATTTCGTGAATTGTGACCCTTATTCATCAGTTTGTCATTTACATTCCTAGTAAAAAGTGTATGTAGCAACCTTAAATGATTTTTAAAAAATATTAGAAATTTTTGGCTGTAGGGCAGAAAAGATTTGAATAATACTGCATATGTTAATTTTATATCTTACTTTTCTGTTCAATTTCTTTTTATAAAATGCAATATCATATATTCAGGATTTAACAAAATTAAAACGCCCAAAAGCTTTATTTCAGCGAACAAAGATATAATTTCCGGAATGGAAAGATTCATCACCAGTATGAGTTTTTTTTTTCGGGTCTTTTGTTTCTTTTACGAAAAATCGTCTTCTAAGTGGCTTGAAGTCTCTCTATCGATTATTTATTTAGATTTCACTTTACTTTAGTTTATTATGGAATCGTTTAATTTCTTTCAGTGTGTTTTCTTGTTCTTTCCAAGCTGCTGCATTATGTTGCATGATGGATTTACAGCTTTGGCTTATTGTAGTGGAATAGAGATTTCATTTCCCTCCTCTTTCAGTAATATTATTTAGAGTATAAGGAAAAATATTCAGGAATTGGATTGGAAAATTTGTTGCGTAGGAAAAAATTTCTACATTCTTCTGCATATGGTATTTAATCGTCAATGTAAATTTCTAAAAAAATGTGAAAACATTCTACTAACGAAATTTCCGAATTTTAGTTTCTCTTTTTGGTTGCATAAAAAAAATTAAATAAAAGGTAAAGGTAAAAAGAAGTAAGATCATCGAAGGGAGAAAATTAACGAGAGGAATTAAAGTGAGATTCTAGCTTTAAAAATGATATCCTGAATAAGATAATGATTGCTAGGGCACTCTGGAAACGAGTAATTATGCAGACATCTCACTTAGTCAGATTGCAGTACTTCTGCTTGCCATATTTAATATATTTAATGAAAGGAAAGATATCCAAAGTTGTAGTCCGAACAGCTAAGATTTTTATTCCTTTCAAAACATTGAAGGCATTGATAATCTTCGTGGATTAAACAAAGATTTCGTAGATAGTTTCTTACAACTGCTTCTCTAGACATTGCTTTCTGTGAAATCATCATATAGAAATTTCTTTTAACTTTTTCCGGTTTTTTCTGTTTACAACGAGTAGTGTCTGGTCGTGTTTGTATATGAAAAAAGGAATTTACAATTGTATAATAGTAAGGACATTCTGTTAAAGTTGGGAAATTGAGGCACTTTTTCCGACTTTATTGTTTACCGGCTGCAGGTTTAATGAGTAAGGCAAGTCTTTCCGAAGATTTCTTGAATTGAAGTTATTTGAGCAATCATAAAATGCAGACATGACCTGACTACTGTTTTTCTGGAAATCTGCTGACTGGTTTTCAAAAAGTTTTTCTTCAGAACAACCAGGATCGGTACTGAAATATCGGTCTTGAAGGAAGGAAACGTCCAGTCTGGTTATGCTTATGTTTAACTCATTTGTTCGTTTGCAAATGGAGTGAACGTCACCACATTGCTCCACTAATTAGCTTTCTTTTACCGAACACTGTGGCTTCGATAATTTTTGGGTTTGATACATTTTATAGCTATCATTTCATAGTAGAATGCCTCTCTATTAGAACTGTGTTAGAGCTGTTCTTTGTCAAAACGTTTCAAATTCTAATTTGTGATTGTATGTTGCTAATGAAATAATGTAAAACTAAAAGTTTAATTTGAGATTATATCGTATTTAATCATTGTAACTAATGGGAGCTTTGGTGTGCAAAATAAAACTTGAATTTAAGTGTTCTACTGATTGCTTGGTTTTACTTTAATTTCTTCCCATTCACATGTGCTATTAAACGAATAAAAATACACCTGTACGTATTGCGCTACTGATGTATTTCAAGCTTGGTGGCATTAACCAATAATGAGTGGAAACACTTTTCTATTGGATACATCCAAGAATCAATTTTCAAAGCACTGACTTGAAGGATTTTACACCATGTGAAGTTTTATTCATATCATTTCATCAAATTTTGAAAAAGTCTAATGAAATACGACTTCCTCTATAGTCTTTCCTTTCTTGATCAAGCAGATGCTTCTCATATTTTATACAAAAGTTTGAGCAATGCAAATTGTTCTATGCTTTAGGATGATACATTAAACAACAAAAAAAATGGGAAAAGGGAATAACTATTTTGTTGGTTTAGAGCAATCAAATCGATAAGAGGAAGTGAAAGGGAAAATATTAATTTTTCGAACTGTTGAAGTTTAGATGTTAATTTCGTGAGCTGTAGCTCCTAGTTCTGTTTCAGATCGACGTGCAAACCTATCCCATCCTCTTTTCCTCTCTGGAAAGTAACCGGTTTGTGATAAATATCTATACAGTGCTCAGTAGAGGGAGGTGGGCAGTATACGATTTGAAAAATAATATTTCGAGATCCAGTATATGCAATGAGGAGAACACAAAAGAAGGCTACAGGAATTGAATATTTTGGAGTTAAAATTTAATTTGTAGATATGCGAAAAGTAAATCGATTTTGTTAAGTTATCATTTAAAGAAAAAGTAGATATGTAATGAATAAAATGTGCAACAGAAGTATATTTCAAAAATAACGACAAATAAACAATTTGTTGGGTAAATCGAACAGTGAAATGAAGTGGATTATTTGCATCTTCGAACTGTGATTTTACGTTACATTAATGATGTGACAAGCTCATTAGGGATAACGTTCGAACGGATGGGCCATTCATCGTTTTGATCAAATAGGCTTCTTTCGAGAAATGCATCCAGCAAGTCGTACTGAGTACGTGCAAAACGAGGCGGATTTTTTTGGAGCATATCCTGAAGTATATTTAAAGATCTTTGAGCCTTAGCGAATTCGACTTATATTCCAGGATTATATGTCAAATCTAAACGCTAAATGTTGTCCGTATATATTTCGATAGCAGATGTCACATTTAAACAAGTGCTAAAGCGATTCGAGTAATTCAGTTTTCCTTTTTTTTTTCAGAAACATAAATATAAAAGTAGTGCAAAAAATTTAAGATCCATATTCTAGATTCAGTTTAATCAATCTAAACTGGAAATTTTTCATTAACTCCAATTTTATAAATTTTAGGCACTGAGTTACATACTAACCAGTCTAGCAGCTCTATACTACAGCTGAATGTGTAAATATCGAAATCATCAACCACTAACTACTCTTCATTCAAAAAGTCTTATCTTCCACAACTCCTAACATAACACTTTCATTTTCTAATTTTTCCATTCTTCGTCTCAACATTATTAGACAGAATATGAATTTAAAACGGGAAAAATTTCCCAATAAGTAAGAAAACTGATGGGAATGATTGTATAATGTCTAATATCTAGCAAAAATACCTTAACAAATGATAAAGCGTAGTCATAAGCTGCAATGCTACCATTATCGAGCTGAAAATTTCGTATCCAGGATCCGAAAGAAGAGAGATTTGGTTCTTCAATATTTTCTATATCACTAGTTGTTTCCGGTAGATTAAAATCGAATTTTTGTCGGAAATTTTGATCGTTTTGCGTTGCATTGAGTAAATCTTGCTCACATATTGACATTAACATCGGATCATCTTCAGCACTGCACATTTGCTTTATTGTTGCAACAACAATTTTTTGTTCCTTCCTGAAAGGAAAAGTTATTATGAAGATTCATTAATCCGGTTTGGTCAGTTTCTTTAAAGTGCTATGAAAATATGATTTTTTCACATCGTTTTGTAAAAGGTCTAGCTTCAAATGCGAAGTATCATTTAATACAAACTAATTTCAGTCTTATGTCAATACTTTTAATTGGGACAGATGTAAGATATCGAAAAAGTTAAATTCATAAAAATATCCTTAAAAATTAAAAGTTATCACACCTACATTTAAATGACTTCCAGCAATTTTAATTGGATGAAGCTTCTATACAGTTTCAATTATTTCTTAATCCTAGTCTCAATTCTTGTAATATTCATTATTGGAAGTTAGGTTAAAGAATGATCTGTCCACCCTTTCTCACCGGTTGCTGTACTATAGAAATCTGAGAATTCATAACTTAATTCAGTACTGAGAGAAATCAAGAATGAAGAATCCCGTCTATTAATCCACATTTGAAAGTTTAGCAAAACTTCGACTTACTGCCCTAAATAGTTTACTACCATCCGTCCATGTTGCTTTTTCAGAATCTCCTCCAGTTTTTGCTTGTCTGATTCCTGCCTCAAATCAAAAATCCGCTTTTCATATTCCTGCCCACCAATCTGAATCTGAAATTCCAATCCGAATACTTCTATGACTTCACAAACCGAAATCTAAATTTACAAACTAAATTTAAAATTCGTTAAGGAATATTTTTCGATATATACTGTTTCAGAATTCCTTTAATAATTATAATACTATTTCCAACGCCACATTCCCATTCAAAATTTTTTTAATATTTCGCACAAAGCACTTACTTTGTTTAGTAAACTCAACTCAGGTATAATACAAGGTGTACGAAGATTGAGAACATCCGGATATATAACTTTAGATCCCTGAAATTTTAAAAAGCTTCTAAATCCTAGAGATATTTTATAGCGAAAACAACAAACTGAAACTCAGTGCAATTGAAAGAATTTAATTTTGAATAAGGAGTTAACAACCGAAATTTTTATTAAGCAAAGAAAATAAAACTCTTTACCTTAAATGTAATTTCAACCTCGAGCTCTACCAGTTCTTCAGTGTCTGCATCGATGGAGCATAACAAACGTTCCTCGGCTGCAATTACCCAAAGTAATCGAAGAGGTTGTAAATAGGTCCTAGAAAAAAAAAAAAAAAAAAAAAAAAAAAACATGCAGAATAATCACCAATATTTGCTTTATTATTTTTTAAAGACGAGAAAACTTTTTTTATTTGCATTTTGCATAATCTGATAAATAAGAATTGTATAAATGGGAGTGAAATTAACTCATTAAACAAAACCAAAATCATAAAAATTTATTTTTCAGATATTGGAAATAATACATATTCCAATCTGAAAACTTCTATAACTTCACAAACCGAAATTTGAATTTACAAGCTAAATTTAAAATTCGTTAAGAAATATTTTTCGATATATCTTTTTTAGAATTGCCATTCCGATAGGAGAGAGATAAATCTCACAGAATTGCAACTGGTTTTGAGACTAATTTCTTCCACTGTTAATTAACCTATACTTTCTTTTTAGTTAGGATTCGAAAAGAAGATTTATCAGTTGAAGTTACCTACCGATTATCACTAAGCGCATGAGGACTGACTGGAAAGAATGCAATAACAAGTGCAGCAACTGATAAATCATCTGTCTTCAATGCATATCTGAAAAAGGACACTATCAGTAGAGAAATATATTTTGTAATTAATTAATAACGGATAATTTCATCTCCCGTATTCCTCTCGATCACAGATCAATGTATGAATTGAGCAGAACTGATAGCAAATAATGGTAATCTATTTGACTGATGGATAAGTAACTTCTAAATTATCTAACAATTCGAAAAAGTGCGGAGAATAGAACAATTGAAAGTAGAAGAAATCAATTTAAATAAAATTGCTGCTCTCTTTACACTTTTTGCAATAGACAATTCAAATAATTTAGATAGGGAAAAAAAAATTCAGGAGAAGAAACAATTATTTGAACCTCCCACGTCCAAGCATTAGCATTCCCATTACTGTGTTTGTAGCAGCATACAAATTATGTGAAGTATTATCACGATACGCTTCTGGTAATGTTACACGTGTGCGAAGTAATCGACAAAGACGTAGCACTTGTAAGTTTCCACTACCGGCCATAAGCTGGAAATAAAAAAAGTAACACAGTAACTGGGGATGATAATATCAAACATTCATTATTAAGAAAAACGAAGAAATCACATTCTAAATTAACTCTTGTATTTTTCCTTATTATAGCTAAGTTCTAACGCATTTGTCTTAAGTAAAGTAAAACAGATTTAAAAAATATAATTTCTTATATTGTAAGCCTTAAACTACTCAATAATGGTACAGTATTCCAGGCAAGGTGGAAAAATGATTATTTGGGATGTGTCCTGAGAATTTCAACTCTTTTTGGTATATACCTAGAAGAAATGGCAAAAGTTTCTGAAACAAATAAAAACAAATAAAAAAGAAGAAAAGAAGAAACATACGATGCCCAAAGAGTTAACCAGAGTACCAAGCACATTCAGGCAAGCTGTAACGCCGGCGGCAAGATTTAGCTTGCTGCAAATCTGTTGTTCACTTGCTGGTAAAACCAACCTTATATAATACCACTATAAATAAATAAAGTTCTTTAAAAAATCTATTTAAAAATGAGAAGTTAAACATGAGCAGACACAGAAAAATAGTCGAAAGAGTTAGAAGTGGTATTAAACATTAAATGATTGTTCATTAGATTAAGCAGAAACAGTACCGACGA